TTTCTAGAGAAGTTACTTCTTAAAGAATTGAACAAGTTTATAAATATCTCAGCAATGATTAACCAATCCAATTTATACCTAAAGAAAACAAATCAACTTATTTAGAATTCCACTAGTAAATTATTCTCTTTAATTCACGTGCAACATGTATAAATACAAACTTACACTTAAGTACTTCCTTGCTAGTTTGAGAACAATCTTTTTCTAATGGGAATGACAGACATATATTCTGATATTCACAGAAAGAACAAATCCAACAGTAATAATAACTTGTTTTAAAAATAAGTATTCAATTGTTTCATTTAACTTATAGAATTTGATTTCTTTCCACTAAAAAATAAGTATGTTAGGCTTTCTGTGGATTGTGTTGCCTTACTCAAACTTTTCTGGAGCCAGCGAATGAACATATTTCATACTCAGTTGAGAGATTTTTATCAGTACACTTAAAGGCAGCAGGGTGCGTAATTAGGTATGCCTGCCATCTGCATAGCCCTCCAGGTGCAAAAGGCATTAGCTTTATTTAATATTACCACAACATTAATTTTACTCCATTAATTTATGTCATTTGTCCTTCATTTCAAACTCAGATTGCCAAAACTAAAGCATTGGGCACGACGACCCAATTCTGATTTTAGTGAAAGTCTTATAAAAAAATCTTAAGCAACCTCCCTAGCTAAGAATATACTTAAGAACAGGAATTGACTGGCTAGCTTTCACATCTTAAAAAAAGGAGTCCTATAAACAAAATGTTCTTGATTTTAGTATTAATATTTTAGAGTTTTTTCCAGAGAGGAAGAACATCATAAGATCATGATTTTAGGTGGCAATGACAAGGCACTAGGAAATATTGAATCACATCATTAGAAAGGTATGAAAATACCATTCAGTTCCTTTAAGCCCAGAAAAGAGTTTCCATGGAGTTTCTGACACTATTCTAACATTTGTGATTCTCCCTTTCTAACAGAAAGCAGGGTGCAGACCTACAGTTTTGACTCTTGGTGGACAACAGTATCTTGGTAAAATTTTGTTCCTTTGCTTTATGAACTTTTGCTTAGAGTTATTATGGCAAATGATACTGGTTTTCCATTGAAAGTAATGAGATACTATTTCTTTTGAGCAAATTTAACTTAAAAAAATCAGTTTCCTTTAAAGAAAAATGTTTAGTAATTCATAGTACAGTTATACAAAAATATGGGAAACATCATGAAGGTTGTATATAAAACTGAAACTTTGGAAAGTTTTGTGTAAGTTGATTTGCATCCAACTTCCAAAGAACAAGACATGATTACACAAAAATAAAAATTGAAGGTTATTTAAAGAAAGTACTGAACTTATATGACTCTATGTCTTATAAGTACAACTGCGCCAATCATTTCTTAAAAGCTTATTCTGTGCAAGGTATTAGTACTTCACATGCAGTTATCTCATTTAATTTTCCAAAACAAGATAAATCTTTAAAGTTTTGCTGAATGGAATAAAGTACATTTAGGTGAATGAAGTTCAGTGTAGTGGAACCGTGAATGCCAAATATTTTAAGATAGACTCAGGTCAAAAATTGTAATTTCCAGTACATCGATAAGAAAATATGTAAGAAGAAAAATTATGTTTTCCGAGGATAACTGTGTGTGTTTCTGTAAATATGAATGTAAAGAGGAGGAGGGTGGGGGAGAAAGGATCACAAAATACTCAACACTTGACATAACTTTCCAAAAAGTGACTAAAGTTAAGTGAACAAGTTGAAGTTTCCTCCTAGAAGCAGCCTAAGGCAGTCTTTTGATGGTGCTATCCTTTTGGAAATTTCATATAACTTCAGGGAGACAGTTCTGAGATCCTTACCATACATTTGCCTCCTGCTTGACAGAATGCCTTTTAAGGGCCTATTATTGAACTTTCAGTACTTGGCTGACAATAAAAATTCTTACATAGATAATATCATTTTTTTTTCTAAATTACATTGAAATGAATATGGAATACTTGTATTTTGAGGAAAAGGAAATTTCAATGCCAAGCATATAAAAATCGCCTTAAGAACATTTGCTTTCCCGTGTTCATGCTCTTAGAACTTTTCTTGACACCAACTTTTACCTCTTACGGTATTGGAGGCCAATCCTGCCTTACAAATAACTCTCTTTAGAAAAGCACAAAGTTAAACATGAATTCCTAGTAGTCAAAGTTGAGAAACATCTTTGTGCAAATCAAATGCATTCCAGAATATCTGTCACTGACATGAAACAACACACCAGGGCCGCTGAAAGCAAGTGATGATAGTTTTGACATTCCGACACCTAGACAAAAAATAATAAATAAATAAATAAATAAATAAATAAATAAATAAATAAAAGTCTATTTATTACTTGTCTCCCTGAACACATCTTTTCAACCTCTCTATTTACTCTGGGATCTCAAGAGGGGCACCAAATCATTGTATGGCATTCTCAGACACTCAAGTAGCTGACCAAATCTAAGGCAGTTTAGTATTGTATATCTCAGAGCAGGGAAGAGCTCCTTTTGCTTCTTCATATCTATCAGAATCTGCTTTGTCAAGATTCATAAAATGGAAAAAAAAAACCCTCTCCTCCTTTGTCTAATCTTTCACAGATTTTAATTTTTTTATGCTTCTAACTCCATCACTGTCCTATCAATTCTGATTTGCTACATTACTTTGCTATTCCTGCTGCTAATATAGATGTGTGTGTGTGTGTATATATGTGTGTGTGTGTATATATATATATGAAATACTTTATTACTGTTATTATTATCCTTTTGGAGTGGTATGAAGAATACCAGAAATCTGTGATATTTCCAGTTTGATTTAATCAAACATAATTATATTTATGGAACCTATTATGGGCAATCCACTGTTTTGGGTGGTACGTTGGCACTAACATTGTAATATTCAAGTCTTTACTTAAACTCTTTGTTCAAGCACTTTCTTCTTTCACCACAGACAACTACTGTATTTCCAGAAAGAAATAATATAGCAAGCATAAGGCTTCGTTACTTATCCCCAGTACTTATGAATCTATATTTTTTCCTCTCAAACTTTACTTTCCTTCCTCCCTCCCTCCTTCCAGTTTCTCTTTAATGTGCTTTGTCTTTGTTAATTAATAGCTACTCATAGAGTTTCTCCTGTTAGCCAGACATAATCACAGTAGCTCAGCACACATAAACTTTTTTTTTTTTTTTTGAGACAAGGTTTTATTCTCAACGCCCACTGGAGTACAATGGTGTGATCTTGGCTCACTGCAACTGCTGCCTCTCAGGCTCAAGTGATTCTCCTGCCTCAGCCTTCCGAGTAGCTGTCTGGTTAATTATTATTATTATTATTTTTGTACTTTTTGTAGCGATGGGGTTTTACCATGTTGCTCAGACTGGTCTCAAAATCCTGAGCTCAAGGATCAGCTCACCTCGGCCTCTTGAAGTGCTGGAATTGCAAGTATGAGCCACCACGTGCAACCAACATTTAAGATACTCTATCAGTTTCCCAGTGCTTAAACAAAGTATCACAAACTGTGGCTTAAAACAACAGAAATTTATTTTCTCACAGTATGGAGGCCAGAAGCCTGAAATCAAGGTGCCAATAAGGCCAACTTCCTTCTGAAGGCCCTAGGTAAAAAACATGCCTTGTCTCTTCCAGCTTTTGAGGGCCCCCTAGGTATTCCTTAGCTTGTTTGTCTGTTTGGTTTTATTTTGCCTCCATCTTCATGGGGCCTTCTTCCCTATGTCTGTGCCTTCACAATGCCTACTTAAATGGAAATCACAGTCATAGGATAGAGCACATCCTAAACCAGCATGAACTTAACTCACTACATCTGCAAAAACCCCATTTCCAAAGGTCACGTTCTGAGGTTTCAGATGGACATGAATCATGGGGAGACACTATTTAACCTGGGCTGTTCTTGTTGGGAGCACTTAGACATATTATGAAACTTGAAGGGGTTGGTTGGCTTTCTCCCATACAGTCTGGTAGGGAGCATCCTCTATAAAAATTACTTGCTAGCTCAAACTCAGATGGGAGGTTAGTTCATGTTCCAGCAGCCTACCATGAAATAATGGCATCTTTCATTATGGAGAGCCACTAAATGATGGCTAAGAAGGTAGATGTGTCACTGGGACACTAAAATGAGTTTTGTTACATTGGGCACCTAAATTTACAATGATTGGTTAACAACTTTTGAGTTGTTGCAATATGTAGTTTCTTCTATTCATTTTGTGTAAGAATCACTGAATTCTCATATTTTAGAACTAAGTAGAACCTTTGTGATAAAATAATCTATCATTTTACAGATAAGATGAATGAGAGGGAAATGCATGTTTGTTAGCTAATTTGGTACAAAACTAGTAGAGCAAATTTCCCCTCATTCCTTGCTCAGTGTTCAAGTTGGACTTGTCATGTTTATTAATGCAAATAATTTTGATTATGATTTTGTCCATCTGAATACACTTGAATAGTTCTTGACTACACTGAAGAGCAACTTACAATATTACTGCATTAACAGCATCTGAGAAAAACATATACAGGCAGGATACTTCTCTTTCTACAATGTCATCTTCCTCTAATCTATGAGGAGTCTATGAATCTTTAGTGCTAGAAAAAATTGTGGAGGTAAAAAATATTAAGCTTTCCATAATGATATTGTCCAAAGTTCCTTTAGCTGTAACTATGGACACCATATGTGCAGTTAGACATGATAAAAACCAATTTTAAGTTGTAAATCTTGAACAGTATATAACAAAGCTTTTCCACAGTAAAAAGAACAAAAAAAATGCTTGCTGCTGCTTTATTTGTGCATCACTGAAAATTCTTATTTATTCACTTTAATTCTGCATTTACACAAAAATGCTGTAATAAAATATCTGTACACTACTTCTGTTACAAATATAGATAATATTTAAAGTGACTTTATATATTCTAATGTAGGAGTTTCACGCTCTAAAATGGGAATGAACACATGATAATTCCTCACCAGTTGTCTCAATAAACAGCTCCATCTGTTTCCCTTAGTCTTAAACTATTGTATTATAAGATGTTAATATAAGGCAATGAAATGAAGTTACGTTAATCGCCTTAATTTTTCTATCAATTTACTAATGGCAAACAACCAAAATAATTACTAACACATTGTTTTCTATCATTAAGATTAATATGAATTGAAAACCAATTGCACAGCACACTAACACATTTTTAATGTTGCATCAGTTGTTAAAACCAGCACTAAAGATTCTGGGACCCTTCTATGTTCCTCTATGATTAGCAGCATAGTTGCTTTCTAGAAAAACCATAGTCAACATGGGGTGGCATCATCATTTACTTATAGCCACATGAAAATATTTTATAAAAGGTCAAAAATAAAAATGAAAATTGAGATGTGCATTAAATATAATTTCTTTATAAAATTTAGGGACATTGCTTCATATATTTGCTATTTACTCAATTATAGAAACCAATTTTAGCAGGAAAAATACATATGCATGTAAGAGGTGGGGAGATGCAATGTTTTTATTATACTGTGTTGAAAATTTTAAAATACTGACAGTATTTTTAAAGATTTTCAATAGAAAACTTTTTTTTCTTTTTTTAGTTTGGGGTGGGGAGAGGAGGTAGACTGCCAAATTGAGGCATTTTTTTAAAACTCCCCAAGACTTTCTTCTTTATTTTATATTTTCATTTTTCATCCTAATTTACTGAATCCATTTTTTTTTTGGTTAGCTTTAGAATTATCTTTCTTTATACTAACTAGATTAGCATGTAATAATTCTTGCCCATGTGACTATAAAACATTAGATATATTCACAAATAAAACCAGATTCACCTACACAAATATTCCTTCTCTTTGACTTTAAGTTCACAAAATGCAAGAAGAAAAGAAAAATGATGCGAGGTTGTCAGTAAGGAAAGCATTTCTATATGAGAAAAACAAACTTAAGTGTTATTTCCCCCCTATAGTTTTGAAGACCCGCTGAACACGGCATAAAAGAAGTCAGGACCAGCCCATTCTCCTCACAGTAGGAGGTGAGCTAGGGGTGGGGTTGGATCAATTCTGGCAGCCAATTCAAGACAGAACCATCAAAGTGACAGTGCCTTTTGTCCGTTTAAGGATGGCAACAGCTTCTTCATGGGTGACTCCTTCTAGACTCTGCCCATTGACAGCAATGATCTGATCGCCCCTTTTCAGACGTCCATCTTCAGAGGCTGCTCCCTGCAAATTATAAGGTAGACTTGTTTATTTCTCAAAAAATGCTGCCTTGCAGCTCACAACAGAAAAAGATCTCAACAGGAATGTAAATTGCTCTGCATGTACACACACATTGCTCCCAGTGCTCCATGGGTGCTCTAAGCCATTAAGCAATGATGAACATAGACAAAGAAGGTCTTTCTCCTAAATGGTTTTAGCATTGAGATACCAATTTGAGAGAGAATTTAGCAGTCAACGGATTAGTTGGATGGGTTTTTGGCTGTTCAGCACAGCAGTTGGTGGGAACACAAATTAATAAAGAATATTTGGGAATTTGCCTAGTAGGAATGATTCAATAGAATCCAGGATTTTCTATCCTGTAAAGAAGACCTACAGAAAGAAGGTAAATGAGTAGGTAGGAACAAAAATAGTTTTACAGGACAATGGCTTGAGGGATGACAAAATCCAAAGGTCTGAAAAGCACAAAGCCACCTGAACGTTCACTACGGCAGGATAAGGCACAAGTTCTAAATTTAAAACCCACTGCTATTTCTATTTCTTTTTGTGGTTTTGAAAAAACTATGCAAGCTGTCTTAGTTCTTACTTCCCAAGGGTAGAGAGATTCTTCATATTCCTTATGGACCCTAAATGATTAAGATTAAATACAGACATTGTTGTTTGAAAAAGAACCCCATCTTAAAGCATGCTTATAGAAGACAATTATACAATTAAATATAAAATTAAAGATATGGAAAAGTTAATGAGGAATCCATAATGATGAAATTCTTAAAATATGTTCTAACTAGCATGCCTTAAATAAATTGTTCCTAGGCTGAGGAAAAGGACTGTGGACTCTTCTATTCACTAGCAAATGCTGTTTGTATTTTTGGACATACCAATAGCTTTTTAAAAAATCTTATAAATTAAGCCTATAGCTAGCTTGTTGTAGGTAACAGCACTTTAAATTGGCTTAAAAAAAAAAAAACCTTTTCCAAAATAATAAAATGAAACATCCATAAGGGACCATACCACTAATCCAAAGGCCCTATATCAAATTTTTAAACAGGTTTGACTAAGTTTTGTTTCTTTTTACACTGTAAAATTTTGAGATTCTAAATTTTTCCCTGCAGGAATCTTGTCCAATTTTGTAGCTCCTGAAAAACGACTTAACATATTAACAATAATTATACGGGTTTAAATTATTTTAATAGCTTTACCAGTATTGCAGTATCTTTACTCTTATTCTAAACCTTCTTAAGATAGAATAGGTATAATTATAACTAGACAATCTTGTTAACTGAATCCCTTGATTGCAAATCACTGACTTATCATAGATGATAGGGTTGCTGGATACTCCCTAAATTTTTTTCAGTAGTTATTTTTGTTTTAGTCAATGAAATTAAACTTATAAAATAAATGCTTATTAATTTTCATGTGTACTTTATGTACTTCTCTATAACTATTTTATATTTCACAACAACAAAAAAATGCAAACAGAAATATCAGTGCTCTATAGCATACACATTTAAAATGTTCCATTTTCAAAAGACAATCATGTGCAGTTTGTGTTCAAAGAAAAAAAAATAGGCTTTACTAACCAAAGTTCATTAATATTTTTATGTATATTGTTAAGAGTTTCCATGGAGTTTCAATTTGAACCTATTTTCCTTTAAATATAATGAAACCTCAAATTGGACAAAAATATTTAATGACCTGTTCCTGTAGGGAGTTTTGAAAAGAAATGATCAACTGTTAACCATTTGGCATTACCTCAGGCCATAAACTAATAAGCCAGCTGCTGACCACTATTAATGAATGTTTAGGGGAAAAGAGGGTGGTTAAAATGTGCAAGCTTACCTTTGCAAACACTGTTTTAACATAAATGGGTAAGTCTCCATGAGGGCTGCCATATCCTCCAACTATACTGAAGCCTAAGCCATCTGGTCCTCGCTCTAGTGTAATAGACTTACATTGAGGAGGTCTACGGTGAAGGAAAGGAAAAACAAGATTTAAATTAAAAAAACCCTATATCTATATATATGTTATGAATTATCTGACATCCACCTAGAGCTAGCATAATTCTCTTTGTCACTGACAAGGAGTATATTATGGGTATTTTTGAGATGCTTAAATTGTCAGTGCACGCTGTGCTTGGTATTTTAAATTTATATAATCTAATGAAATCCTACTTAACACCCAAATTCTATTACTCATTTACAGTTCCCTTAAACTAACATATTCATGGCATGTTCTCATTGTACAGAGAAGCTCATTCTTTTTCCAGTTTATTTAAAATGAGAGGGCTAAAGTTCAGGGGACAATAATAGAATAAGTCGTAAACATCAGTATACCCAAGCTCAGAGAGAAAAATCATTTATAAGCAATGGAAAAGCTGCATCAAATTATTTAAATTTTCTAATGTGCCTCTCTCTGTTTTCCAATGCTTTTTTATCCAATTGTTGTTACTTAATACCGTGAATTTTTTCAATCCAAAGTATAATATGTTAAATGAATAGGCAGTGCTGGAAATTTTAAAATGATAGATTTGACTTGCTCCACATTACATGAAGTGGTAACATCAAGATTAAAATATCCTCCGCCCCAAAATCAGAGCTGAAACCATGGGAAGGGTAGTAGCATGCATAGCTATCTAGCTAGTTATCTATTTCTCTACTTATCTTTGATCAGTTAAATCCATGTCATAATTATTTAAGTTTAGAAGCACCTGATATGTGTAATTCATACTTCATATATCCTATCATTTTACCTGTACATAATTCCTAGAAACACGGGACAGAGAATGCAACTGTCAGGAAGACTTGAATCATAAGTAAAAAATGATAACACTAGTCATCATGTATGAACGCACCCTAAATCATCCTGAAATATACTGCTTGACGTCAGCCCAGTGAAAGAAAGACTGGAACTTGCAGGCTCCTGCTGATGACCTGTGACCACACTCACATCTCCTCCAGCAACCACCTGCACACAGGAGAAGGATAAACAGAAAAAACACATGTTCCTGGGGCTAAGGAAAGTAATTTTTCTTCAAAAAGAGCACTTAGATTAAAATATACATTTTATTGTCCATTTAATCATTTCTGTTAACATAAAATACAACCAAAGAGAATGAAATTTCACAAGGTCCAGAGGCCTCTTAACTGTCCTGACAGTAAACACATTCTTCTAATTCTATTCTACAAAGTTTTTTTGACATTTTTAAAATGTGGTCTCATATATAATTATTTTTTAAAGATCTTTAGAATACAAGCCACTTGCTAGCACTACTTAAAACTCTAGCAAATAATCATGTACTGCTAAGGCCTGGATTTTTTTCCCCTTAAAGTATAAAACAATCAATGCATCTGAGTAAAATGTTACAAAATATGTTTCATATGCACTTTCTTGGAACTCTTAATCATTTACATTCAAGAGAAATATTAAATAAAATAATAGCAAAATATTTAATCATTTTTACTGCTTTAACATCAAAGTTCATGTGTCTTCAAGCTACCTATATTCTGAATTATGCTTGGGATAAAAATCTTACCTGCATTTCAATGGAGCCAGATGCATTTTTCAGTAGGTTAACTGCTTGGGTGTGAGTCATGCCCTCAGTGGATGTGCCACAGATAGTGACAATCCTATCCCCAACCTGCAAGGGAGAGAAAGAAACGGCCATCTGCTAAAGCAGCTATGGAGAGTGGGTCTTTGAGACCTGAGTATTCATTTCCTTCTCCACCTTGCACATGACATATATACTGCTACCAGCCACTGAAATATAACTAAGGAAACCACTAATTCCAAGAAGTCCAATAAGCAGCAACCACAAAAAGAAGCAGTGCATAATGGTTGAGTTCCATAGTGTCCAGGGGAGAGGGAGGGAGAAGGAGAAAGTCACTCTTCCCTGCTCTTCATTTCTCTTGGGTGAGACATTACTTCCTATTAAAAGAAAAAAAAATCACTATCATTTGGAAACTGAAATTTCTCTGGACATTACTATTAAAATCATTAGATGTGACTCTAAGTCAGAGGTTGGCAGACTAAGGCCCAGAGGCCAAATTTGGCCCACTGCCTGTTTTGGTTAATAAAGTTTGGTTGGAAGACAGCCATGCTTATTTGGCTGCTTTCACAGGGCAGAGTTGAGTAGTTGCAACAGAGACTCACAGGTCCCACAAAGCCTAAAATATTCACTATCTGTCCTTCCAGAAGTTTACTGACCCTGTGCTATGTATACAATCAGGTTTTAAGTGTCAGCCATAAATCTGGATATCAAAGGAGGCTGAACCATTCCCAGCCTAAAGACTATTTAAACTAAAATGTGGTTATGTTCTGAGACCTATTTTTTGAGGTATGAAACCATAGAGATTTTTGCTTTAGAGAGACTGAGTTGCCTTAATGGAATATTCATGTAATTTTAGAGCTGGGCAGTTGGCATAAATTCCATCGTAGTGCTCCACAATTTGGATAATCCCTCAGCTTTGAGGCAACTTGCATATTGTTTTATAACATTGTAAGTCATATTTATATTAAACTTCTGCAAAATTATCAGTGAATGCAAATAAGTAATACTTTTCAATTTAACAGAGTTAAATCAGCATTTAAACCAATAAAATATATAAGACAAAAATTTCACTTCATACTGGTGTTCTGAAAATACTTTCTGTTCTCTTTTAGCTTGTTCCACAGAATTTCAACATATAAAAATATGTATTAAGAAACAACTATAAATCTTCCTATTTCATTTAACTGCAAATCTGCATTTTCTCCTTTCTTTTAATATTCTTTATCTTTTACTCCAAGCAAGCCTTGCTGTGGTTGGATTAGATGATTTAAAAGTAAATATCGACATTTAAAACTGCCTTGCAACAGGTAGCCAGGTTCAAAGGTTTATAAAAACACTTCTGCACATTTTGCTAGGGCTTCTAGGGTTGTTAGTATGACTTACTCTGAGTTTTTGGGTCTGTGCTGCAACTCCAGTTGGGTGCATCATTGCAATAAATATAGGCACATCACCAAGTGGGCTGCCCACTCCTCCAGCGATGCTGATACCCAGTGAGTCAGTAGGGCCCTGTCATGGAACAGATATAAAATTTTGGTCAAAGCGGTATTTTTCATTGACCTTTTGTTTATTCTTTGGCATGATATCTATAGTCAACTCTGATCTTCTAAGTGGAAGGGCGAAAATGAAGTGCAAGAAACCTGCATTACTTTATTTGACGCAGGTGCTTAGTGTGGCTTAGGAAAATAAACATCTGTTCAGGAAGTAAAATAAATCAAGACATTCTAAATGAAAATCATGTTGCAGAACTGATGAAAATCAGGTAAACTCATGAAGTGAAAAGACCACACTTTTGGAATCAGAGTCCTGTGTTCAAAGCCAGGAAGTCATACCTGTAAATGCAGGAACTTGAAATAAGTACACTCCACTCAATAAATCATTAGATCTTCATTTACAAAATGGAGACAACAGTGCCTCTCACAGAGGGCTGCAGTGAATATTAAATGACATGATGATGACATGAAGTGTCTATAAGAGTGCTCAGAACAATAGTAAAGGCTCAATAAATCACAGCTGCTTTTACTTTGTCTCTTGTGCATGGCTGTCGGGGGAATCTGTTTCAGAACTAATAAGTATCTGCTGAAGTGAAAGGTTTACTTATCAGTGTAAGAAGTGAGAGGCATCGTACTATTTTGTGTGGGGTCAAGTTGATGCTATTTTCAGCAAAAGAGAGTATGCAAACAATGATTTTTCAAATGAGGTACTATGATCAGGAAATTTGTTAAGGACTACATTATGTTATTTCACATATAATATGTAAAATACATACTTTTTTGAGATGAATACATTAAAACAGTAAGAAAGTTAACAAGAAAATGCATAAGATGTCTCTGAAAACACCAGAGTTTATATTGTTTTCTCTCCCCAAGTTACCTTTTTTATTTCAACTGTTCTTAATCCCTGTATTTCAGATGCCACTGTAAAGGCAAAAAAGATAAAATAGGGTTATTTTTATGTTCATTCACTTTTTATTTCATTAAAATATCTAAAGCTGGATGGGATTAAATGGAATAACCTAGGTTTCTTTTTTATTTTTTTAAGGGGGTGCTCAAAGCTGCAAGTACACATGATTAGAACTGTCTCACATAGGAACTATTTATTTTTCCAGTTGGAAAAACATATATACCATCCCATTCTTCCTTCTCATTTTAAGTGTTGATTATATAACTACATAATCCACTTTGAATGAGTCAAGGGCAAAATGTGCTTTGCATAGAAAGACACATGTGCACAGCTGAGAGGAATAAAGTCATGGATGCATTAAAAAAATTCATGAACTTGAGTGCCTAAATTTCTAGAATATTAGTCACATTGCAAACACAGATTGCCATATGGTTAGTTTCTTCAATTTGAACAACTCTCAACCAATGCACCAAGCCAAAAATTCCTCTGCAGCATGATTTCATGTAATTAAAACACAGGAGGATCACATTAATTTTCTCAAATTTTTGCAATCTTCATGGAAAAAGAAGGCTTCACTTAATGGCATCTTCTGATTTACTGGTGTTACATTAAACACAGAAAAGGAATAAAATCAAACACACCAATCTGCTTAGTAAGAAAAAAAATTACAGAATCCTGATTAAAATGTTTAGTGTATCTTGTAGGGTAAACATCAAATGGGAAAAGCTACCACAGGCACAACTTCATGTTGTTCAGACTTTTTGCTAACACATGTTTTTGTACCTATATTAGGATATGGGATGATGTGGGGGAAAAGAAAGTTCAGAGGTAAACAAGAAAAAAAAAATCAATGTTGACAGCCAAAATTCAAACCATGTTTAAAATACTGAACCAATCTTACATGCATTCTTCTTTGAGCTACTTTCCAGTGACTCCGACGTACTGGATCCAGAGAGTGGAAAAGTGAAAGATGACAGGCTGCCTTCACTCACCTACAAATACACAACTATTTCAGAATGTTTTCCAAGTAACATACTCCCTAAATACCACTTATTTCAGAATTTAATCTAGAGACACATACCTGTTAAGCAATAGTGGCATTTGATAATTTGATGAGCAATTTAAACACAGTTTCTACTGGTGTTTTTTTTTTTTTTTTTTTCTTTTAAAAGGAGAATTTGTCTAGTGACATAAATAAATTAAAGCTAAAAGGGTAGATGAAATTGATTCCAATCTACCTAAAATTTTAGTGGATAGTCATAATCTAATACAAACTAATCTTCTTGAAATTTAAACTGATGTTGTAGGAAGACTAGGACTCAAACAAAAACTGTAGAACTAGGGTCAGCTAATAGGAAACTTATGGTAGTAACTTAGAACATTAGTATCGGGTCTTTTCTTTTTTTTTTTTTCCTTTGAGACAGAGTCTCACTCTGCCACCCAGGCTGGAGTGCAGTGGCGCATCTCCGCTCACCGCAAGCTTCGCCTCCCGGGTTCACACCATTCTCCTGCCTCAGTCTCCCGCATAGCTGGGACTACAAGCGCCCGCCGCCACGCCTGGCTTTTTTTTTTTTTTTTTTTTCCAGTAGAGACAGGGTTTCACCATGTTAGCCAGGATGGTCTCAATCTCCTGACCTCGTGATCCGCCTGCCTCAGCCTCCCAAAGTGCTGGGATTACAGGCGTGAGCCACCTCGCCCGGCCTACTATGGGGTCTCTAGGGATAGATTGATGAAAACTGGCTTCCACCATCAGCAGACAAGACTGAGGAGAGGGTCAAGAGGTCTTGTCAAGAGTCTTGAAATATTTAACATCATATTTTTATACATGGTGTTGAGTATCTATAGTTCACTTACATGGGACTCTTCAGTTGAATATTCATGTTGCTATAAAATATTTTAAAAATACGTTATCTTGGGGTGAGGTGCAGTGGCTCACGTCTACAATCCCAACACTTTGGGAGCCGAGGCGCGTGGATCACGAGGTTAGGCGTTTGAGACCAGCCTGGCTGACGTGGCAAAACCCCATCTCTACTAAAAATACAAAAATCAGCTGGGCGTGGTGGGGCACGCCTGTAGTCCCAGCTACTCGGGGGGTAGAGGCAGGAGGAGAATCACTTGAGCCCGGGAGTTGAAGGTAGCAGTTAGCTGAGATCGTGCCACTGCACTCCAGTCTAGGTGACAGAGAAAGACTCTATCTCAAAAATTAATAATAATAATAAATAATAAATAAAAATAAATAAAATGAAAAGAAAAAATATGTTATCTTGGTAGGCTTTACATATATTAGGTAGTTACCTTTTGAGATTATGGAAAAAGAATCATGTCAAAAAAGAATGCTTGAAATCCATTTCCTTAGAATAACTTACAAACTACTCAACAGCTACACCTTGTTTACCTGGCTACTCTGATTCCTTGTTTTTCTCTGTCTCAAACTCTTTACCTCAGTCACTATCCCACGCTGCCAGGGGGCCAGACCTTGTACACAGACCCACAGTCAGGGCCATCTATATGTCCTCTTGGCATGCTGATTGCATCACCCTGATGCACTCCACAGCTACCCACCTGGCTGCTTTGAGAAGGCCTCCTTTCTGAATGGAATGGACCAGCTTTGATTCTTCCAACTTCCAAGGTTACTGTGCCTAGGGAACACTGGGGGTGGGGATGGAGGGGTGTTTTATGGAAATGTTTAAATAAAATGCTATAATCATCTTTAGGAATACATTTTACTCTTCAAGACTTTTTTGAAAGGCATCTTCCTTTTGGAATTTCTATAAGCAAGGATACCTCCAATCCCTTGTGGAAAATGGCTTTTTTAGAAAACATTCAAACTAATAAAAATAATAACAAGTAGCAGCAGCAACACCAAGTGTCTGTCTTATCACTTCATGATTTCTATGGAGACTACTTCTACCAAAAAGAAATGGAGAATTGAGCAATTATCTCATGAAACACACTAATTTTGATAGGCCAAACAAGCTGAATAACTGAGGGTTTAAAAAACAGTGACTGTAATCCCAGCACTTTGGGAGGCCGAGGCAGGTGGATCATGTGGTCAGGAGATCAAGACCATCCTGGCTAACACGGTGAAACCCCGTCTCTACTAAAAATACAAAAAATTAACCAGGCGTGGTGACGGGTGCCTGTAGTCCCAGCTACTTGGGAAGCTGAGGCAGGAGAATGGTGTGAACCCAGGCGGCGGAGTTTGCAGTGAGCTGAGATTGTGCCACTGCACTCCAGCCCTGGGTGACAGATCGAGACTCCGTCCCAGGAAAAAAAAAAAAAAAGCAAACACAATGAAACCACCACTACCACCACCTCAGCAACTTGTTTTGCCCTCAATAGAAGAGGTACTTAGATAATTGGGTAAATTCTCTTATCGCCACACTGGGCCTGAATAAACTTATGATATAAAATTTAGATAACTACTACTATCAACAGGAAACATGAATTGAAGACAATCTTCTTGTACCCCTTTACAAATAAACCATAGGCATGCAAGAAATGATGCACAGTCTAATATGGAAGTAGCACAAGGAGGTGTTTGAGATCCTGTTTTGGAGTCACTGGATTAAATTCAGACTATGTGATTTATTAGCTGTGTGACCGCAATGGATATTTAACCTCAATAAATCTTTTACTCTGAATTTTAAAAATATACAGTATTATAGGTTGTTGAGATAAATAATCCATGAACAATGCTTATGACAGTGTCTAAAATGGAGTAAGTAACACAAACATTGGGTACTGATACTATTATTCAGTGATGAGAGTACAAAGGGATGTGTTATTCTTGAAGATGTTGATCATGAATCATACTTTGAAAGGTCAAAACTTGACTTGTAATATTCGTAAGTTTGTTTTTTTATTTGTCTGATTTGGGGTTTCTTTGCTGCAAATTTACCAAACTCTTCTTGAAACTATTTATATTTTCAGTTTACATAACTGTAAGGTTAACAAGTCCATACATTAATTATTGACTGTGTAATGTTGCAACCCATTCACCTACCTGTAACACTTCTCTCAAATATCAAGGGCTTTATTTTAAAAATTGTTAATTTTTCCAATACAAAACCAATTTACGCCCACTAAAGAAAATTTTGGAAATAAAATGAAAAAAGATGGGGGAAGAAAAGGACCCATAAGTCCAACAGATACCTCATAATTATTGTTTAAAAAACTTAAAAGATTGTATTTTTTACATAGTCGTATCTATGCCGTAAATACAATCCTCTGTCTTATATTCTCCACTAATTACAGTAGTCCCCCTTTTTTGTAGGGGGGAATATGTTCTAAGACCCCCTGCCAGTGGATGGCTGACACTATAGATAGTGCTAAACTCTACATATACTATGTTTTTTCCTATACATACGGTTTAATTTATAAATGTAAAATAAGGTTTAATTTATAAATTAGACACAATAAGAGGATAATAGTAAAATAGAACAATTATAACAATGTGCTGTAATAAAAGTTATATGAATGTGATCTCTCTCTCCCTCTAAAAATACCTTATTTTACTATACTGTGGGCAACTGAAACCACAGGAAGAGAAACTGCAGATTAGGAGTGACTACTGTATATATTTTATCATGTTAAAATAGTTGTCATGACACTTTGGGAGGCCGAGATGGGTGGATCACAGTCAGGAGATCGAGACCATCCTGGCTAACACAGTGAAACCCCATCTCTACTAAAAATACAAAAAATTAGCTGGGCGTGGTGGTGGGCGCCTGTAGTCCCAGCTACTCTGGAAGCTGAGGCAGGAGAATGGTGCGAACCAGGGAGGCGGAGCTTGCAGTGAGCTGAGATCACGCCACTGCACTCCAGCCTGGGTGACAGAGCAGGGCTACCGTCTCAAAAATAAAGAAATAAATAAAATAAAATAAAATAAAATAAAATAAAATAAAATAATTGTCATGAACATCCTTTCAAATAGATACACGTTTGTCATGCATCCTTACTATTTATACCAAAGTTTATGTAGTTTTTGCCAACCACGTTGCTTCCAATTTTCCCACTATTACAAATAACACTTCAATGAACTCTATGTGCATGAAGAACTTTATGTGAAGTTGTGTATTAAGGATTATTTATATAAGATTTTTAAATGAAAAATTAATAAAACAAAAATAAGCAGCAGCAACAAACACGTAAGTTATACAAATATTTATGGTGTTCATTATGTACTGTCAGACTAGCTTTTTTTTTTTTGAGATGGAATTTCATTCTTATTGCCCAGGCTGTACTGCAATGGTACAATGGTGCGATCTCGGCTCACTGCAATGTCTGCCTCCCGGGTTCAGGTGATTCTCCTGCCTCAGTCTCCCGAGTAGCTAGGATTACAGGCACACGCCACCACACCTGGCTAATTTTGTATTTTTAGTAAGGGGTTTCTCCATGTTGGTCAGGCTGGTCTCGAACTCCCGACCTCAGGTGATCCGCCCGCCTTAGCCTCCTAAAGTGTTGGGATTACAGGCATGAGCCACCACACCTGGCCAGACTAGCTTTTTAAATGACTGTTTTAAAAATTATTTACATTGTTTTATGGATGCTTCCATTTTTTCTCTCTTTAGGATATATAATTCTTAAAGAGATAACAATTGTTTTTAATGTGTCTCCAAAAAGAATGTATTCCTCCTTAAAGAATTCTAATTACATTATGTTTTAAACATTGAGAACCCTAATGAGAAGTGATAGATGTTAACTTTGCTTTAATAACTAATTTATAAACACATTCGTGTTTGGTTTATGTAAACCAAGTGCCCACTTGAAAATCCCTCCATGAAGCCCAGCCATTCAGAGGCTCCCCTTAGCGTATTAGACCTCCAACAGCTCTACTGCTGCTGGGCACTGTCATGCAGGCTTATGTTAATTGCTACCCATGATATGGGTACTGATGATGATAGTTTTCTAGTTAATGTTGAATTATACTTCTTCAGGTCATAAAACACATTAGGTTAAAAAACAAAACAAGGAGATAAGCATTGCCTATTTATAGGAATGTAAATTCCCTCTAGAAACTGGAATATTCCCTGACAGAGAATATGCCTAGGTCCCAGGAATTGTCAAGTGACTTTTCTGTGCTTTACAATTCATTCATTTTTAAAAGTGAAACTGGTTCTGCCTTTCCAATTGGATAATGATCCTTCATGGTGAGTTTTCTTTGGAGGAAAGGAGGAAACCAATTTTATAATGTAAAATGTACTTGAGTTTAGAGTGATATCTAGGGATGGAGGCCTTATAATTAGGATAATCCCCAGTGAAGGTACTGCCGAGTGAATCTGCACTAAATTACCTTCATTGCATAAGGATGACCATTCTGCTTCTGATTTTAAATGTCAATTTCAAATAGTTCAATAGTTTTGAGTCAGATTAGTATTTGGAGCAAACATTCCCTTTTATGGAAGATAAATGATAAAGTCTTTCCATTTTAAAAGATTTGACTTTTTTTGGTTTTGTTTTTGTTTTTTTTGAGACAGGGTTTCTGTCACATAAGCTGGAGTGCAATGGCATGACCACAGTTCACTGCAACCTCTGCCTCCCAGACTCATGCAATTATATACTATGAGTAGCAGTGTGTATTACCATTCTCATTTTATGGGTCACTCAGCTACTAAGTGGCAAAAGTAAGACTTAAGAATCAGTCTTAAGGCACACACCACCATGCCCAGATAATTTTTATATATTTTTTGTAGAGATGGGATTTTGCCATGTTGCCAAGGCTGGTCGCAAACTCCTAGGCTCAAGTGATCCACCCGCCGTGGCCTCCCAAAATGCTGGGATTACAGGCGTGAGCCATTGCACCCAGTCTTGAGGTGACACTTTAAATAAAGAGAAGTCATTAGTAATTTGACTATGATAGCCCAATGTTAAAATTCTCTTTTTTCTTCTATGCTATTACACAGAATTATTTTTGGCATCTTTTACCTTTAGCAAAGCGGCAACCGCTTCCTGGGTGGCATTACGAACATCTTCCCCATTCACCATTAATATCTGGTCTCCCTGCATCAGTCTTCCATCGGCATCTGCAATTCCTCCTTTGACAATGTCTGACACAAATACTCCAGTATCGTTTCTGCACACAATTTTGAATTTCAACATTATCTTTTCCTCAACTGTAATGCAATGCTTATTTAATAAAAAGTTATGTTTTTACCCAAAATTTTTACTTGTTTTTATGACTTTAAAAGTTTTATTATTTGGAGCAACACTGGGGCAACATTAGAATTATATTTTTTGATAAATAACAGCTTATGTCTTATAGTGCTTCATAGATTGAAATATCTCCAATAAACATAGTTATTCTTCATCAATTATATACTGTGAGTAGCAGTGTATATTACCATTCTCACTTTATGGGTCACTCAGCTACTAAGTGGCAAAAGTAAGACTTAAGAATCAGTCCTTGGATGCAAGCTCTGCTGTTCTTTCCAAACCAGAATGGAGCTTTGAATGATAGTAACTTGTCGTTAAATAAATATGTTGCTATCACCATCAACATCATTAATATTACTGAAAATCATAACAGATGTGTATCTCAAACTAAACACCATTTATTAACTCAAAATCTAAATACCATTGCTGTGATGTCTTTTATTTGAAATCATTACACATCTTCCACACGAGACAGGTTTATGCAAAATAAACACAAATATTATTCCCAACCGTTCTTCCACAAAACTATAAAAAAAAAAACCCCAAAACTTCTAAAGATACGAAGATAACCATAAATAGAAATACATCGTAAAAGCTGAACTGTATCACTTGTTCTTGCCAAGGTCATGACATCAAACCATTTCACCATTTGATCTTCCACTTTCCCATCTTTATAAACTGGATATTGGATTAGATGGTCTTTGTATGGTCTTCATAGAGTTTAGGGTTAATTAATGGTGGTTTTTATGATGACCTGGTGACCCCACATCCTGTAGTAGCCATGTTACCCATGTCATGTTTCATAAGAACTAGGCTACTGATACTGTATTCCAAAAAAAGTATAATTTTTAGACATATTCCCACTGAGACTTAAATAATATGCTAAATTTTTTGTGTTTAAAAATAATTAGCCTTTAGCTGTCTCTGAGAAAACAAAATGGTATAAATGCTTTTTATTTCCATACAGAAAAGTCGCTGCAGAACCAGGGGTCTATGCTGCTGGTTTGGCAATTCTGAAGAATGCCTATTTCCAAAGAAGGATATCCTGACATAAAGATCACCATTTCACAGATTTCCGACTCACTGGAAAAATAAGCTGATTTGAAATGGTGGCTATCTGAGGCCCAAGGAAAGACGAAATCAACTTAGGGCCACTGCAGACTGCAGGTGTGCTTTTTACTGAATGCTGACTTCACAAGTTTAACTATCTGGTACATTCTGAGATCAGATCCAGATGGGCTTATAATACTAAAAGGAAGAAAGATTTATGAAATTTCCTGGATTATATATTTGTTAGTATCGCTTATAAATGAATTTGTTAATATTACTTATATGTAAATACTTTTAAAATGTACTTATATATAAATGAATTAGGTTGTGAATTTTTGTGCATTCACTATTCCATTACCACCCAGGCCCCTTGCTTTAGGTCCTATTGATGGCACACTCTTGTTCACTCTGATCCTTCTCCCTACAGTATCTTCCACTCTCCTTTAATAAACCAGTTCTCACTTATCACTTTTAGCCTCAGCTCAGACACCTCTTTTCTTGGAAATTTTCCCTAATTCACTTTAATTAAATAGGGCCAATTGGTCCCTTTCTCCTTTGCTACCATGGGTCCCCCACAAAGCATCTTTGTCACTCATCAATAGATTCCTTTGTTGCAAGAATATATTTAATTCAACATCCACCAGACGATGAGTTTTTGGAGGTCAGGAACCATGTCTTCTTTAACCGTGTTTCTGAAAACTTAATGTATTTCCTAGCACATAGCAGGTGCTCAAAAATATACCAAATGACTTTTTGTTAAGTACCTTCAAGACCTTCCAATATTCTGATTTTAAAAGTCCAAAACTGACATCTTTTTATGGTTCTGTAGTGAGGGGGCTAACAATTACCTATTGAACACTAGCCACTGATAAAAGATTCAGCTACTGCTATTACTCTTTAAAATAATTTAAGTCCCATCATTTCCAAGGGAGCATTGGGTTTGTCTTCCTCAGTCACACCTTTTACCAACAATACTTAATCCTAGGCCTTTTCCCGGCTTCTTCTGCAGCTCAATAGTGAGGGTGTCACACACTTCCTCCTCTTTGTATGGGGCCTCATCTCTGTAGAGTGTCAGGCGCACTCTCTGTGGCGTCTGTCTCAGGACATTGATTGCTTCATCATGTGTGGCCTTTCTCAAGTCAATTCCATTCACCTGGACAGAAATGGGACACTGACTGTGAGGAACATGAGAAGCAAAGGGGAGTAAGGTGGGGAAAGGGAGAGAGAGAAAGAAGCAAAGAAAGAAACACTCCCCCCAGGAGCCTTTTCTCTGTTAATTTTGAAGGTCAAAAACAGGCATTCTATACCTCTAAGATCTGATCTCCAGCCCAGAGTCTTCCATCTTTACATGCTGCTCCTTCTTCATAAACTTCATGGATAATAATGGCACCCTAAGGGCCCAAACAAAACATACCCATACTTATCCCATTCTCCTAGGAATGGTGAGCAGAAATGGAGTCCAAACACATTACACTTTGACAGACAGCAATAAGGGTTATAAACTCTGGCTCTACAGGTACAAGCCCCATATAATTCAAGGGAAAGTGTAACAACAATTTTTGCTAAAAGGCTCAAAGGAGCTTATACATTTTTCCTAATGATAGAGAACATTAAAGAAAAAAACTATAAAATAAAACATGCATACATAGATGAGAGACAACTTTCTTATTCATAAATGAAATCATTTTTAAGGTATTTTTGGCATTCAGAAAATTTTGTCTACAAAGTATCTAATTTTTCAAACTCTCTCTCTCTTTTTTTTTTTTTTTTTTTTGAGATGCAGTCTCACTCTGTCACCCAGGCTGGAGTGCAGTGGTGCAATCTCAGCTCACTGCAACCTCTGCCTCTCATGTTCAAGATATTCTCCTGCCTCAGCCTTCCAAGTAGCTGGGATTACAGATGCCACCATGCCAGGCTAGTTTTTGTATTTTTAGTAGAGTTGGGGTTTCGCCATGTTGAACAGGCTGATCTCAAACTCCTGGCCTCAAGTGATCCACCTGCCTCAGCCTCCCAAGGTGCTGGGATTATAGGCATGAGCCATCGCGCCTGGCTCAAACTCCCCTTAAAATGGGTTTAACTCAACCTGGATATCAGCAAAAAGGAAATTAAAATGTAGCAAGGACTGGTGAACTGATAGAAACACTTTGAAATTTCAAGGTCAAAATCACCAGTGTAGCAGAATCTTGCTGAGTCAGTATTTATTGGCTTGCTCAAAGGAAAACCCCCTGTACCCAACTGAATATTTGCCTTATAAATTAAAATAACAAATACAATTATTCTCGGCCTTAACATTTCCTTTACTAGAACTGCTAGAAATCTCCCCATAATGGTCTCTGAGGTCTGGCTGAAGGACTGCCTGTGCAGAAGCACCTCTGGGTGGTGCTCACCAGCAGTGTGTCTGAACCCCCAACGATGCTCAGGCCCAGCCCTGTTCGCCCTTTGGAAATCTCGATGGTTGTTTCACAGCCAGGGATAATGGGGCAGGTTGCAGGATCAGAAGCAAAAATTGCCGGTGTTGATGATCTGCTTGTATCTAAAAATAAGTTAAAAATGAAATACAAATAAAAATTAGTTACAAGGCATATCCATCAAACTCATCACACAGATTGACTCTGAGGGATGGGCAGGGAAATGGGTCCAAGACTGTGGACAAAAAGAGACTTTATATTTACCTCAATCTTTTAATTATATTTAAAAATAAAACAAATGTGATTAAATCGCCATTGTTAATTTAAGGTAGTGGGCAGAAAATTACTCATTTAATTATTTTCTATACTATCCTGCATGTTTTAAATTGCTAGAGATATAAAAGATAGGATATGAAGAAGAGAGAACAGAGTTAAATTGAACCTCAAGTTTCACTTTGATATTATCTATTTCAGTGAAGGCAAACACACTTCTTATGAGTTAAAAGATTTAAAAAACTCAGAATAGAGATATGTTGCAAAGACCTAGAAGTACATTCAGGGAAGACCACAAAACACATCAATAATTTTGGTTGTGATGCCTGCTTTTCGGGGCTTTTTACATTTTTGTTTCCTTCTTATCCTAGAGCATCTCTTCTTATGTAATCAATTCTAAGCAAAAAAAAAGGACCATTTGCAGTTTTCTCCTTGGGTCTCACTTGATGTTTTATACATTCAGATGTCAAATCCTGGTGCATATATGTTCCGAAATGAATAGGTAAGAATAGATCACGAGAAAAGGGGAATATAATTTCACACGTTATTTTATGAGAGTCTTCATATCATATCATATGTTTTATGATAAAACAAAGAGCATACAGCAAATAGCATGTTTTGGGAAAGCTAGGACACTTGGTATAGTAGCGTATGCTTTAGACAAGATGTTCTCTTTTTAGGAAATCAGAAACAGACTATTTTCTTGCTCCTTAAATGGTAAGAACAGGTGTAAGATATTTTCTTTTATGTTAAGTTTTCATTTAGCATTTCATATTTTTATAGACAACACTATTTAGGGATCAACATAAAATTGAAAAATGAGAAAATTTCCATAAAATCTTTTAGCACTTCAGTGAATTATCCAGTCTTTCTAAATAAAGGATTATTTTCGGAGATGTATTACTTTAAGACTTTTTCTTCCAAGTACATTACAAATGTTTTAAACTAGTGTTTCCTTAAAAAACTGTTAAAAGAACAGTTTGGAGGCCAAAAGAAATTTCTCCCCCCACCCCCTGTTACAGAAAAAGCCAATGCCTTTAAGTAATTTTTTAAAGTTTTGATGCTGCAGAGCTTGAAACTCACTGTTTTATTACACATCAGTGTATTCTTTCTCGAAAAGTAACTCAAAGGAATAATGTACCTCCGTATACTAGACTGGAAGTGTAATGACACATTAAAGTGTCATCCTACGGTTCACTTAACCTAAATCCATTTCCATTATGACAAGACCCACTATTACACCTAAGGCATAGAACTCAGATCTGCTATGTAGACCACGGCAATGACTAAAGAGTTTCTTAAAGGGGCAGGCAGTACTGATCCCACCTATGAAACAGGATAATTGCACATTCATTCTACAGATAAGAAAGCTGAAGCTTAGGGAAGTTAAATTATTTTCCCAGTTTAAAAAAATCATCTACAAAATGATATTTCTAATTCATTAGTCAGATGCCTGGAATCAAGGTGCCCCTAGCAACAGATTTTTGGAGAGCAAAGAATACCATTCCCTTGTTTTAGAGATGAAGAAGCTGAGGCTTTGAGTGGGTAGGTTTCCTAAGATGCCACAGCTGCTTAATGTACAGCACACAGATTGCCTGCCTAACAGTCCAGTACTCTTTTTCTAGAAGTGCTTTCTTTACACCCTGCCCTCACCATAGGGCTCCCTGACTACCACCTTCCAAATAATGAGCCACAGGCAGGCAACTGCCTCCCAAGCAGAAACCCTCTGCTGAGTTCAGGTGTTCTATATGTGCGGGACTCTCATGAGCCCAGAAGCCTTACTTCGGATAGACTCTGGTTCCGGGGAGCCAGACTGTGGGACCATCAGAGACTGGGAGCTGTTCTTTTTTTCTCCACTGGCTGCACCAGCTGCTGAAGGAACAGCCTGGGAATCTGGATTCTCAGCATGGATGGTAAGTTTTACTGTCGTCTTTGTTGTCTTCAGAAGGCTAATAAACTGGCAGGGTGTATGTGTGGAAGAGAAACAAAATTCAAAGGTGAATTAGTTGACATACCAATGAGTCACCATTACCAATGGAATCTAATTCTCTCTGTGGTTAAGGGGAGAGACAAATGCAAATTATTTCTTTGTCAAAGAAATGGCTCTAATTTCTCTCTAGCTTTTCCAAATGCCTGATGTAGATTAGGGCCATGGTTAATTTCTACTTTAACTCTAGCTCTGACCAGATTTTTCCTTACATAAGACTTTCAACTTTTTACATCTCTAATCTCATCCATTTTTCTGGATGCCCACAACCTTAGAAGATATATGGGTTATTTTACCTACTTCCTGACTCTATAGAAGCAGCTTACACAAACAGTTTTAATAAAATAGAAACACATATGTTACAAGCAGAATAAGAAAAGCATGCAACAAAAAAGTCAAGGCAAACGAAAAGTTAAAACATAGATTTATGGGTTAAAGGATCTGGCCTAAATACTTATTAAAAACTGAATTTTTAAAAAGTAACTTTAAGCTTCTTACTGGACAATGAAGAAATGATTAATAGTTATATGGTTCTCCTTCATTATAAGAAAGAAAAAGCATACCATATTTCAAGAAAACAAAGCTTTTTTTCTGGCACTTATAAATAAAAGGCCTCAAATGAGATACTAAATAAATATTAAGATCTCTTTTGAGGAGAGGAAACTCAAGTACAAGATATGTTTAACCCTAATAAAAGTTATATATTTAATGGTTGAGTCTTACAATCTGTTTATAAAGTAGTATACACAGTGGATATTTATAACAGCAAATATTCACTAAAATTTTTTTCGCACTAACAGTCACTATTAAGGAGTTTAAAATTTTCCTAAGGAAAAAATGGAAATATTTATCAAAAATGCCCAGTGAATATTGAATAATTTGGCAACAAAAAATACCTTAACACTACCTGGAAAATAAGAAATAGAAATTGAAGAACTTGTGAATAATCTCTTCTTTTCCTTAAGAACATGTCTTTTACAGCTACAAAACCCTAATTCCCTATGATTTGTAGACACAAACACTTTAATCATGCCCAAGGATGGGCCTATATTACCATTTGCTTTATTTTGGAAAATTACCTTTTCAACAGGGTAACCAACAACAATTTCATCATCTACAGCCAATATCTGATCTCCGACTTTGAGTCGTCCATCCTAAATGGAAATGTAGAAGAATTTGAGTGATATTCCAAAAGTAATTCCCTCCCCAACTACTTAGTGACAGCAAGAAAGGTAAACCTCACCGTGGCTGCTACCCCATGCTCTGTTAAACTCTTTATGATGACTCCACGGAGTGTATCTTCTTCGCTGATAGCAATACCCAAACCCCCCTGATCCTAGAAAAGTAAAAACAAAAATGCTCAGAAGACTTGAGATAGATTAATTTTATCCAAATGGATACCAAGGGTAAGAAAAGCAATTAAAACTCTTCTAAAGTCCAGAAATCTAAGACCTTAGATCTTACATCTAAGATCTTAGAAATCTTGTCTTTTCTTAAGCAAACTTTCAAATTTTCCTAAAGGGAATAAATTTTCCTCCATCAAATATTCAAGTGTTGTCACTCTTCCCATATGTCTGACATCTTTAGTAACTTTAGCAAAATATCTGGACAGCAAAAATACATTCAATAATTCAATCAAAACATTCAGCATTTACAAATTTTGTCTAATGACTGAATAAGTCATTCAAAACCAACCAAAGAATCCCACCTCCTCTCTGGCCTGTCACTTGGAAATAACAACAGGATCTAGTCCCTTCATTCTTTTCTGCCCCTTTTCTTCCTCTAGCAGGCAGACTGCCATTACGGATGCAGACTCTGTCCTTTTGGGGGCTGAACACTCAAGAGTTGTTTCTCCAGAGAACAGCATTTCAATCTGCTGCAGACTGAAAATGCCTCTCAGTCCCAAGACAAGTTCCGAGAACCTGTCAAGGCTGGGGAGCTACATCTACTTTGCTACATTTTCCACATTTCCCTTTATCAAAACCAAATGTTCAGAAATATTGGCTTTTAGCTTTCTTTAATGTTTACTTTAATAAAATTAAAATCGAGTTTTTAACATTTTCATGCTGGCCAGAGCCAGCAACCTAATTTTTTCTCCAGAGAAAAGTTACAAAAAGCAAAGAAGAGAAAAGGGAATCTTGACATGGTTTCTCTGAAATATACACGAGTTTAATGTGCCATCAGAGATGTTTATGGTAATGGCTATGACATCAAGGTAGGTTTCAACATCATTTTAAAGATTATCAACCTGCAGCTCTTCTGAGGTAGATTATTAATGCCTGATGAGTTTGAAACTGTCACTGACCATCTCTCTGCTACCTCTCTCTTTCCAGGTAATCAGTCATGTGTATCTGCCAGAGTAAGCTGCACCTTTAGAGTGAGCAGAATTGACTTTACCTTCTACCTAACAATAGAAATTTGGATATGCCACTTAACATCTCTAATCCTCAATTTTCTTACCTACGAAATCTAGATTTTCTTGTCTACAAAATGGAATAATAATACTTGTCACGTAATGGTCAGGAAAGTACTTTATTGGTACAGTGGGTATTTGCTGATTGTTTACCTAATACTGCTTCCCATCTTACCCCTTTATACAAATGGATTTTTATTAGAATATCTAGCCTTCCCACCCACCCCTCTCTTCCCCCAACCTCCATATTCTCTCTCCCACCTTCTTCCCTCACCATGTTTCAGGCTGCAGATTAAAAATATGAGCAGAAATTATTTGATACTTCTCCCTTCAAGAAGGAACCTAAGAGCAGGGGCTTGACTTAGTGACTTGATTCTAACAAAGAGAATAAAGCAGAAGTAATGGTGTATAACTTCACAGCCAGGTCAAAAAAGGCAAAGGGGCTTCCTCCTTGCTGTCTCTCTTGGATAACTTGCTCTGCAAGATGCCAGCCGCCATTGTCCTAAGAAAACTCAAGCAGCCCCATTTAGAAGAAATAAGGCTTCTTGCCAACAGCCATTTGGGTAAATCATCTTGGAAGCAATGTCCAGCTCAGTCAAATTTTGAGATGACTGTAGCCCTAGCTGGCGATGTGTCGGCAATTGCACAAGAGATTCTCAGAAGATCCCCCAGCTAAAATGCTCTGAAATTCCTAACCCATAGAAACTGTGAGACCATAAATGCCTGTTGTTTAAGTTGTGAAGTTTTGTGGTAATTTGTTACATAGCAAAAGTTAAGGAGCTCCAAGAATGGGGTTTGAACAACTGAAGTCAATTCTACAATTACAGTCTCATGGTCATAGTCCCTGGCTCAAAAGTAGACACATGATCTGAACTGATTCAATTAGGATAATCTTGGAACTTTTGCTCAGAAGGCTTGAATAGCCATTCTCTCCCTTCTCCCAAGATACATATAAAAGAAGTAGCGCATGGCCCAACTATGGTTGGCAGCCATTCTAAAACCATGAGAAAGACAAGTCTTGGGATAAAGTTGACACTGAATGGCACAGTATCACACAGACAGGGAAAGAAACAGGCTCTTGATGACACTATTCAGTCACAGGACAAACTACCCTTGAAGGTTGCTGACCTGAGTCCACAAATCCTCTTCCTTGATGAAACCTAATAGAATTAGTTCGCTTTTTTTCCTGTTATTTGCAACAAGAGGAGTCCTAAAAGAAAACAATAAGCAACAAATCTGCATGCATAATATGCCCAAACTCAACTAGAATACTACAAAAACAACTATATACACATCAACAAACTATTTATTGATATCAGAAAAGCAGGATGAGGCTGGGCGTGGTGGCTCAGAACTGTAATCCCAGCACTTTGAGAGGCTGAGGCAGGTGGATCACCTGAGGTCAGGAGTTCAAGACCAGCCTGGCCAACATGGCGAAACCCCATCTCTAATTAAAGTACAAAATTAGCCAGGCATGGTGGTGCACACCTGTAATCCCAGCTACTCAGCAGGCTAAGGCAGGAGAATCGCTTGAACCTGGGAGGTGGAGGATGCAGTGAGCCGAGATCACACCACTACATTCCGGCCTAGGCGACAGAGTGAAACTGAGTCTCAAAAAAAAATAAATAAATAAAAAATAAATAAATAAATAAATAAATAAATAAGAAAAAGAAAAACAGGACGACAAATAAGAAAGGATAACAGCATATGAGTGTGCAATTTTTTATTTAACTGCTCAACTTTCCAACTTACTTTCACCAGAGTGCATATAGTCCTTAGCAAGAAGAGATCTGAGATACTTTGTTTGGGGCTAGTTATTAAAACACTACCATACAGAAAATAGAAAACAAATTAAGGAAATATATTTTCATGTTTTTTTTTTCTGTTTTAAAATATTATTTTAAAAGTTTTTTAGAGATGGGGTCTTGCTATGTTTCCCAAGCTGGTCTTGAATTCCCACCTCAGCCTCCCATATAGCTAGGACTACAGGGATACACCATTGCACCTGGCTTCAAGGAAATATATTTTTGAATGAGCTGTATCATTAAGCAGCTAGAAAAGAGTAATAAACAAGAATGAAAAGTCGAATTAAGCTTAACAAATTATTATTATTTGGAGGATTATTTTGAAGGTAGAAGCTTCTCTAAAATTCAAAAGAAGAAAAACTCTTAATCCTATTTCAAGGCTTTCCCCACATAAACTTGTATGGATATGAAGCACAGCTTTGACAGTCATAGAAGGCTATTACCTGCTTTGATGCATGGGTACTTCCTAGGGCAAACTGTGCTAAAAATCAATCTTTAATCAAAACTGTTTTCTGATCAATTGAATTTGCATTTCAGTCAGCGACTGTGGGTTTAGATTCTACATATGGGAGCTTTCTGCTTATACTTCTATTTTCCCATTTTTAAAAAATATAAAAGATTAAAAAAAAGATAATTGACTTGTCAAGAGTTTCTAAGGAGTCAAAACAGAACTAGAAATGAGCTGTTAGTAGAGCTCTCACTTTTAGACAATGCAAAAATTATTCTCTTCCTGACTCTCCTGATCTCAACATCTTTCCCCCTTATGCATGTACAGCACATAACCGTTTATTCATTCTTCCTTCTCAGATATTTACTCAGTCTGAACTATGTCCATGACAGTAAGTAATGGGAAAGAAAAAGTGAGAATTTCTTCTTTCAACATGTGTACGTTTTAGATGTACAGTAAATATACCCACATCAAATTTCATCACAGGAGACAAGCTCTTGGGTCAAACATGGTTAAGTGACAAATAAAATGAAGACATTAATAGTAAGTACTATATAAACCAAAATATTGAAGTAATATTTCAAAATAAACACAGGTGAGATTTAAGTTCGGTCTTTAGTGTATGTAGGATTTATATAAGTTAAAAGAAGTCAGAAAGACCAAGTGATATAAACCAAGGCAAGGAGGGATAAATTCTCAAAACCTTCTCCATGAGCTCTTGATTCAAATCACTTTGACTGAAGTACAGGATTCCTAGAAGGAACATACAGGCATTTTAGAAAGGCAGATGGGGCCCAGTAGCAAGTTGAAATAGGTAATGGATGGGAAATGGGACTTGGAGGCAGAAGACCAGAGTTCAATTCCAGCTCTACTATTTGGAGTTATGGGAACAGTTCAAAGTGGAGAAAACAATAGCAAGCTCACAGGGTTGCTAAGAAGTAAATACCATAATGAACACATGTTACATTACCATTAAATTATTATGTCAAATAACTAACTATAATTTAAAAAAATGTAGGATAGTAAAAATGACAAAAGATTTAAGCTGATTCATGAGTGTTAGAAGCTGTTTCTTTCTCCCTTCTTTGCTTAATTGAGTTTTATTCCCAGAGCCATATAATAATGGGGTTAGGAGTGCCAGGCTTAGTGTAATATGTCACTTAACGTCATTTTTAACAATGGCTTCCTCAAGAGATGTTTTCAAGGATATATTCTATCTGGAACTCAGAAATTCATGGTTAGAAGTATTAACAAAAATAATTATAATAACTCACACTGTGGTAAGCACTTTGTATAAATTTTTTCATTTAATCCTTACAATAGCATCTCTAACGTAAAGGGATTTTCCTCATCTCATGAGGAAAGTGAGACCCAGAGAAGTTAAACGGTATAGAAAATAGCCTGTTGTATGGCAAGAGTGACACCACCTTGAAGCGAAACTGCCATGGTGACCAGTGTTTGACTCCTGCATACCAAGGTGTTCTGTAGCGAGCCCTGTAGCATAGATAATCCTTCATAAAGACGTTTACCTAAACTCTCCACTGGTAACAAGTTTCAGCAAGAAACTCTGAGACGTGACCAGCTACATGTCTTTATCCTTGCTACGTAAAGAATACTTTCTGGAGCGTGGATGCTGGGATCCACTGTCTTGTGGCCACCAGCAACATGGCTTCTGTACGTAAGTCCCTGTTAAGCATTTCTTTCTGATAAACTGGATTTGTCAGCCTCTCTCTTCAGGCTCCCAGCTCCCTCAGTCTTTGGAAGTTGGTTTGCATATACCTGCTTACCATGGAACAAATGGCTTGCCTATTGCCCAGAGAAGTTAAGTGACTCCAAAGCCCACACTTAAAATCATTAAAATCATGGTTAATTGCCTCTTCTGTCTAGCTACTTTTAAAAGATTCTTGTATCCCCTTACTTACTTTGGCTTTCATCAATAAATACATTCTAGCTACCTGAGCTTTAGATTTGTTTGAAATCTACATATAAATGGAAGCTTTCAGTGGGCAATACATTGAGGTTCTCCAAGGTCCTGCATTCCTCAATAGCATCTAATTTAGAAAGGGAAGTACACATAATAGACATCTGCTGAATAAATAAAAAAGGAGGCGAAAGGCAGAAACCAGCTTTTATATTGCAGAACGAAGGAACCTTGCTCATTAGCTCATCCAATCCCAACAATAACCCTTAATATAGGCAGCCCATTTACAGAAGAAGAAAGTGAGGACCAATGGGATTAAGTGATTTATAGCCGATCACTCAGGATGTGAGAAGGGCTTCTGACAGACAGCACAGGCTTCTGTCCACCCTCATTGCTAAATGCCCAACCAAAGAACTTGAATGTATCTGTTAGGAAATGAACGTCCTTGGGAGGTTCTGAGTAGGGGATTAAGATGCTATGAACATCTATCAAGCACCTTAATCAGGTAGTCTAATGTGGAAATAGAAAACATCAGAGAAAATCACTGACAAGTAGCCATCAGACAACTCTATACCAGCTTATTCATCCCTAATTATTAAAACAATAATAATAGCAAACAATACTTGTATATGTGTGCCAGGTGCTGGAAACTGTACATATGTATATTTAATTTTCACAATATTACTTAATTCTCACTACAAGTCTATGAGGTAAGTTGGACAATTATTAAGTCCATTTTCAAAGGCAAAACTATGTACAGGTTAAGAAACATGCTCAAAGTCACAGTCTCAGCCAGTGAGTGATAAATCTAGGTCTCTGACCCAGGTGGTCTGGCTTTAAGTATGTGCTCCCAACCATTACAGTAGGCTGCTCTTTATTCATCTAACATGTCATTCCAGAAACATTTCCTGGGCACTCATTATATCCTAGAATATACTAAGCCTCAGATGATAAATTAAAATCCATACCATGAAAGGATATTTTAAAATTATCTAATTTTAGACTTTTCTAAAGATCAACATAAACAGATTTTTTTAAAAAATCATTCATTATAAAGTATTCAACATACATTTAAATGTTTCATAATTAACAAATTATAGGGAAATGATTGCACTGTTAAATATTATAAACTCTTCAGGATTTAGGAGGAAAAGAAACTAAGAGCGGAAATCAGAAAGGGAAAGAGGAAGATGTCATCTCTCTTAAATGGAGACAGAATGAGGGATTCTCAAACTGAAGTGTATGGACTTCTTGATAGAAAGGTAAAAAGACTTTAGTAACTTCTTTTCTTTTTAACCACAACAGAAATAGTCCATCATGATAAAGACTCCTCTTATGTGTATAGTACAAGACTAGAGCGATGCATTTTTGTATATAGTTATCACTGTAAAAAATGGCAATAAAAATATCAATATCGTCAGGGTATTTTTTCCCCCTGAATACTTAACAGAATCTGACCATGTGCCAGGATAAAGGTGCTATTATCATCTTCAATTTACAAATAAGGAAACTGAGGCAAAGAAAGATCATACAATGTGTGAAGCGTGTACTTGATGAAACAAGGATTCAACCCAGACAGAATGACTCTGGAGCTGAGGCTCTCAAGCATCATACTGCACTGCCTCCTGGCTGGAGAGTGGCAATACGGACCACTCTCTTTCCTTCTGTCTGCAGCACTTCCTATAAATATTCTCTGACCTCCCTACCCCACCTCCTGCCTTCCTCTTCTTCCTGGGCACTTCACTGCTCTTTCAGCTTATACTCATGCTCTTCCATTGTCCACCTGCTTAACTGCAAGAGCCTGAAGCACCCAAAAGCATTTATAGGTTTCTGTTCAGCAAACTATCTCTTAAAGGCAATCATATGAGTCGAAAATTCACTTCTAAATATATGAGCTTTCCTATTTTTAAAGGATAAAACTATAATTTCTATTTCTTTATTTTCATTTCCTCCATAGCGGGACCTTAGTAAAGGAATCAATGGACAGATACCTAAATTTCATAATTTGGAATAATTACAAAAGGGCAAGCTGGACCCCTGATAAAGTATCAGTTAGCACAGTAGTTTTCAAATTTAAATGTGCATCAGGCAGGTCTAATAAAACACAGACTTCTGGGCCCAATCCTAGAGTTTCTTATTCAGCAAGTAAGTTTGAGTGGGCCCAAGTATTTGCAATTCTAACAAAATCTCAGATGATGCTGATGCTGTTAATCTGGAGACCACACTTTTGAGAACACAGTGAATTAGAATTAGAACACTGATGTAAAGGAACTCACATCATTTCATTCCAATTCAAAGCAGATTTACCTTAGGAAGCTCCAGATGTTGCACATTTTTAAATGAACTGAGGTCCACAGCTGCATCAGAAGTAGTAACAGTTGGCTCTGTCTGACAGAGGGAAAGAAATGACAAAAAGGACAACTGCGTGTTAGGAATTTTGATTTGTTTAAATATAAGGGCCACTTATTCAAAATTATTTTATACATTATACAAAATTATTTTAATACATTTATTTATTTTAATACACTATTGTTATTTTAATACATTTATTTATTTTTATATATTTTTGCTATTTTAACATTCTATGGAATTTATGAACATTATATTCTTTTCAAAATACTTATGAGGTGTAACTGGACGACAATCAGTTGAGAGCACAGATAGACCAAGTGGCTTGAAGACTGCCTGGATTTACTGTATAACGAAAACTGATGGCAGCCCAGCTACCAAATGGTGAAACTCACTGACAGAGCACCAGCAGAAACACCATTCATTATTCTTTACTGCATTATTTATCAAGTGAATTGAAAACTTTGTTTTACCTGAACGTTATTAAAAATTCCTTAAGAGACATATTTAGTACAAGTAATATGAAAAAAAATATATTACTTTATAACCTAGTTATCTTAAATAACCACATGGCATAGTTGAATGTTAGGAGCAGCCAGAATGAGACAATGATTTGTACATCTATCTTATATACACATAAGCTCTATTTTTATATATTGATTTAGGGAAGAATGTTTCTCTTCCTACAGCTATCCCCACTGATAATCACCAAGGTTCCTCTAATTTAAAGCTTTTCATTCTCTACTAACTCCTTTTATTCATCATACACATGTACCCAAAGCTTTCCTAAATCAAAACAAAACCACTCTCCCAATTCTCTATCACTCTCTAGCCACTGCCTCTCTCTCTCCTTGATTTCTTGTCCATCATTTGCCTTCTCAAAAACCACTAAAAGTCTCCTAGTTACCAAACCCAAAGGACTCTCTCTACTCATCGTCTCGCTGGATTCTTGCTACATGGCAGCATGTAGAGCTGTGGAGTGTACCCTTGAAAGACACTCTCCTCCGCTGCTCTGCCACATGCCCTCCTGGTTCTTCATAGCCTCTGATCTCTTTGTTCGCCTTCCTCCTTATTGTTGCTACCACATGATTCTGCCCTTGGCCCTCTTTCTCTCTAAATGCTTTCTCAAGCACCTCAGTTTCCGTGGCTTAGAAATGCCAAATCTGCATCTACAGGAAATCATCTCTAAACTGGAGACCAAATGTCCCAATGTAAACTTCTACCAGGCTATCCAACAGCCACTTTGTTCTTACCCTGCCACAAATAGAATGTACCATATTTTTGCAAATATCTTTCTGTATTTTCTATTTGGTAGAAAACAGCCATCCCTCATATCACTAAGTCAGACATCTGAAAACCTTTTATATCCTATCTGTTTTATTCTCCAGTCCAAAGAGCAATATCTGGTATAAGGCAGAGTACTCAGAAAATATTTGTTGGTTAAACACATCTTCAACCATTCATTTTTCCTCAATGAGTACATTTAGTTGGGGATGAAGTATTACCGATTTGGGTCTTAAACATCTGATGTAACCATTCCCTCTTCTAGCTTTAGTTCAGGTCCTCGTTAACTGTTTCCTCAATGATTCCAATAATTATCTTACTTCCTCTAACTTCTCTCCCCTGCTGCTTCTGATTTTTCTCTACAGTACTGCCAGAGAAATTTTTAACTATACATTTCTCATTCTTTGAGCTCCACACTGTCTCAAAGACAAGGCTGGCACATGTTAGCCTACCAGTGTATTCCATGATCTGACCCTTTCCCCTCTAATATTGACCCTTTCCCCACCAGCTCCCATTCCCTGCCCCTCATTGCTCAGTGATGCTCTATAATTTTGTTCCCTGCACTGGCCAGAGTATCCACGCCATTACTCACTCCATGCCCTCTGCTTGCAACATTTTTACCCCCCAAATCTTCCAACATACACTTCATATGTAACCTTCCCTATAAAGTTTTATTCTCAATTTCTTTTCAGAGGCAGAACTGATAACTCTTTTCCTACCCTCACTACAGACTACAAGTACTCTTCACATAAGTGGTATGCTTATTTCCATGAGCGTCTTCTTATACTAGGATTTACACTCCTTGAAGGCCAAGGATATAACTTATCTACCTCTAAGATCCCTCTCTAAGTGTTAGGTGATTGATTGATTGAATTAATAAGGTGCACATCAATCAAGTCTTCCCAGAGAAACAAATATAAGTTACATATACCTCCTTATTTTGAAGATTTTCTGAGGTAGAAGGCAAAGGTTCTACTGCATTTCCAGGACATACGGCCATCTGATTCACTGCATCTTTATTTCTGAAAGCAAAAAAACAACAACCTGTTATAACATAATGGTATTATTTTCATTCTCTTACTTCAAAAGTCAGAAGGTTATCAGAGAAAAATTTTTAACCCCCAAAAGCTGGAACTATGACACTTACATATTTACAAATATTTTCTTTTCTTTCTTTTTTTTGAGACAGAGTCTCTTTCTGTTGCCCAGGCTGGAGTGCAATGGCACAATCTCAGCTCACTGCAACCTCCGCCTCCCAGGTTCAAGTGAGTCTCCTGCCTCAGCCTCCCTAGTAGCTGGGACTACAGGCGCATGCCACCATGCCCGGCTAATTTTTCGTATTTTTTCTTTTTTTTTTTTTTAGTAGAGACGGGGTTTCACCATGTTAGCCAGGATGGTCTCGATCTCCTGACCTCGTGATCTGCCCACCTCGGCCTCCCAAAGTGCTGAGATTACAGGCGTGAACCACCACGCCCGGCCACAAATGTTTTATTTTCATTCAAAAGAACTCCGAGTAGAAATGCTAACAAAAAGTATTTGGTAAACTAGCAAAAGAAAATGATCACCTGATAAAAATTATTTTCACTTTAGAAGGGGCACATTTAATGATTGATGAGGCATTCTGATGACTTCTTCCATATAAAATCTGACCATTGATCTGTGAGAAATAAATAGCATTAGTTGGGCCTGAAATTTTAGTATCATAAACTTTTATCATCCTTCCTCATTAATGAAAAGCACATTTTTTCTTCCTTTCAAATATATTTTATATTAAATGTTATATATTTTCCTCCCCAGAACATGAACCTGACTTTTCATGGTGAATAAAAGAATAGCTCATGTTTAAAGCCAGCATTAAAATAATGCACATGAAGTCTGACATCCATGGACTGCTGATAAAGAGGCACCACTTGGACCAACTGCAGGAGAGTAGATAGCAAATTTCCTGGCAGGCATGGGGCTCCCAGGATGCTCTGCACAAAATGAGGGTTCTATGGAAAAACTTGTCACCTGCAAGACCATCCTGGGAAGTTCCTTACTGTCGTATTTCCCACTTAGTCTCAAAACTCAAGCCCTGGAAATAGGTCACTGGGAGAAGAAATGCTGGGTAGATTCAGGATTTAGGCAGCAAACTGTGCCTAAACAGTATAGTGCCTAATGCAAATGACTGGCTCAGTCATTTGGTCGTTTAGTCACTGCCAACTGAACCTTCCCTGTCTATAGGGAAACATACTCAGCATGGGAAGAATATAAAGGCAGTATAAAATCATGTGGATCCCAGCCCAGGAGGGGCAAGGACAAACAACACAAGCAAATAAAATTCTAAACCCTATAAAGTATGGTCCACAAATTTATTTTGTTTGGCAGGCTGAGTTACTGCTTGTTATTTAGCCTTAACCTTGACCCCACCCCACCTCACCCTCATCACTTCTCCCATTAGTGATTCAAGTTCCAGAATGTCCAGTGGGTCAGCCTCTGGGGAATTACTGGTCACTTGGCTTTTCAAAAACTCCTCATAAAAATGCAGCACACAAAACAAATGCTTTTGAAGTGTGAGCTTTATTACTATCTTGGGGCAAAAATTGTTTCTGGTGCTACACAGTCATGACCTTTTAATGGATGTTAATGGGAACATGGACTCTACTTAGTAGAAATTTGGTGTAGAGCCAGATTTGCTGCAATGCATCTATTTTATTAAGCAAGCAATGGCTTTCTCAGTCGCTATAAGGTATAGGTGATTTTCTGGAAACTGACGGTTCCATTACACTTATAAAACAAGAATAAATTCAAAGTTTTCCACAAAAACTTACCTCTAGAAGCTCATCTGCAATTTGTAATCGACCATCTTTTCCTGCAGCTCCATTTGGATCAATCCCCACTATGAAGACACTCATCCTGGATCGGTCTTTGTTCCCAGCAAGACTTAGGCCCAAACCACTATGACCTTTCTCCAGTTCAATCATATGCAGCTCACCTGTTAGGGTTCCATAACGCTCTCTGATATTTTCTACATACAACAACAACAAATACATATTTAAAGTTAATTTACAGTCAAATGCTTTACTGTGGAAAGCTATTTAGTTTTATCTCAAAAGGGCAGTATTTAGTACCAAAATGTAATCTTTGTCAGTTAAAAGCTAAATAGACTAGTCACTTGGGCATCAGGACTGGTTTCCTGGAGGACCCAAACTTTGAGGAATTTCTTTGCATCTAGGGTGCAGAGAGCACAATGTCTGATTAATCAGTTCTCCTTGGGGTGGTTATGCCAAAGAGAAGTGATTCATATTTACAAACTCTCTTTTTTTTCTTTTTTTCTTTTTTTTGGAGACGGAGTCTCGCTCTGTCGCCCAGGCTGGAGTGCAGTGGCCAGATCTCAGCTCACTGCAAGCTCCGCCTCCTGGGTTTACGCCATTCTCCTGCCTCAGCCTCCCGAGTAGCCGGGACTACAGGCGTCCGCCACCACGCCCGGCTAATTTTTTGTATTTTTTTAGTAGAGACGGGGTTTCACCATGTTAGCCAGGATGGTCTCGATCTCCTGACCTCGTGATCCACCCGTCTCGGCCTCCCAAAGTGCATATTTACAAACTCTCAAAAGACTATGATTAAACCAGAAACTTGATCATTTGCAGAGGAGAACAGAACTGAGGCATCCAGAATATCTGTGTTCACTGAACAGTGGGAACTTTTCTCCCATTGGAATATCAACATTGTATATCACATCATGTTGGGCAGTTTCTGGGTAGATATATGCAAAATGAAGGGAATGAGCTTCCTTTTTGCACAGAGCTATCACGCCAGGACAACTTGATACACGTATCCCAGCTTTGGGACACATTTCCTAATTAGATGACACCATTTACATCTCCTACCCCACAGCTTCAAGAGGTGATGGTTATTGTGCACCCTATTTAATCTGTGAGGGCTAAGGCCTCACGTAGGTGCTCCAGTGCACAGCCACAGATGAGCAACCAGCCAACAGCCAGCATTACTTGCCAACCATGTGAATGAGCTGTCTTGGAAGTCCAGCCCAGCTGGGCCCAGTCACCCACCGCCCTTTGATAGATTAATAATAAATTATTGTTTTATGCCATTACATTTTGGGGTGGCTTCATAATAGAAAACCGAAACATTCCAGTTCACATTTTCCTCAAGAGTACCTTCTGACCACACTGATTGTTAGCAATACGCTCTAGCGTCACTGAGAACAGACTGAGAAACCTACAAACTTTACCAGTCATCTTAGAAAGTGTTACTATATGGCTAATGGGCTAATGTCATGCATTCTACATTGATTCCTAACTGCATCAACCTCATAAACTATTTCCTGATTCCCACAATATAGCAGCACAATTTTTATGTTCCGTACTTCCTAAAAAGATGTACTGCAGCTTTCTTAAAGGAAATAATTCGATTTTTAAAATAAAACTTTTTAAAACAATGACATTGATAACTTTGGGCTAAATTTTAAGTATTTTCCTGTAAAATGGTATTTGCTTAGAAAACAGAGACTCTCTATTGGCCCTAATAACAGCTGCCTATGAAACACTGCTGGGCACGAGGCGCTGTGCTTAGCACTCTTTTGGCACTGTCTAATTGAGTGTTAGCAACCTGAGGGGAGAACTCCATTTTAAAAAGAGAGATAATCACTAGGCTAAAGCTTAGAGACAGTTAAACAGTTTAGTCAATACCTAAAGTTTTTATCTCCACAATTATACTACATCACCATTCTGGTATAGAAAATGCACCAGAAGTTCAAGGTGTGATATCAACAACAGCCAGATTTTACATGAGGAATCTGAGGCCCAGAAAGGGGTGGTGACTTGTTCAAGACACAGAGTGGCATAGCTTCTGAGAGAGTGCCCTGTCCTTATTAATTCTCATACAAAAGGCAGAGTGAGCTTTAACAGCACTTTTAAAGGAAAGGAAGAGTATGATTTCATGCTTCAGGAATGTATGCTGTATTCAAGCAAAACAAACACCATTTCTTTCCACACAGAACTGCAGTATATATCACAAAGCTGCAACATACTTATTTATCCAGGGCACAATCCTTGAGAAACTCAGAGCTATTTTAATACCTCTTATAATTAAATGCATCACAAAAAGACAACTTACTCCAGCTGTAACCAAACTCATCCTCTTTGTCCACATCTTGTGAGGTTTTGCTTGCAGATGACTGTGTGTGATCACTACCCATTTCTGCAAAGGCTGAAGGAGGGGGTGGGGGCACACTGCACAATGGAGCCTTCTCTGGCTCTGACTCTGACTGACTGGGTGCCTGTGGGAACAAAAAGAATGCAGTGGGTTTGTGCAGTCTAAGGAAGAAAACTTCAAGAAGAAGAAATAAGATTATAATGTCAAAAACAAGACTGGCTTTAAAATAAATAATGGAAAGCTCATATATGTATATAATATATATATAAAATAACAATGGAAAACTCATATATATATAATATCTAACAAATAATGGAAGGCTCAAATTCTTAAATATTTTATATAATATATATGATATATATATATAAAAAAACATACATATATGAGCTTTCCATTATTTGATATTTTAAAGCCAGACTTTGTTTTTGACATGATATTCTTATTTCCATATATATCTATTTATATATATAGATAGATAAGAAATATTAGATGGGATTCAGGCAAAGTTTAAATATATTAAACTAAGTAGTATCAGAGAATAATTCACTAAGCTTTTATTTGCTATTTTAAGCCAATGAATTAATGAATTTGAAGGCTTAAATGACTTGGTAGAAAATTGAACTTTTCCTTCTAGAAAAAAATGTCATTCAAAAGTTATAACGTTTGGGTCTGGGTAAGATTTGAGGCATGTAGAAAAATCTGCCAAGAAACTGCAGAAAAAAAAAATTAACAAAGAAGTTGCCCTTCAAAGCTTATTAGTGAGACTAAACATAAATAATTATTTATTGCTACCTGAATCCTCTCTCCACATGATTCTCTTAACAAATCCAGGACAGCAAGTATCACACATGCAGGCTTGTCTACCAGGGAGCCAGTTTGTTAGCACAGAGCACACACTCGGATCTGAGAGGCATGGTTTTAAGAACACCAGCTTTCCCTTGCCAAGGCAGATCACAAGATAAATGAGGAAGCACAGAGGCTCCTTAATAGAAAGCCAAAGCGTGGCATACTGGCTGTCACTTAGGGTCATAGGTCCTATTTCAAAAAAAAAAGGACTTGGCATCATCAAGTTCTTAATATTGCAAAAATAATTCCAGTTTTTGCCATTAAAACTCCAATTACTTTTGCACCAACCTAATATTATAGATGATCAAACAGAATGTCAAGAGTTTGAAAGGTCTTTAAGTCACTGAGTTCATTTTATTCATTTTGCAGATGAATAAACCTTTTGAACCTGAGGCTATAAGAAGTGAAAGTTTTTGTTTCAAATCAAACAGTGGTACTAGATTTCTTTTTGCTTAACTCTTAATCCAGTATACTTTCCATTATACCATGATGTCTCCTCCAACTTGCATAAGTAAGACAGTACCTAACTCAAAGGTCAGGGACATCCAGCTAAAGTTCTAACCTTGTTACAAAGCTGTCCCTGATGCCTTGAACCTATGGTTTTCCTATATATCTTTATTTTACTTTTTTACTGCATAAGAATTCCTCTGATACAATGTTTTATTATGTATGTTTATATCTAGAAAAACATTTTTTTTAAACTGACTTCTTGTAAGGATACATTAAGTGATAAACATGCACAAATTACTTAGCAATTATTTATTGGTACCAAGAATTAGAATACCTAAAAAGATATCTAACACTAGAACTATCTGAGACTGAATGTGACCTTTCTTTGTTGATTCAGAAAGCACTCAATTTTCTGGCAAAGCAAAAAGCTGACTGATAGGGATTTAAGGGCCTAAGTGTCAGATTACAGAATCTGCTATATTGAAATGTACAGTCTATACATCAATGGACAAACAGATGAAAGCTACTAATGTAAATGGAACCCTTGTCATCTTCCCAAATGCTGTGCCATAAATGTCTCAAATTAATAATATACCAATAAAAGCGAACACACACACATACACACAAAACCCTCATTTGATCCAATCAAGTTTCATTATCATAGTAAAAGGAGCAAGATATGCACTTTAGAATTTTTCTGGCTAAAAAAATTTACTTCTCTGTAACAACAGAAAATGTTATCAAGCATTGATTAAGTCCATTCCATTTTTAAAAAGTAGAACAAACTCTAATTTAAACTTCCCATAATTTTAACAAATCTAAAGATGACATTTTATAGATCTTGCTGCATAATTTTTCTGAGCTGTTATTTTAAGAACAAACAAACAAACAAAACCTGCTTATCTGAAAAACTGTCTGGGATCTCAGGCACAACATTTTCATACTGTGAGTAAACCAAAACCTACCTGACTAGTAAAACCAATATCAGCCTCTATTTACTTGAGGGGCAATCAGGTGTTACATTTTCATATCCCTGACACCCTCATTCTCATCAAGATCATGTATCTGCCTTGTTAGTGACACTTTTTAAAAGGTATTCATGAAAATATAGCTCTTTAACAAAGATTGCATAGCCTTCATTGTCAAAAATGCAATGTATACTTGAAACCACTCCATGCCGTGTATGTACACATCAAGTACAGCACACACATAAAGCACACTGTAACACACCCACATACGAAAATTCCACACTGACACAAACCTTAAAGGGTATGGGAGCAAAAGGGTTAGTTGGGGAACAATAGAAGATAATCCTACTTGAATTCTGTAATTCCTATAGCAATAGAAAACATATTGCTTCAGATATAGCACTTTTGGTTATCCATATCAATACCATGGTATTTATTACAATAACATGGAAATCTGATGAATATTCATAAAGTGTTTCCTGAAAAAAAAATTGTTGACTGCTTTCTTCTTTTTCATGATCAAATTATGGTATACAAATTCTTGTAAATTTTTGTTTCAATTTTGGTTTTATAATTTCATCAGAAAATGAGAAGATCCAAGTATAGATTTACGAGCATTGAAACAGTTACGTTTCCTGATTCAGGCAATTACATGGGCATGCTTCATGAATATTCAATAGACTCCTGCATGTACACATACACAATTATTTGTGCAGTGATTAACTCATGGAAGAGCTTTTATGATCACCTTGTAGAAGTCTGAAAAGGATTTAAATCAACACATGGTTTTAAAGAAATTATGTGTGAACGTATCACACATTTGGCAACTAACAAAAATTTAAATATCAGAAATTTTAAATCACACCAAAATGAAAGAAAAGCATTGGACTCATGATTCTCCCTTACTCTTCAGAAGGGCCATTTAATTTCAGCAATAAAAATAAATATTCTCTGGCAGGAAAATGTGCTTAAGAAAGGATTTGCATGCCCACTCCAAACAGCTTTGAGGGTTTTTTTTTTTTTTCCTGCCCAAATGTAGTAAATAGTGAACTGGGACAAAGACACAGCAATAACAAAGAACAAAACATATGCAAAAGGCAACCAACAGCAAGACAATGGGCATTATCCAACCTTGTCGGCGTTGATTTGTAGAGAGTCAGCAAATGGGTTAGTGCTGCTGAAGTTGTACTTAGGGTAAAGGTTGTGCGGCAAGGAAGGCAAAGGGGATTTCTAAAAGGAAACATAAGAGGCGCTGAACGCAAAGGAAATGTATTGAAAACAACTCAGTTTTAAAAGCAAAGCACATACTGATTTAAAGAACTGCCTGTGTGAAACTAGATCCTAACAGATCCAGTCATTAATAGCAACATCTTAAAACAGTCTGGAACTAAAGATTTGTTTCTGATGACCTAAATCTATACCTGAGTCTAAATCAGGTCACAAACCACACAGGAGACTAGTTGTCAAAGTGATTCCAAATTTCTTTTATTTTTGCTCAATGACTTCAGTATTACTAACAGAGGCACATATATTTTGCCCATCTTATATATTAATACACATTTCATGAATATCAGTAAACATGTTCAAAATTAAAACCACACAAGTTTTTTATTTACATCTAAAAGCTAATTATGTTTTTTAAAAATAATCTGTCTAGAATGCAAATTATAAATTGGTCTGCTAGTTCATTGGTAACCTTCATTATTCTTTTATTTTGTCTCCCAGTAAGGAAACTTTCATATTTTGACTTGATATTGACAGTGCTTCAGAGCAATTGTATTTTTTAACTTAAAAAATCAATAATTTATTAAAAACTGAACTCCTGTACAGTGGTGTTCTCTATTTCTGCCCAGTTTTTGTGGAGGAAGGAACATGGAGATTCATGTTTTAAATAAATTTCCTATAAAATTGCCCACATTATTGGAGAATTTATGAGGCTTTAGACAATATTTGAAGTCCTGCCTTACAGTGTTTCTCAGAGGTTTTGTGGCTTGCCAGTAATAAGCCCTGAGCCAGACTGTTAGAGTTGAAAATACATATTAAAGCCAGGATGACTGCCAGATAGAATTTAGCATTTTCATAGTTTAAAAAAAAAAAAAAAGTAATTTCCTTAGCACAATAAATTCTTCTCCTTCTTTTCACACCCGCTATCTTTTTCTTTTATTGACTGTATCTTTCAGGGGAAATTGCAGACATTTAAAATTCATTTTGGCTCCAATTAAATGTTTGTGTTACTTCTCTCTATAAAAAAGCCCCACTGGCAGGTGTCAAGTATAGGGAGAGGTTGTCATGTGACACCACCCTGTATGGGAGAACACTCTGGAAAGACTCTATCCTCAGTATGCCTGCACTAAAGCTTATGCCACATTACCCTTTCAATCTGCTCTTCTTGCAATGTTTTTCCTACAGAGGGAAGACAGGAAAAGAAATGGGCACAATGACATTTCTGCTCATCTCAACTTTCTCTCTGCTTTTCAGTTTAAAATGTCAACTCCTGCTTTACAAAAGAGAAGATCACAAATACCAAGACACATGACCATTTATTAAGGTGGAAGAAATGACTAGGCAGAGGTGACAAATACATCCTAGGCAAAACAATTCAATGCTATGGAAGGTGGAGATTATTTCTAATGGGACTTTTAGGTTTCCAGTGTACTGTATAATTCTGTAGAACACTAGAAAACAAAACTAGCAACAAATGGAATATGTAAAGAAAGCTCTAGTTTATAATTTTTTATTACTTTTGTTTTCTTTTCAATTTGCAGATCTTAGAGGATTAGAATTTGGCCCTGATAGCAAAGTGTAAAAGTATAGCATAGGCACAGCAGATACAATGGTAGATTATTATTAGGAAAAGATTTTTAGAAACTATTTCTTATTAAAAAATCAATGATGATACTTCTGTCTATAGTCTCAAGGGCTGAGAAAAGCAGAAATATTAACAACGAAGCAGCACAGGGAAGACAAAAACATTCTCTGGTCCATATTAAATAGGGCCCGCCTTTCAGTGAGAAAGTGCGGTCAGACTGAATTCTGTGAAGGGTCATACAGGTGAAATTATCAAGGCTACTTCTGGAAGTTTCTGATTCATGAAGAGCCTAAGGGCCAAAGCAACTGACTGGCTTTTCACCTTACGTTTAAGATTTCCTAGGAGCTTTATCTTACAACTACAGATAAAACAATTATCAGTAAGAGACTTTTAAGTATGTGCATTTGTGAGTGTCCCTTTTAGATTACTGGAGACCTAATTATCTCCATAAGGAAGTAAATTATTGAAACAAAATATATCTCATTTTAAATGCAAAATTAATTTTAATTTTCTAAAGCAAAATAAGTATGACTTGACTAAATATGTCATTCATAACAAGATTTACCCTGGAACAACTGCTATAAAATCAGGTATCATTATACCTCAGAGAGTAAAATAAGAGTGTTTTCCAGGTGTATGAGACAAGGTCTTCCCAGCTCATTGGAAAATGTGCCTGACACTGAAAGGAATATTTGTAGTTTTAAGTTTTTAAAGCAACATTGAGAATCACTATTCAGCAATTTATAGTATTGTCCCAAATGATGTAAAAGTTGTAAATTATAAATAAAACAAAAAAAAGGACTAAAACCCACCCACAAAAAATAGCTTTAACTTAAACACCCATTTAACATTATTATGCTGTGTGTATGTTTAACACACAAATGGAAACAAATGTGAAAGGATTTATAGTTATTTAAACAAATAGAATAGTTCTGTAAAGAATGCAGCATAATGCAGCCCTACCATTTGGCAAATTTTCTTTCTGAATGGATAATTATTACCTAACAATAAACAACTGAATGATTAAAAATTGCAGATGTTGAAGTGCTTACATTAAAAACTACTAGATTCACTCTTTACAGTAAACCCAGACCAGAGTTACACCTGTCTTCACAACAGAAGGAAGGGCCAGTAAAATAAATTAAATCTGGTCACTTTACAGTCCATGCATAGAATATTGATAAGTTATTTTGACAGAGCTCATCTAAAGAGCTGTTGGTTATTTTCATCATTTGAACCTTAATATCTTAAATTCTTAATTTCAGAAGTTAATTAAACTGAGCCCTAATATCTTAAATTCTTAACTTTACAAGTTAAATTAAATGTATTTTGCAGATAAAATTAAATATTTTAAGTTTTAGATGATACCTTCAACTTCCCTCACATATGTTGATATTTTTGTTTTAAAGACAACCAACCCTAAAAACTAGTAAGCAGGTAATTCAAAGAGAATCACTATGATAGAGGTTGTTAACTTAAACCCAAAAAAGGAGCCTGTAAGTCTTCAAGACATCTAGGAAATGGTATGCAATTTTTGAATGGATGTGTATGTTTCTAAAGAACTTTCACAGGGGTATGTGAATCCAATATGCTTAATAACTGCTGCATGTGAATTTTTTTTTTCATGAGGCACAAAGAAGGACTCAAAAAAATAGTTTTAAACTCTTGGCATAATTTTCATCTTCAGCAGCAAGTCATATCAAATCCAAAGCCTTGCTCTGTATTTTTGTTAACAACAATCATTAAATGTAACTTACATTTTCTAAAATGTTCTTGAAAGCTATTTTACCTGTAGTGACTGATGGCAAAATGGGTTGGTAGGTTTCTGTCCACCAATAGCTGTACAGTGATGAAGAGCTACACAGTACTTGTGGCTAGAGTACAGCAATTATGAAATCACTTGTAAACAAACCAAATCTACCCCGTGCAAATTTAACGTTCGGTGGGATACACAAATACATGAAAGATCATTCACAGATGATTATGGGATTGCATAAGCAGGAGATTCTGTCTAGAGAATAAATTTCAAGAAAATGTCATTTATTTGGCTTCTAAGGGGCTCCACTAGAGATCACAGATGATTAATCTGAATTATGATGCCACATTCATTTTAATAATTTGTGTATTTTGTGATTAAAATGAATACTAATAATTAACCATCTAGATACCTAGAGATACTGATAAATCCTACTTGTGTGTATATTCAACAGACCTCAAAAGTCTTTATTAAACATGGTGGAAGGGATTTCCAGGATAACTCAATTTCTGAGAAAGCAAAACAAAGTTTTAACAAGTCTTCTGAGATTTGAAAAATCACTATCTTTGCTCATACAGACAACTTGGCCCTTGATACATTAGATTCCAAGTTGAACACTGTTTGGATATGCCTACCTTGCCCTTTGTGTTCGCTTACCCTTGGTCTGTTTATAACGCTCTGTACCATAAAGACTACAGGGTTGCCTGCTTTCCGAATGGCTTCCACAGCTTGTTCATGGCTTGCATCTCTGAGGTCCATTCCATCCACCTGCAATGGAAGGCCTCAGCTTAACATTTCAAGAATCTATAGAACAACAAAAAAATGTGTGGATATGGAGTTTTAGGGGTACTTGGTTAGACTCCTAGAAAATCTGTTTTAATATCAAAAATAATTGAGACACATGTGAAGCTGCAGAACATTCTGTCTGTCCAGCAGACTTGTGGTCCCTTGCTTTGGACACATATCTCTGTCTCCAATAATTAGTTCAAGTCATAATTAGTTGAAATGAAGGCTCTGCTTCTTCATTCCTTACATTGCTCAGCTGCTCCTTCAAATTAAAAAATTAGTATCATTAATGAAATAATATGAGGGAACTATCTAGCAGCACTGTCTTCATCATGAAAGTCACCGTACTAATTTTCTTCTAATACATTTTGGGTGGTTTGGGAAGTAAGGGGTGATGTCTTGTGTAATTCTCTCTGTACAGGGAAACATGAAGTTCAAAACAAAATTCTGATATCCAGAAAAATCAGATAATGGTAAGGTTAGTTTTGCAAAAGAGTCCTTACAGTAGATATGACAGGAGCTGGAAGCTAAGAAATTGTGTTTATTTGTTAGTAATTCTTACATAGTTTGACAATGAAAGTTATCTTGTAAATTTTGTTGATCATGGCTTGCCTGAGTAATGATCAACTCAGCTTACACACTTTATGAATAAGAAGGAAAATAGTTTAAAAGGCCAAATGCTAATCCCATCAGAAAACTATAGGATGTTAGTGTCATTTTATCATTTCCCATTACCATGTCACGATATATACAACAAAAGAGTAAACCCACAGTGGACACAATTCTAGAAAAGAACATTATTAGATCTTTGCACAGAACATTACCACTTTTAAAAGAATTATATAGATTTAGATAAAAACCTCCCTCAGGTTGATACTTAGATGACGACATTTTTTTCAGTGCATATTAAAATAGCTTCTAACTTTTTTGTAGAACAAAGTCAGTATTCACGTCTACCATATGTCTACTATATATTCCATTCGTGGAAAAATTTAACAGGATGTTAATTATTTTTGCTCAAGTCCAAAGCATTCCATTCTCAGAATGGAATTATTTGCAGATCTGCACTCACCTAGTCTACATACATTCTGAGAAACTCTTAGTAGAGACACGCTTTAGAATCCTTGGGATTACACTAGAAAAGCCCTTACAATATGGCACAAATCATTGCTAAATTGCATACAGTATTTTAAAATGCATAAAATAGTTCTTTCTTTTCCATTTTAAAGGGGAGTTTTAACTTTTTTAATATATTTAAACAACATTTGAGAGCAAATTACGACCTTTCCTGTCTATTAAAAAAAAAAATCTCTTTTTCTATTTAGGTCAAAAGTATTTAATAGTGAGGTATGCGCAAAATAAACTTCTTAGTGATAATCCAAAATGTGAAATTTTAGGTAGTGTCCTACATAAAGGAGTTCGTTAAAACGGGTCTAAGATATCATCTAATGAAAGAATGCAGGAGAGAGAAAAAGCCTATCATTCTTCCTTATAAATGGTCATCAAAAAAAGGACTTAGTCCCTGTTTTCTCTCAGGTCCCAATCTTCTTCCATCTAAGGTTCTCAAAGACAGTCAGTCAATGAAGGAATCAATCAATCAATCACCAAAATGTTCATTTTAAAGTTATGGTTGATATGTTATAATCTTCTTCTGAACAGTTAAAGTATTCCAATGTGTAAGTTATATGGGTTTAGAAAATGAGAGTCATTTGTATAAAGTAAATATAATGGTCATTACAGTGTTAATAATATTATCTTTATTTAGAAGTTGTCTCTTTTAGTCTACTCTGTAAATCCTGAAAACTCAGAAAATCTGGGTCAGGTACTCCTTTCTCTATCCTTCTAAATAAAATTATGTTTATCCCGATCAAATAATTTATCACACTGTTCTGAAGTGACTTGATTACTTGTCAAGTCTGTCCCACTTGGCAGGCAGGCACAGTGCCTTGTTTACTGTGGGATGCCCAGAGCCTGTTATAGCACCTGGAATGCAACAGCTGTTCCAGGAATATTTGTTGAGTAAATGAGTGAGTGACTTATGAGAGGAGAGTCTATTTAAAATATTGAACTTTGCTTTGAATTAAGAGATTATACACAACTTAACATGCTTCTAACACGTAACAAAATACACATACATGTGCACACACATGCACACAGGCACACACACAAGAGCCTTCATTGATGAACACAGCACTGAAAAGGAGCGAGATCCTGGCTTTGACTGAGAAAGATTTACATGAAAGGTAACTGAGGTCTCAGCATTAAATATTTTACTAAAAAAGACTCACTTGGGGGGAAAAAAAAAACCACTCATCCAACAAAGTTTATCTGCAATGAAATGATAATAATAAAGTATTTCTTGAAATACAACCTCATTAATAACTTAATTATACCTACATTTTGTGTGTGTACATATACATACATTGTATGTCTATATAATCTTAATTCAAATTTTTTCCCTGAGAATTGTGCTTTGTTCTTTCAAACAGAACATAATTATTTTACCTTGGAGCCAATTTTTTTAAATGGTTGGCTTTATCTCCAAACACCAGTCTCTGTATCAAAACATACAATCTGTCATTATATACATAAGAGAAAATTATGTATGAAAATAAACAAATAAAAAGAAATAATTTAACCACACATATATTTTACTCAAATGCTGAGTTGAGTAACTAGTGTGAAGATGACAATTCCCTTGGTACAAAGGATGGAGCAGGTGAAAAATTTTAGCACAGAAAGCTAACTGTAGGGTACCTCTACGATTCTATCTCCAGGTTTCAAGGTTCCATTTTTGCCAGCTGGACTATCTTCCAGAACATGTTTGATGAAAATGCCCCTCATCACTTCTCCGTTGCTTAGACGACTCCCCATCCCTCGTCCACCAACAATACTGATGCCTAAGGATTTGCTTGGTTCTCTCCAGAGTTCCACCCTAAAAAATAAATAAAATTTTCAACTCTTAGGAAAGATCGTTAAGGGTAAAGCTTCATGATACTGGATTTGGCAATGGTTTCTTATATATAACACCAAATGCACAGAGAACAAAAGAAAAAATAGATAAAATGTACTTTATCAAAATTAAAAACTTTTGTTCATTAACGATACTCTCAACAGAAAGGAAAAAAGTATTTGCTAATCACATATCTGATAAGGGATTCATATGCTGAATACAAAGGGAATTTCTAAAACTCAACAACAACAAAAAAAACAAGTGGTATAAAACACAGGCAGGTGTCTTGAATATATATATATATATATATGACCAATAAGCACATGAAAAGATGTTTAACATCACTAAATATTATGGAAATACAAATAAAAAGCACAATAAGATACCATCTCACATCCAACAGGATAGCTACTACCTACTAAAAAAAAATCACACACACACAGAAATTAATAAGGATGCAGAGCATTTGGAACCCTTGTGTACTGTTGGTAGAAATGTAAACTGGTACAGCTGCTATGGAAAAGAGTATATAGGTTCCTCAAAAAATTAAAAATAGAATTATCATATGATTCAGCAATTCCACTTGTGGGTATTATAACCAAAGAATTTAAAGCAGGATCTCAAAGAAATACTTATACACCCATGTTCACAATAGCCAAGACGTAGAAGCAAACCAATTATCTATCAAGAAATGAGTAGATAAAATACTATATACATTCAATGAAATATTATTCAGCCTTAAAAAAGAAGGAAATTCTGAAACATACCATAATATGAATAAACCTTGAAGACATTATGCTAAGTGAAGTAAGTCATCTAAGTAAAATAAAGGACAAATGTCATTTAATTTCACTCATGTAAGGTACCTAAAGGACCAAATTCATAGAGGCAGAAAGTAGAAAGGTGGTTGCCTGGGATGGGAAGAGAGAAGAAAGGGGAGTTAGTGCTTAATGGGTACAGAATTACAGTTTTGCAAGATGGAAAAAGTTCTGTAGATAGATGGTGGTGGTGACTGCAGAGCAATGTGAATGTACTTAATGCCACTGAACTGTACACGTAAAAATGGTTAAGACAGCTTAAAACAATAATAAAAATATTTTAACAAAATGAAATAAAATGTCATATATGTTAATTTTTACAAATATTACTTTGCTCAATTTATGAAGGTTTTACTAGTAGTAAAATAAGATAGTTTACCTTCTCAATTATGTGTCTTGTAGAATCTAATAATATATTAATGTCTTTCTGAAAATAATTTGTTATAAGTAAAACTAGACTCATACTCCAGGCTGTAGCACATACCAGTGTAAAAGGATGATTTTACTGGATCTTAGTATTACATATATTAAGCAATCAAAAAATTCAGCTACTGCTAAACAGATAGTAGCTTCTAAGCTTAGCAACCAAATCAAAGGAAAGAACGCTCCTGCACACACTATGTCAGAAAGTCACCTCTGTAGAAGAAGTCATTCTTGCCAAGGCAGACCTGGTCACTAACAGTCAGGACATGAAGAGCAGTGACTGACAAAATCCTACAGGATATGATTTTCTCACTATCTCCCCAACCTCCCCTGCTGATATGATTTGGCTGTGTCCTCACCCAGATCTCAATTTGAATTGTAGCTCCCACAATTTCCACACATTGTTGGTGGGAGCCGGTGGGAGGTAATTGAATCATGGGGGCAGGTCTTTCCTGTACTATTCTCATTATAGTGAATAAGTCTCACAAGACCTGATGGTTTTATAAAGGGGAGTTTCCCTGCACAAGCTCTCTTCTCTTATCTGCCACCATGTGAGATGTGCTTTTCACCTTCCACCACGATTATGAGGCCTCCCAAGCCACGTGGAACTATGAGTCCATTAAATCTCTTTCTTTTGTAAATTGCCCAGTCTCAGGTATGTCTTTATCAGCAGCATGAAAATGGACTTAATATACCTGCCATGGGCTCTGTACTTTTCTCTCTCCACTCCAGCTACCACATCATCTCCTTACTATTCCTTAAGTTCATCTGGCATGCTCCCCACGTGGGGTCTTGGGGCTTGCTAATTCCTCTGCCTTGAATACATTTCCCATACTCACAAAGACATGAACTCATATGTAATAACCGCAAATAGCTATAAAAGCTATGAGTATATTTAAAGCACATGCATCTTGTGAAAAGGAAGGATGTAAGAAAGAGTAAGGTGATTTGCAGTGAGGTCTTTGGCCGAGATGAGTCAGAGCTCAGGTTGTTGGAGGAACAGACCAAACAGAACTTTAAGGAGATGATGAGGCCCTGCAATCTGCTCCATGCTGCACAAGGAAGACAATGTTGGACATTAAGTAGGATAAGATAGCACTGTCAAACATGTCTTCAACCCTGACATTTAAGGAGCTCCTAGAGAAGAGGAAAGGTTGAAGTAAGGACCCCTGCAAAATGACTGAGGTAAGAAGAGGCTGGGGATGAAAGAGTACCACAGAGAGGAGAGGACGGGAACCAGGTGAAATGAAAGCAGATGCTGAGGCACATCTTCCTTTGGCCAGTAACTCTTTTTTTTTTTTTTTTGACTGCAAATCTACAACTCTAGAAACTCTACTTGTTTAGTTTGAAAGGATCTTACCATGATCCTTGATCTTATAAAATCTTTGTTAATAAACTAGTTAAAATCCTATTCATTGTTTTCTCTTACTCCAGAAATTCTGTGACAGAAAAGAATCGATATCTACCATCCTTCCCTGGTTTTTTTGTTTTTGTTTTGAGACAGGGTCTCATTCTGCAGCCCAGGCTGGAGTGCAGTGGCATGATCATAGTTCACTGCAGCCTTGACTTCCAACCTCAACGTTTTGGGCTCAGGAACTCCTAAGCTCAAGTAATCTTCCCGTCTCAGCCTCCCTAGGCGCTAAGATTACGGGCATGAGCCACCACAACTGTCCCTTCCCTGTTTTCTTGAAGCTGTTCCTAAGGCAAAATGACAAAGGAGTTAGTAAGGTTAGCCATTGCACATATAGTACATTTTACATATAGTAAGTTCAGCCACAAGTGTACATATTTAACAATCCAGAATACATAGGTAGGACTCTTTACATCTTTTCTTAAAAATAAAAAAAAAAAAAAAAGAAGGAAGGAAAGAAAATGTCTCCAAGGGCTCTTCGTGTTTGGTGCAAATTAGAAAGTGATTCTTATGACTTCTTGAGTAATATAAAAAAAAAATAAGTAACAGCAAATGTTTATTAAGGGTTTTACCATGTCTTCAGTATTATTCTCTAAGTAAGTTACATATACTTTCATTTAATTTTCATATCATACCTATAAGGTAGACATTCTTACCGGCCCCATTTCACAAAGAGAAGAGACACAGAGAGGTTAAGTAACCTTTGGATAATAGCACCTTAGGTCTCATAGGGTTTGGCACAGATAGCAAAATACCCTCCCTGGAAGTAAAGGTTGTAAATCCTTAAAACAATGAAGACGATAATCAAAGACAGAACTGCCAAAATGACACAGCAGTGAGAAACCAAACTTATTATTCACTGAACAGAGAATAGAAAGACAGTGAAAGAAAAAGGAGGCCTAGAAAAGAAACAACTACAGAGTATGTTTGCTTCAGAGATCATTATGCAGGGAAAAAAAAATGGCAGTCTATTTGAGATTTACACATAGGTTTAAAAAGAATGAAATTCAGGAAGACACAGGTTAAACACAGCTCTGAGGCCAGATTGCCTGAGATGTAAACTGAGACTCTGGGTGCCACTCCTGCTCTTTTGCTACTTAATGATTATGTGACACAGGGCATTTACTTAGTCTCTGTCTTACTTTTCTCAGCTGTGAAATACAGCCAACAAGAGTCTCTGAACAGAGTTTCTGTGAGGATTAATTAATACATGTAGAGTCCAAAACTAAAGCTTTGGCACATAATAAGCAACCAACAAATCTTTTATTACTTGTTATGATGGTGGTGGTGGTGGTGGTGATGAAGGTGATGATTACTGCGGTAATGAAAGCAAGATATGAAACTGAAACTCAATCCATATAACAAATGACCAAATGTTCACCCTACCTGATCAATCCTGTTATACCTACTACACCTTGTTTATTTAGAAAAGGGGCCACTTTCCACCCATTAGATTGATAAAAAACTTTTTAAGAAATGATCATATGATGTGGTAACAAGAATGTGGGGAAAAGGGAACACTCATATACTGGAAATAGAAATAAAAATTGGTATAGCGGCCAGGTGCGGTGGCTTATGCCTGTAATCCCAGCACGTTGGAAGGCTGAGGTGGGTGGATCACAGGTTAAGAAATCGAGATCATCCTGGCCAACATGGTGAAATCCCATCTCTACTAAAAATACAAAAATTAGCTGGACATGGTGGTGTGCACCTGTAGATCCACCTACTCAGGAGGTTGAGGCAGGAGAATCGCTTGAACCCGGGAGGAGGAGGTTGCAGTGAGTCAAGATCATGCCACTGCACTCCAGCCTGGCAACAGAGCAAGACTCCGTCTCAAAAAAAAAAAAAAAAAAATTGGTATAGCAACCTTAAAAAACAATTTGACAACTGAAAGTAAAATATGCATATAAACTTACAGGCCAGCAATTCCAATTCCACTTCTGGATATATTCCCTAGATAAATTTTCATGTGTAAGTATAAATAAATAAATATATTTACTGCACAGAATTATTATAATAGCAAATAACTTAACTAATATGAATCTGACAATTAATAAACTATGGTATATTCATATATTGAAATACAACACAACAACTAAATTGAATGAATTAGATCTTTAAGTATCAAGCTTGACAGATTTACAAAACGTAAGAATTGAGAGAAAAATTAAGCAAAATGGAAAATACATGTAGTAGTATAATATCAATTGTGTAAAATAAAAATCACACACAAAATAAAATATAACCTATTTTATAATATTAAAATTTATATTTTGCTAAAAAGAATTCTCTAGTTTCAAACAAATTAAATTTTTGTTGATTTCATGAATGACTGTCCCATTACATTTCCAATGCTATGAAGCATGTTAACAACACTAACTCCTAATTTATTAAAAGCTCTGGTTATTCCGTTAAGCTTTCTTCTCATGCTCTATGAACTTCCCCTAGAAGTAGCTTAGTGCATCTAGGGGAAGCACTACATTAGTGAGTACAGAGTACCTTCTTAGAAGGATTTATGGAAACTTTGGACATATTCTTCACGTAAGGTTGTCAGCACCTTTAGAGCTATCTTAGGATTGCATGAAGGTTAAAAGCATAAAAATTTACCAGTCCAGAAGTTATGTTATTCTTTCTCATAAGAAAATTTCATGATTCCTGTGTCAAAGGCTTTCTCTTTGTTTAGGTACCAGTGACAAATATTTTATCAATATAGACAAAGCCAACCACTGACTCACTATGTGCCAGGCACTCTGCTAAGGATTTTAGATGACACTGAATTTTCCCCCAAATACAAAAGATTCTATTATTAACCTCGTTTTACAGATAAAGTAGCAGAGACCTAGCAGAAATTAAGAAACTTATCTTAGAAAGTACCAGAGCCAAAGTTCTAACATAGCTCTTACTGACACCAACCATTTTGCATATTGCCTTCTGTATTAATCAATTTTCATGCTACTGATAAAGAAATACCCGAGACTGGGCAATTTACAGAAGAAGGAGGTTTACTGGACTTAATAGTTCCACGTGGCCAGGGAAGCCTCACAATCATGGCAGAAGGCAAGAAGGAGCAAGTTACAGCTTAAGTGGATGACAGCAGGCAAATAAAAGAGCTTGTGCAGGGCAACTCCCGTTTTTAAAACTGTCAGGTCTCGTGAGGCCCATTTACTATTAGGAGAACAGCATGGGAAAGATCCACCCCCATAATTCAATCATCTCCCACAGGGCCCCTCACACAACATGTGGGAATTATGGGAGCTACAAGATGAGATTTGGGTGGGGACACAGAGCCAAACTATATCACCTTCTAAAATCTACTTTTCCTCTTATAATATTGTTTCTAAAACTGACCAACCCATCTTTTTTTCTTGTGATTACTGTCCTCCTAAAAAATTCAAGTTTATCACTGTGACTACCTGCTACAAAACAGTTTCATTTAACTTATTTCCACCTCTAACCACAAATAAATATGACACTTAACACCTCAGAATATATTTTCTGCCACAGATCTAGCACTTATACCCTGTTCTCAATGTAGGCAGCAGTATAGAGAGCTTGATGGGAGTTTTTAAGTGAGCTAAGTGACTTCTGAAGAAACTGAAATAAGAAACTCATTTTAGATGGCTGAAAATCCATGCTGCGTCTTTGAAGGCAACATAAAATAATGTTTTTTATGTTTTAAAAATATTTAAATGTGATGGTTACAGGTTATCACTGGTGGGCAGGGGAAATCATTAAATTGTACTGGCATTTATGAATATTACATATTCTTCTCTTGAGCATTTTATTTATTCACTATGTAACAAATATTAACGTTTACTAAACACAAAGCACCATTGTGATGGTGACCTTTAGTGTGGGGTGGATGTCCACTGATTACCTGCGTTTTACTCTTAATGTGAAATATCTTGTGTTCTTAAATTGTTTCATGTGTCTCTACATCTTGCCCAGCCAAGTACATTAGAGGTTTCTTGAGGCAGGATTTGCATCTTCTACTTACCTCCTTGTTATTCACAAAATCACTGGCTTTAAGTCTAGGTCCATAATCAGGACTCAGTAAATTCCTATTAAACTAAAATTGATTTTACTCAGTATAAACACATCAACATGCTTTAGTGATGCACGTGATACATCTAAGTATATTTGAGGATGTCATCTGATCTATTATACATGAAACTGGTCCTAGACAGATTATGACTTAGGATAAACTCGGCCTATGGTAACAAGACTACAAGGGTACTTTTACACACACACACATACACACATACACGTTTTGATATATATGTTTGCCTATATAGTTTCTACAAATGCTAGGTAAAATTTAAATGAATACTTTTTGGTATACCTAAGATCAAACTCTACAGAATGTAATCCATTCCAACTATCTATGCATAATTTTCTTTAATTTAGTTCTTACTATGTGCCAGATCTCTCCATATATGTTAGTTTTAACCCTGTGTGATACACATTATTCTCTCCACTGTACACATGAAAAAAATGATGGGTTAGAAGTATTAAACAACTCACCCGATGTGACAAGAAGCAAGTTGTAATCCAGCACTTGAAACCACACCTGCTTATCTTTAAACCCTATGTATCCATTGAGTGGGCTGAAGACAGAAAAAGTCCTTACCGCCTGGGCTGATTCCAATTGCTATATGCTGTGTTTTGAAGTTCACTTTCTTCGCCCTCTCCCTCTTCTCGCTCTGGTAATTCTGGAATGTCTCTGGTTAAAGAATTACACAATGAGTACCCCAAAATCCTAGTAAAAACATGCAAGATTATATGTACTCTACTATTGATTTAGCTAAAAATGCAGGACTGCTTTATATTTTCACCGTACACGGCCTTAAGTATAAAATATTTTTACATTGGGGGAAAGAAAAACCTAACCAAACAAAATTAAAACCTTGCTTTAGACTCAACCTACCATAGCGTAGAACTGAACACTAAGACACTTGTCTAGTCTGTTTTTTCCCTGGTGAGACATGGGAGCATAAAGGAAAGGAATGGGAAAATGGGATAAATACCAGGATTGTAAAGAAAACTCATTGAACAAGCATTTCTTAAATTCCTATAATGTGCAAGAAGCTAGAAGTACTATGTAGGTTTTAAGCATGTATGCACAGCCCTGAACCCTGTCCTGAATGAATTTCTCATCAAGTTTGCCAAGAGTTTAGTATCTCTGCTTCCTAAGGATGGACCAATGATTTTCTTTCCATTTTCGAAAAATTAAGTGAAATGCTTGTGGTCCAGCTTCACCCCATCCAGAGGAACCTGGCACAGAATACTTCTTAAGGGAAGCAGTTTACAACGTATCTGTGTTCAAGGTCACTCTTCCACTTCTGTAGCAATTCAGATTTTGCCAAATGCCAGGCATGTAACAAAATGTGCCCAGTCTACTGATTGACTGTAAAGAAAACTGTACAATAATAACAATATCAAGACATATTTTGTTAGTCCAATGGAATACTTTGTATCAATAAATGATGTTGTGAGGACAACAGAGAATGGTTAAACTGATTATAGCCTGTGCCTCGGCTGTGGTAAAAATTGGATTGCTAAAGAAACATGTCCACATATAAAGCAAAGGCGGCTATAAAAATTCTGATTCAACAAATGTTTTTAGTCGATATTTACAGAAATTGAAGAATTAAAAGAAAGTATGTAAAATTACAGCCATTCTCCCCTGACAGGAATACTGAACTCTCTCAAATGATATAATATTTAGAATTCAAGATCAGAAGTCAGCTAATCCAGTCATCCATCTGAGCTTTAATGCGCTTTGCAACATTTCTGGCAAGCAAATATCTAGGCTCTCCCAGAACATCTCATTCTTTCTTAGACCTGAATGTTAAGTTTTTGTTTTTAAGCTATTAGAGTAAAATCTACTTGCTATTGGTCCTACCCATTGGTTTTGTGTTTGAATTTCCCTCCTGTGCAATTAAAGAATAAAGCTCTGAATGAGGCTAGGGTTCCCAGAGTCTAAGTCTGACACTAGGGTAGGAATGGCGGGAAGAGCTCCAAGAGGGAGATCCTAAAAACTATGTCAAAGAGTTGACAGAGAAATATTAAAAGTGAAATCTTCATCCAGAGGATGCAAGGCAGAGAGGTTAAAAACTAGCACTAACCTTCTGGAAATACAACAGGAAAGAATATGATGAAGAAAGCTGACTTAGAAGACAGACAAGAATCATAACTTAGAAACAGTCCTTAAAATATTCAGTGACAGCTAGGGGATGTGGGGAGGTCCTCAGCCCTAAGGCCTAAGCAGTGGGAGCTATTCAGAAACAGTGTAGCCAAATTGCATCTTGCTTCTTCCTTTTTAGGTACAAGAAGATGAATATCCTGAATAATCCAATACAAGGACCCCGGTCTCTTCAGATGATTCTATAATCTTGAATCCTTTCGCAAACCCCATATATGCTCTTCTACATGTGCTGATTATTGTTTACTCATCTTAGTGTGTGGTTTCAGGGACTCCAGTGTCATGTCTTCCTGCATGCACTCAGCCAAGAAAGAAGTCAATCAACTGCTTTTCCACTGTCTTAAACCACTGAATACCAACAAAATTTTTATCAACTGTAATAAGTAGATCTCTTTATATCTGCAAATATGTACAAGGTAAAGTAACTGGCAGAAACTCACATGGTGAGAAAGACACATGATGAGAAAAACAGCATAGGTGAGATTTGGATCGAGGGCATCTTACCATAAAACCTGAGTTCTTAACTTCCATGCTATATGGTCACATATTTTTATATGGCGCATGCTTCGTAGACTTCTGCAATTCCTTCCTTGCATCCAATGGTAAGAACATGGATTATGCTTACATTCTACACTTGGCTCTGGCATTTATTAGCTGTGGGAAAGTTACTTAACCTTTCCCTGCTGTAGATTGTTCCACCAAAAATGCATATCTAGTTGCTCTATTTTAAGCATTCTGATATCCATAGAAAATACACTTTCTCTGCAGTGAAGCAGCTAGTCACAGCATAGGACAATCCAGGCTATTCTCTTTTCTGTGCTTGGAGGAAGCACAGTGCTCAAAGTGGCTTTCTTTCTAATAACTTTTGAGTATTTTAAGGCCCTAGAACTTAACAAGACTCAGATGTTAGCTGGTGTATTCTTTAAGTCAGTCATTTGATACAACATTTCAGAGAGACATTGAAATAATTTGTTTTACCAGTTTGACAGAAAGCACTGGGAAACTATAATCAACTCATGTCATTAACCCAATAGTGGAAATCCTGGAATGTGGCTGAGTTTTGTACAGTGTAAAGTAAATATAGTCGTCCCCCCATCCCTCGTATCCTTGAGTCCAACATCCATGGATTAAACCAAAAGCAGACCAAAAATATTCAGGGAAAAAATAGATGGTTGCATCTGTACCAAACGTGCACTTTTCTTTTTCTTGTCATTATTTAAAAATATACATATAACAACAACTTACATAGCCTTTACATTGTATCAGGTATTATAAGGAATCTAGAGATGATTTAAAGTATATGGGAGAATGTGTGTAGGTTACGTGCAAATACTACATCATTTTATACAAGGGATTGAGCACCCGTGGATTTTGATATCTGTGGAGAGTATTGAAACCAATCCCCAACAGATAACGAGGGACAATTATACTCTTTTTCCCAAAATATTCATGAGGCCCCAAGGACCATGCCATTCCTTCCCTTTATTAAACAAATAACATACCTTCCCCTTCCCTGACACTTTCTGTATTCTGTAGTCATCTGTAATGTGCAGAGGAAGCAGTGAAGCAAGATCACAATGAATGTAAGGTCACTGGAGACCGTGGTGTTCTGGGATGTTCTGACATCCACTAAAGAATGGTAGAACTCGGCTGGGCATGGTGGCTCACGTTTATAATCCCAGCACTTTGGGAGGCCAAGGCGGGTGGATCACCTGAGATCAGGAGTTCAAGACCAGCCTGGCCAACATGGTGAAACTCCATCTCAACTAAAAATACAAAAAAATAGCTGGGCGTGGTGGTGGGCACCTGTAATCCCAGCTTCTCAGGAGGCCAAGGCAGGAGAATCACTTGAACCCGGGAGGCAGAGGTCACAATGAGCCAAGATCGCGCCATTGCACTCCAGCATGGGCAACAAGAGTGAAACTCTGCCTCACAAAAAAAAAAAATAAATAAATAAAATGGTAGAACTCTTCTAAGAAGACCTCAGAGTGTTTGCAAGGCCATTTCTGCTCTACTACATGCTTACAAGAAATTTGGTAGTCAGTTGCCAGCACAACTGAAAAACACAGGTCCACAACTGAGAGTGTAGAATGGTACATTCTTCATGGAAAAGTGATTTGACATTATTTCTCTCCCTGATCTTGACTCAGTCAGCAGCAGCATCAAAACCCAGTTCCTCCCTTTCCTAAGAAAAAAGAAAATGTTCCCTTTATTATTTAAAGGCTCTTAATACATTGTATATCAAGTGCCTTTAAAAAGCCAAACACTGTTTCCTAACATGCATACATGCTAACAGGTTCAGCTCAACATTCTCCAAAAGAGCAAGAAAATTACAAATAAAAAATGTTCTGGTCTAGGCATGGTGGTGCATGCCTCTGAATCCCAGTACTTTGGGAGGACGAGGTGGACAGATTGCTTAAGCTCAGAAGTTTGAGACCAGCCTGAGCAACATGGCGAAACCCCATCTCTACAAAAAATACAGAATTAGCCTGACGTGGTGGCACATGCCTATAATCCCAGCTACCTGGGAGGCTGAGGTGGGAGGATCCATGAACCCAGCAGGTAGAGGCTGCAATGAACTGTAATGGCATAACTGTACTCTAGCCTGAGAAACAGAGTGAGGCCCTGTCTGAAAAAAACAAAAAGAAGTTTCTGAATTTGTATGCTTGTTAATAAAAGAATAAATAACATTTCTGAAGAAATTTGATAATATTTATGAAAGAATAAGAAACATCATACAATTTCTTAGGTTCTAAGAAATTAATGAAATAATACTCCTTTGGGACAAATTATCAAAAATCAACATGTTAAAAGTGATACATTGTGTAGTAGAATTAAATATTAATTTATTAATTTGAATATCTGTTTCTCAAATTTTCCATACTATATAATAATTGCTTATATAACTGAAAGAAAGGGAAGAAGAAAAGGATTCAGACCTTTTCTTTGCTCTAGTCCTCCCCGACTCTGAATTCCAAATTCTCTACAACTTGCTGTATCATTCATCGCATTTGATTTAATGTTTCACTTACCTGCCAGTGTATGAAGAAAAAATATCCAATGCCATTATTTTTCCAGATTGTTGTCCCAAGCTTATTTTGAACTCTTCCAAATGTTCTGCAGGCACATAAGTAATTCTGGAAGAAACCAGAATCCATGGAAGTGAAGGGAAATAACATTTTGCCTGTTAGGAAAAGCTTCTAAAATAAAGGAAACAAATCATATTGTCCTTTTCTCCCTACTTTTTCACACAGTTCATTTAATCAGTATATTCAGCAGAGAATCCAAACTTCAATAGGATAGAGTATTCTATAGGGAAGAATAACAACAGAAACTAAGTTTTTAAATGCTGCTGATTCACTGTGTGTTTACCAATCAACAGGCAGGGAAGGAAAACAATCATTTATATTGTAAAATGAAAAGGCTAACAACAATTTTTTTAATATTAGGAAGATCTACAAATCCCTAGAATAACAATTGTCAGTAATAGCATTAATTTTGCCCAAAAATTTCTGGGATCTCTAGCAGAAACAAATTAGGTATACTCTATTAAAATACTGAATATCACAAATTAATTTGCATCTTTCTATAATACATAATTAATTCTAGAGATTAACAAGCATTATCAACAATTATGTTAGCTCTATTAAGTTATGAACTCTCAAGTCTGAAGTATGAGACTAAACCATATGAGTTTATGGAAAGACTTACTAATTTGTAGCAATTTTTAAAAATTCACTCTGGTCTCAAAGAAAAGTCTACTATTTACACGTGAATGGCCATCTACTAATTCAACAAGTACTGACTGAACGCCTATTATGTGGAAGACACTGAGCCAAATGCTGACTCTTGCTGTAATGTTCAGAAACTGATACATAAAAATTCAAGTTTACTGCTTTCCTGTAAGGCTTCTTACATAGTGGACACACTTTTTAAAGCAAGCTGTTTCAAGATCTTCAAGTTAATGAATAGTAACATAAGAGAAATACTGTATCTGAACTCAATACAGCATGTTTGTGCAACTAAAAATTAGAAATCACAAAGAGGTAGTAAATCATCTGTCCATAATTTATCTGTTAAAATAATAAGTATACAAAACCTCAGCACTGGAGGGCAAAGGTAAAAAGATTGTCTTTTATGTTATAATGAAATAAAAAATTATACCCGTGTCATAATTTACTGAATGAGTAGTATACATAATTTCAAACATATTGGTTATTCTATAGAAAGCATTCACTCATTTACTTCAAAGTGTGAGGTCACTTGGGTTTGGAGTCGGAAGACACAGTTCTGCTACCATACAGTGTCATGGGGTAAATCACCACTGCTGAACCTCCATACCCTCTACCACAAAAAGGATGCCACTTTCGTGATGCTACTGTAAGCTGAGAAGCACAATCCAAATAGAAGTGAGTGCTCTCACAGGTCATCAGCTCTCCTGGTCATACTGATCACTCGGGCAGAATACATGGAGCCTTTGGGAATCTCTTCATGACACTTTTACCTCAAAGGTCAAAAAATGAAGCAGAAAGTACAGATCAATGGATTTAAGACTAGGCTGGCTGAAAAAGTTGCATTCTAATTCTGGCCCTATTTAATTTATTCATCTATAAAGACACCTTCTCTAAGATGCTACAAAAATATATTGAATAGCAAATTTGCTTTTATCCCTTCAAACAATACATTATGTCAGGACAGAAGTCTGATTATATTTTAAACAATGAAAAAATAAAATAAAGATAAACATGAAACCTAAAATGTGAAAAGGCTATTGAAGAAGACTGGTATTATTCCTGAAGATTCAGTAAAACTCATATAAATAAAACATAAGTTTAAAAAGCCAGGAAAAGGTCAGGGAAAAAAGGCAGGATAGAATAGCAAAAATAATAGCAATCAGTACAAAGTCTTTAATTTTTTTATTGGTTTGAGAAAGAAGGTAAAGATGTTTCTTCCCAAACAATGTTAAAAATGAGTTTTTCTTTATATTTGTTCAAAGTTGTCTTTTCTTTTGAGGAGCGGAGCCATTTACAAATATTTTTCTGATACTTTGCGTAGTAGTGAGAAAGAGTAGAGACGGCAGTTTTCCTAACTATTTAGCCACTACAGAGTGAGGCCACCAGAACAAGCATCCCACAATGCAACAGAACATGCAGAGCCATGCTACCACAAGCCTGGTTACAGGATCATACAAAACCTCCGAATGGCCAGCAAAAATGCCAAAGCTAAATTATGAGATGCAAAAACACACTGAAAATGCTTATTTGAGAGTTGAATTAAAAATTCAAACTAACTTTTGGTTACACATGGACTAACTTTTGGTTACACATGGACTAGAAGAAAAAAGAATACCATTAGTGATGCTGAAATGTGATATGGCTATTAATGCAGAGACTATTCCTGCATGTGCAGACAGGATCGTTCCCTTACAAAGGAGCTTGAAAGCTTCATAATTGGAAAATATGATTTTCAAGAGTTCACAATCATCAGTACAATGTGAAAACGTAACAATCTCATAGCTCTGTTGGATTTTATGTTCTTATTTAAACAAAGAAAACAATCCAAAATGTATATACGAAATCCATATCTGGATCTATCCTTGCATTGGGACATTACAAAAGCACAAAATTGTTTTCACAGACAAGTTGTAACACACAGCCATAATGAGCTTTTGAATCACTGATACTCACACATAAAAGGGGGCTCGATCGTCAGCAGGTGCTGCAGAAAATCTAGAATGTGAAGCATACGCCGCGGCATCTTTTTACAATGGTGTTAACAAATGTCAATGTCTTGTGCTGAATGTGAGATGCATACATATGTAGTTAAAAGTGGGTGCTCCTGGTTGTTTTTTTTTTCCCCTTTCCACTTCCCTCCCATCTACACCTCCCCCAGAAAAGCATCTGCTCTTTACTAGTGTCTATAGCAGTGATTATTAACAAGCATGAAAAAATGTAACTGCAATCAATCTTTTATTCCTTGATCAGGAATTCATCCCACACTTTAGGTTAAGGCAGGTGAATTCTGATTCAGCTCAGTAATTATCTGGCAGATGTTATAAGCAGCTGCTGCTAAGCACAAAACCCTGGCTATTATTACAGAAATATAAGAGCTCCTGGCAAGGTGGAGTGAGAAGTGAAACAGAATGCATTCTGGTGAGGCTTCGCATCTGGTTTTCCATAGAAAATAATGAAACCTGGATCTTAAACTGGCTGTTCTTGAACTCTTGAAACTCAAATTATCTACCCATGCATGCATGAACACACACACACAAAAGTTCCTAGCTATCTATCGTAAACGGCAAAAAAGAAATCCAGTGCATTGTCTCAACAAGCAATGCTTTCCCTAAAAACCAATCAGTTATGTAACTGAACCACAGTCTCTTTTTTTAAAGTCCCTACAATACACCCCTCCACCACCACCCAGATTAAGCTAGGTTCACAAAGAAAAATAATGAGAAAGAGATGTGGATGGAGCCTAGATCCAGGTAATGAGCACAAAGCTTAATGGGCCAGAGGCAATGTTATGGTTCCATTCAGAGTAATGGAAGGACTAAATGTTCCTTTTGGGAAGATTATTCACATTGCTTTCAAGGTAATTCTAAACCTTTTGCTTCACGAAACAAGTGGTAAGAGAGGGACAGGGCCAAAAACACTTCATGCAAAATGCACAGAACATGCTGCTCAGCCCTGGTCAACCTAAATGGCTCTTTGTGTTTTAAAATCTAACATATTTTTGTTTCTGAAAAAGGATTATGTAAGGATGATTTTAGTTTATTTTTATCATTACTCAATGAGTTAAGCTATGACCATTTGAATCACAGCATCTTTAAGGCATGTGAGAAGAAATCAATGTGTTTTGAATGTCTGCATGTGTGTTTACCTATATGAGAGAAAGAATGAATGAATGAATGGATGATTGATTTCCAGAGGAGGGAAGGTTGTATGATTTTTCTTCTTTTTAAAATAATTTAAGGTTCTATAGTACATTTTGCCTCCTGAGATCCTAAAGCAAGTACTTAGGAAGCTAGCTCTCTAGATACCTTTGATAGTCATAATAAAGCTTCTGCCCACATGACAGGGTAAATTCTGCTGAATCAGTGGGAGAGGGGAAACGGAAACACAAAACAAAAAAATGAGGAAAGGGGAAAAAAGACTTTGAGACTGAAAATGTACCTCAAAAGTTTTCTAGAGTTGACCAGATGCATGACTTCTGCTAAACTGGTGTCACAATCGTCTTATTTTTTAACCACTCTTAAAGTTCTGCAGTACATTAGAACTGAGGGGTAGGGCTAGTACCAAGTACTAATTCTGGTGATCAGAATGCCAAAAAGTGGGCAGCAGAGCAGTATCAGCACACACAGCATAAATGTACATCATGGCACAATAAATCAGATGAATGGTTACTAGGTCGTCTGCATTTTATACTATATCTAATCCACGTAAACTAAAACCCCTGCAATAAATACATAGTCTCCATGTGATCTATGCCATGGAACACTGGCCATAAGTGGTAAGGAAAACACGTGAAGTTTCTCTTTTCTTATGATAAAAGGACTGACATTTTTAATGAGGTTCACTTGTACTCCAATTATTATAAGGCAATTAAGGAACAGTAACATGATCTGATGACCTGTTCAACTGTAAATAAAAGTCAAAAAAGCATACAAAAACATGAAAGCCCATTAGTGAAGATTTTGCCTAAAAATAATACTTCTTTTATATAAGACAGAGGAATCTGTTCCAAATGGTATATACTTTTCTCCTTTTTATTGACCACAGAATGAAAAACAGTCTGTACAGCTTTTGTTACCTAAGACCTAGCAATACATACTTTGCAAAAGGACTGGTAATAGAGAATGTAGTCAGTAAAATAACATTAATACAAAAAAGTCCCCCATACTAGTAATCATAACATCGATTTTAGGTAAACAATCTTTCCCTGAGCTCTTATTTTATGATGTTATCCCTCATACATTAAAAACAAATATTCAAAGATTAATGCTAGAGGAAAACGTCACATTGATGAAGTGTCACAATAAAGTAATGAGCCGATTTTTATGTTGGCTTGAGGAATGTTTAGTGACTTAAAAACCAAACCACATGTATGATGTGCTTTTCGTACATTATGGGATTACCGGAAATTTTAAGCACTTCCTGACAAAATATCCTCCATGACCTACTAAAAGACCATACCAATATATTGGTCTATCCCCTGGGGTCATGAGGTAGCTCAAGAAAGGGTAAGTTTTGGGTCAGATGGACACTGTTTTATCTTGTCTTTTGCATGCATGGCCCTTAAAGAACTGTCTTAGTTCTAGGATTCACACAGGTCAATTAGGTAGGGTACAATTCCTTATAATGGAGCCAATCCAAACATCTTTCCAAGATCCTAAAAGTGGGCCCTCTTGCTCTGTGAGAATCATTGCATCCCCAACTTCTATGGTTGTTGTAGAAATCACTGGAGAAGTATAATTAAAAATACAAAGCAATGTTTCCAAATTTTTAATATTGCTATAGTCTCCAAGAAACTATACTTACAATCGAGAACTACTCAAAAATAGTCAATTTCTTGAGTGATTTATGTTTAAAAAAATGTGAAAACGCTTGTATCTCAAACAGAAGTGTATACTGAAAAAGAATTCTGATTAATTGAAATTCCTGAATTTCCCAAGCCAAACTGGGCTCCAAATGATACTTACTTTATGTCAGGGCCAATGAGAGAATGTCTTCTCAACATAGCTCGTGCCTGGGCATTGGTTACACTGATGGTAGACTCTTCATTAATGGACAAGATGCAGTCCCCAACGGCAATCCGGCCATCTCGACTAATGGCACCTCCATGAATAATGCTTCGAACAATCATCCCCAAGCCATCTTTATTAGCACTAACTGTCATTCCTGCAGGAAAAGAGAAATGCAAATATAATTAAATACATGATTTATTAGCACTAACTGTCATTCCTGCAGGAAAAGAGAAATGCAAATATAATTAAATACATGATTTTCCAATTCATTTTAATTTGAATTTAATAATTTCTATGATTTATATATTAAAAAAATACGAGTAACATTTTAGTCAATAAAAAGCACAGCAAAAACAGGAAAAATGTTTCTAACAAAAAATATTAAAAAGTGTTTCTAAAAAAAATATTTTTAAGTAAATTTGTAAATGTTTGTGAAATTGTATATAGTCAATACATTATAAATCAAACAGGTCTACATTGTGGAATGAATGTAATTTAGACCGTGTGATGTGCTGACCCCTTGAATAGAAAGGTCTCTCAGGGAAAGTACTATGATAGCATCAAATCAGTTTTACAATATTAGATCATCTCTTACACATAAAAGAGAATAAAAGGACTACAAAAGGAAAATTCATTCTATAAATTAAGCAATTATGTGCTATTACCTTATTTCTTTATCACTTGTTCATTCAAGATCTATTTACTATATGGCTAATATGTGCCAAGTACTATGTTGGTTGCTTAGGATAAAAGCATAGCACAGAATTCCTAACATCAAGAAGCCTGTATTGAAGTCTTCATACTTGGAGCCTATCACAGTGGTGTCCGAAAGCATAGTAGTTTGTTGAAATGAATTTATGTGAACTTAATCTTAATCTATTTCCATTTTATTTTTGAACATCAATAAGCTTCTAATTTGGATATTAAATTGCTCTCTTTTCATGTCCCCTGGATATCTCACAGAAAATGCAATCTTAGCATGTATAAAATTGAACCTGCAATTTTTCATCTCACTTTATTTCACCATTTTTCTTCCCTTTTTAGGTAAATTGCACTACCACACTACTCTCCATTATTCAAAGTAGAAATATTGGGGTCTTTCTTGATGCATACCTCTCTCTTATCCCCTGTATTTAATCCAACACCAAATCCTGTCATTTCTATCCTCAAAATTTATCTTGAATCCATTTACCTACCTTTTTCCATTTAGATACTAACTCTAGACTAAGCCAACACCTTCTCTTGCCTGACTTTTTGCAAAAGCCTCCTTCCTAACTGGTCACCTGCCTTCCATGATTATCTCCTCCAATGCATACTTCTCTCAGAAGACAGAGAGGCCATTACAAAAAAAGACAAGTAATATACTATCAGTCCCTTGGTTGCAACTCTTCAATGGTTTCCTGTTATAGTAACACACAACACACTTGCTCAGCACAGTCTACAGGCCAGGGGTACACTGGCCTTTGCAGTGTGAATCCTTGCACTGTGTTATGTCCTTCTTGGTTCCCTGAGTTCTGGCAACAAATACATCTCATCTCTGTCCATTTTGAAGTCTTTGCCTGACACCTTCCTTCGGCACCTCTTGCATAGCTAACTTCCTCTCACTCTTCAATATCAGTTCCTCAAAAAGTCCTTCTCAACAGACTCTATCTGAATTAATGTTCCCTCCTCACTCTATTCGTTGAAAAATATAAAATCTTAAAAATTATATTTGAAACTTTGCAAAAATAATGTAAGTTCACTTAAAATGAAGTGTTGAAAGTTTCTTCCAAAACAAAATTATATAATTAAACAAGCTATGGAGAGATATAAAGCTACCAGGGTATTTATAAAAACTTTTCTTTGACAGATGTCACAAATTCCTTTTTAGGTTTTCATATATTTAAAAAAATGATGTCTTTCCAAATATTAATTCTACTCATACCAAATCAGATATGATATTTCAAACATTTTAAAAAATGATTCTGATTATGTTTCTAGCCTAACATTTCATATGTGGATATGGGCAATCCAGGCTCCTACTTATTTTTTTCTGATAGAAATAAAACATTTTTAAATGTACTTAAAACATTCTGTTAAGACTCATACTAACGATTTTCAAGTGTATTGTTAAGAATACACCTCTGCTTACCATAAAAAAATAAGATATAATTTAGGAGAGAAAAAAGGCTGGATCTGAAATTTTTCAAAAGGTACTCTATTTTGTACTGTTAAAGCCAGCCTTCCCAGCAATATCCACAATACAACTGTACTTTGGTAAAATAAAAATGTGTCAGCACAAAGTAAAATTTAACTCAGTGGATCTCACTGGGAATCTAACTCATTGTCTTTTTCTCATTAGCATCATGCAGACTACAATAAGGCAAGACACAGACATGAAACCTGTCATGAGCTATGGCCGACATGATCTCTGAATTCACTTTTAATAGCATATTTAACTCATGACTCTCAGCAATTATGCTGTCAGGTCACATCAACCATGTAAACCAGGAGGTCAACATCAGTTAGCTGAGTTTATACTTTCCTTTCACCAAACGACAATTTTCAAGGTTCAATAACTTGGAGGTAATCTCCAATAACTAGATTTTGGTTGTAACTTCTTTTTTTTTTTTTTTTTTTTTTTTTTGAGACAGAGTCTCGCTCTGTCGCCCGGGTTGGAGTGCAGTGGCCGGATCTCAGCTCACTGCAAGCTCCGCCTCCCGGGTTTTACGCCGTTCTCCTGCCTCAGCCTCCCGAGTAGCTGGGACTACAGGCGCCCGCCACCTCGCCCAGCTAGTTTTTTGTATTTTGTTTTAGTAGAGACGGGGTTTCACCATGTTGCCAGGATGGTCTCGATCTCCTGACCTCGTGATCCGCCCGTCTCGGCCTCCCAAAGTGCTGGGATTACAGGCTTGAGCCACCGCGCCCGGCTTTGGTTGTAACTTCTAAGATCTTTCCATTTTATTCGTGGAAGAAGTTGAAAGAGTATCCCAAATCCCAAATCGTGTGCTTTGGAAATAGAGAACCGGTTACGAATCTGAATTATTCCACCACTTTCAATCAGCACAAGCTTGGGCAACTGACTTAACCTCACACAGAGCCTCAGTTTACTTATCTCTAAAAAGGGATGACATTTGCTCTTATGGTTGTTTAAAGAATTAAGTGAGAAACACATATGTATAGTAACTTTCAAAATACCTGATACAAAGTGTACAACAAAATTTAGTCACAAAACAAAACCCATAAAATATGTTTAAAATGCATCTCTCTCCCACACCAAGGTTACATTGCTCCCTAAAGACTAAATATAAATATTAATTCAGCTTCATAATGAAGCTTGTTATTACAACAATCATAATGTGCCCTTGGGTAACTCAAGTATTGAATGTATTGTACGGTGTATGTGAAAATCAGAGACAGACAGGTTTGAGTTCTGATTCTACCTCTTTAAAGGTTGAGTAATTTCAGAGAAATTCCTGAGTCTGTCTCTGTTTCTGTATCTAATCAGTGAAGGGAAGATAAGACTTCCTTTCTTTTCCCCTGAAGAACCTTGTTTTTTACCTTCAAGTCCAAACACCACATCATTAACCAAGGGACCACAGACTTAAGAAAAAGCATCAAGATTAGAATTTTTTAAAGGTCACTATATGCATGTGTACATTTATTAATGTATCTGTATTTCTGTATACAACATTTGCATTCTAATTTTAACAAAATTCAAAAACCCAAATGATTCATGAAATCAAAACAATGGATTATGACAGATTTACAGAAACCTGCCATTTATTAAAACTTCTGGTTATCACAAGACAAAGAAACAAATTATCCACAAAGCTAAAACTGCAAACAACTGCTTATAGCTGATTAAGGGGAGACTATGAATCTAAGAAAATGAGCTCACTGATAGACCCCTTCATAATATACTTTTCCACCAGCACGAACCCAGCCTCTATTTAGACTGCCTAAAATACTATTTATCACACTTTTTGTTACTTCAAGTTATACAGCCAACACCTTCCTACACTAAAGCTTAATTGAATGCTTTATTTTAATATTTACACAGATTTTTCAAGATTCCTTTACATTTAGTTATTCGAAGTGCTATAGAAATCTGAACATTGAGCATCTCCTGTCAAATGAGATAATAGAGTAATGTTCTTGCCTTGGCATGCAGTAAATTTTAACTCCAAAATGCCAGAGGAACCTCACTGGGTCCCAGGAAATCAAAAAGCCAGGGAGAAAGCCCTATAAACATATTGGGCATATCAATAATGGAAATGAAGCAGAAAAGTTAAACTAATTGTGATTTACACTTTTGTATTACAGTGTGAATGGTAAACTAATGGTGCTGTAATTTCACATTTAAATGTCTTACTTTTTTTTTTTTTTTGAGAAAAAGTTTCACTCTTATCACCTAGGCTGGAGTGTAGTGGCATGATCTTGGCTCACTGCAACCTCTGCCTCCCGGGTTCAAGTGATTCTCCTGCCTCAGCCTCCCGAGTAGCTGGGATTACAGGTGCCCGCCATCACGACCAGCTAATTTTTTGTATTTTCTGTAGAGACGGGGTTTTGTCATGTTGGGCAGGCTGGTCTCGAACTCCTGACCTCAGGTGATCCACTTGCCTTAACTTCCCAAAGTGCTGGGATTACAGGCGTGAACCACCATGCCCAGCCAATTGTTTTACTTTCACTAAACAAATGACAGGGCTCTTTTACACTTTAATTTTAAAGTCAAGCTGTTGAGGGAAGTTTAAATGGATTTCTAGATGTGATAGAAAGGAAAGACAGTTCTGTCTTTCACTGTTTTCTTCCAATAACTTAATTAACCTAGTATATTTTTATATCAAAACTTAAAAACTAAGATGGAAGCAACTCAAGTGCCCATCGATAGATGAATGAATAAAGTATAGTGTATACATACAATGGAATATTATTAAGCCTCAAAAAGGAAATTCTGACACGTTACAACATGGATGAACCTAGAAGACATTATACCCAATCACATATGGACAAATACTGTATGATTCCACCTACATGAAGCATTTCGTCAAATTCACAGAAACAGAAAAATGAATGGTAGTTGACAGGGGACTGGTAGAGAGAGCAATGGGGAACAATTGTTTAATGGATACAGAATTGCAATTGGGGAACCCACAAACATTCTGGAGATGGATGGTGATGATGGCTGCACAATGACATGAACGCACTTAATGCCACAGAAATGCACTCTTAAAAATGATGAAAACGGTCAATTTTATGCTATGTATATTTTACCATAATTTAAAAAAGCAATATATCTTGACATATTAGCAGAATAAATAAGAAAATCCATATAATTCCCCAACAGATGAAGAAATGCTTTGACAAAATTCAACATTCTCACAATTAATTAAAAACTGGTAAGCAGGCCGGGTGGGGTGGCTCATGCCTGTAATCCTAGCACTTTGGGAAGCCAGGATGGGTGGGCTGCCTGAGCTCAGGAGTTCAAGACCAGCCTGGGCAACATGGTGAAACCCCATCTCTACTAAAATACAAAAAATCAGCCGGGCGTGGTAGCAGAGGCCTGTAATCTCAGCTACTCAGGAGGCTGAGAGGAACAAGAATTGCTTGAACTCAGGAGATGGAAGTTGCAGTTAGCCAAGATCATGCCACTGTACTTCAGCCTGGGCAACAAAGTGAAACTCTCTCTCTCAAAAAAATAAAATTGGTAAGCAATCCAAATAGTCAGATTGCAAAATCTGATGTACCCAAACCATGGCTCTTACAAGAGCCTCCTAACTGCTTCACCAACCTAAGCTCAATGTTCTTAAAACACAAATCTGATCATGTCACTTTCATACCCTTAGCTCCCGCTGCCTACATGAAGCATAAGGCAGTACATGGCTGCAGCAGAAGTTCTGTGTCCTGCACACAAACCCATCCAGCAGCTGTCTCCCACTTATCATTCCTTTAGTTCCAACTCTGACTTTGCTGGCCATCATACCACACTTCATCCATACCGAACCAGTTTCAGTAATATTTAACATCTCTCTGCCTTACTTCTAAGCAGCTTTCAACTTTTTCAAATTCCTCAACTACGTGGCAAAAATCTCCTCTTCTTAGACCTAAATCATACATCTCCTCTTTTCTGAAACCATTCTAAAGTTCTCCATACTTGGAGAGCAGGGATTAGTTATTCCATCTTTAAAGCCTTCAATGTTCTCTATAAGTATCTATCATAGCACGTACGATATTTTAACGCCTTTAGGATTTTAAATGTCAATTAGCTTACTCTCTTAAACCTGCATTAAGAACAGTAATAATATTATGGTGTCTATGCATAGTGGATAGAGTATTAAAATAAATGTTTGCTAGTTCAGTAAATACACTAGAATAATAGTTCTCAAATAGGCTTTGTAAAATCTCTGCCCTATCAATTATTCAAGAAAAATGGGTTCTATGGCCAATTAAATGTGAAAAATGCTACATTTGATAATCTCTTAGTGGTTCACAATGCACATGGAGTATAAAAGATATTGAGATGTAAAAAGAAACCCGTCTTCTTAAATTTATCTCATTCCAAACTTTTAAACTTGGAAGTCATTTATAACTCCTATTAACATCCTACAGAACTAATATTTTGAGTGATATGGCATCAGAAACACTAAATTAGCCGATAAAATAATTCTAGCATGGCTTAGATATCTGTCTCATAATCAATGAGTTATGGAAAGTTCTGCAGTTCAAGCTTTGTATCATCCTATTAAACATAATGTATATAAGAAATATTACAACAACATAAATATTATCTGCTACAATTCTTTGTTTAGCTGCTGTTGGTAGTACCCCGCCACCATCAAATGGAACAAAATCTTGGCAACCAAGGCTGAAATCCCACTCACCAAGTAAGCACTGCTGGATTCCTCTGCCAAATCTCAAAACAAGGAAACAAGACCCTGCCATAAGATGTCAATGTAATGGGTAGTGGTTGGTTACTTCATAGAAAGAAAAGGATCTCTGATACTGAATTAACCATAGAGTCTTGGGCTGCATTTGGACACTCAAAGCAACTCATCTACCACTCTATTTATCAAAAAAGACAGGGCTGAGTCACATGACTGTATAACTCAATGAGAGAACAAATATGCTCTGCCTCAACACAGTTTTAGCTATTGTAATTAGGATATTTCTACAGAAAGTTTCTTTGCCCAATTCAGAGGGTTTTGTGGTTAAAATAGGACACAAAAATCCTGCCACCTGGGAAGTCCTACTGAATAACTCACATTTACATTTTGGTGGTGGTACACCTGGTTGTCTTTTTAGTCTTTCTTTCAGCGAGTGAAAGAAATTAAATGCAAACTGACTTATACATCACTGGTTCATTCAAAGAAACTAATAATTTACTTTTCCAAAGAATTTAGAATTCCAAATTGCTGAGTTTTCATTTTCTAAGAATTCCTTTTCTGATTTGCTGTTTCATACACAAACAATTCATATATCTTTTACTGAATGTAAATGAGGCTTGTGAATACTCTGAAATAATTAAGAGAATGAGGGATTTCTGCTCCTACAAAGTAAACAAACCTGTAAACCATTTCAGAAAAAATAATGAGGACATAGAAAGAAAAACCATAAAAACTACAGGAAAATTTCTACCATCTGTTCTCTTATCTACAGCAAAAAAATATTGAAATTTACCATGTTCAATATTTCCCCTTGTCAAGAGGGTTAAGAAATAGGTATATGAGGAAAATGAGAAACTTACCTAGGCTAGAATTGCCTTTTGCTATATTAATAGTCCTTTCAAAAGATTCTTTAGATACATTTTGAAGCATGATACACTCAGCATTAGAGGCCAGGGAGCTCTGTTCAAGCAGGTACTCAGAGCTCTGTAAGAAAGAAAAAACAAGTTAAAGTCACATGGAAAGGGAAATTAGACTTTGGAGCGTGATTTCAACATCACGCACGTTCTCTGATTGATTGTGCTTTATTCTGCAAGAACCTGCAACCAAAACAAGTTCACAGGTTGCTTTCTGAAAATCTTAGTGCCAAGAAGCACTCATTCCAAATGAAGAGAATGGCCAGAATAACCCTTCAACATTCCCTACCCCATCATAAAACACAAACCATATCTTTAAAATATTACCTTTCCAGCTGAATCGGGTAGCACAGAAGGAAGTTCTGCACTTGATATAACTTCACTTGGTAAATGAGATTCAGTCCACACTACTGTGTTTTCACATTCATATTGCTGTTCAATAGCATTTGCAGGTGTGTAGTCATTTATAGTAAAGCCAGAAGCAGACCCCATACTTATGTCTACCAAAGGTGTATTCTCATCCTGTCTTTGCAGGAGATTCTGGGTATATAGTTCCTCCAAAGACATATGCAGATCAAGTAGTGGATCACAAGAATTTTCAATAACATCCTGGTAGTTAAAAAACAAAATAAAATGAAAAATGTGAACAGAATTACATCACTTCTTAATGAACAACTAGTAAAATGTAAAACATAACATTTATTACTCAAAAAGCATTAACAAACACAATTCTTCACTTAGCAGGTTTTCTGCATATCTTTATTTTCATAAATGCTTTTAAATATATTTCCTGCAAGTCATACATCTTATGTTCTACTGCGTTATACTTGTACAAGATACTAAACATAAGATCATTTAGATATAATACTATGTTATATTTACAAATAAAATTATTCAGAGTTTAAGTTACATAGAAGAGCAAGTAGCATACTCCCAAATCTCACTTAAAGTGTAGTTTGTTTCCCATCAGTCTGAAGTTCCTATTTATTATGAAATCAAGAACATAAAAAGTATGACATTAATTGTTTTGGACTCACAAGAGCCTCCCAGAGAAAATTATTTTTTGATAGGCATTTATAAGTATTTATGGAAAAGAATAGACAGCCTTACAATTCAAATTATCATAGGAAAAATTTGTATAAATACCCTGTAAGATATAACAGAAGGAACAGTAAAATGGGTTGTTATAAAATGTAGGCTCTAAATCCAGGCTCTGTTATTAACAATTTGTATATCACAGAACCTCTCTTGGCTTTATATTAATTTCTACAATCCTCTGAAACTCTAAAATTTTATAGTTCTATATAAATGTGTGTATCTACTTACAACAGATATATTGTATCACTTATGTGCTCTGGGAAAGCAGTCGCTTCACAAACTGCTGTTGAATAAACATATCAGTTTTCCCTTCAATTCTTTCATTGATAATTTTAATGTATAAAAGTAGCATATGAACATACTATTGCATAAAGGATTCAAGATACAGACATACATTGTGTATGTATATAGAATACAATACGAAAAGTCTTTGCTATGGCTTCTACTTCCATTCCCTTCCCCAATAAAAATGGCTGGCTTCAGTTAGGTGTTTATCCATCAAATTTTTAATGCATTTGCATAATATATACATATAAGTACACATGCACACACTCACACATACAAGCAGATATACATATATTTTTAAAACTAAACACAGACATATAATAAATAGCATTGTTTTTTTCTGCAGTATCTTTTCATCTTGATGTGAGAAATTTCCATGTCAATTTAAAAACAAGTCAACTTCAATCTTCTTATGGCTGTAAGTTATTCCTAAGTATGAAAGACAGTGGTGTGTAGACTCTGAAGCCAGGATGCCTGAGTTCAATTCCTGGCTCAACACTAATGCTAGAGCTTTGACAAGATACTTAAACACTATGCCTTGACTCTCTCATCTACTAATTGGGAAAATCAATAGAAACTAATACAGGACTGTTGGGAGGACAGAGAGTATTAACCTCCACAAAGTACTAGAAACAGGCCTGACTTAACAGAAAATGTGCAATAATTTTTAGCTACTGCTGTTATTTATACTCTACATCTTTGTCCATATGTGTGAAGATATATTCACTATGAATCACTAGAATTGCTATGGCTGGTCAAATGATATGCACACTTAAAATGTCGGTACGTGTTTTTAGTAGAGACGGGGTTCCACCGTGATGGTCTCTATCTCCTCACTCGTGATCTGCCTGCCTCGGCCTCCCAAAGCATTGGGATTACAGGCGTGAGCCACTAAAAATACAAAAAAATTAGCCAGGTGTGGTGGCTGGTGTCTGTACTACCAGCTACTCAGTAGGCTGAGGCAGGAGAATGGCGTGAATCCAGGAGGTGGAGCTTGCAGTGAGCCCAGATTGCGCCACTGCACTCCAGCCTGGGTGACAGAGCGAGTCTACATCTCAAAAAAAAAAAAAAAAAAAAAAAGGTTGATATGTACTGCTAACTTGTCTTCCAGTTTTCTCTCACAAAAGGAAAATATGGGAATACCTGCTAATGAATCTTGCCAGCCCTAGATTAGTTTGGCAATCTGATTTGCAAGAAATATATTCATTAGTGTTTTATTATGTGTGTTCCTGACAATTATCAAAGATAAGCCATTTGTATTTCTTCTGTTAACAATCTCTTCAAATTCTTTATCCAATTTTTCTCAGAGTTTAAGTTATATACAGAAGCAAATACCTCATAATTTCAAATTTCACTTAAAATGCAATTCAGTTTAATCACTTTGAAGTTCCTATTTATGAAGAGATCAAGAGCATAAAAACTATGTTATTAATTGATCTGGATTCACAGGAGCTTCCAAGAGAAAACTATCTTAATAGGCATTTACAGGTATGTATGGTGAAGAACAGACATTCTTCTTGTCATTGGCATAGTCTGAGTATAAAGTCTTTGTGATATACACTGCAAATATTCTTCCAGTCTGTCGCTTGTCTTTTAGTTTGTATAGGTACTATTTTGTCATGCAGAAGTTAAATTATCTCTGCAACCAAATTTGTCATTTTTTTATGCTTCTGGGTTTTATATATTACTTAATAAGTCCTTTCACACAAAGTAAATGAAATGCTTTCTAGTATTTTTCTTCTTTTATAAATGTTTTGTTTTACATTTTAACCATGTAGATTTATTTCAGGGTATGGTGTGAGATATGGGTCTGTTATTTTTTTTTTAAATGGGTAATTAATTGCTCCAACACAATTTATGACATTCCTCTCCTTGAATGCAACTTATTATCTCTCTAGAATTATCAGATATTCCTAGCACAAAGAATTGAGGCAAGTGGAAATATTATACAAGCAATCAACATCTGTAGTATCCTCAGAAACAAATGATAGGAAGGTATCATCCTCCACACTCCCAGGATCTAAACAATAACCTATTGGCTCCCTCACCCAACTTTGATAATTTTATTCTTAGGAAAAACAATAATGTACTTACTACAGAATTGGTTAGCCTCTATATTACTAAATTAATTATAATAATTAGTAAATCATCTCCCCCATGCCTCAAAGATAGCAATCAAAATTGGTTTTCATTAGAAAAAGAGGTCAAGTCGCCCTTGTTAGCTGGGGTGTACTGTAAATGGTATAACAGTCCCATGCATAATTCATGAAGGAGTTAACACAGACATGTAGAAAAGAAAGAACTAATCAACACAGTAGACAACATACACCCACTTCAGAAACGTTTCTGGTTGCTCAACAACCAACTCAGTTTTATTTTTAAAAGTCTTATGGATCTAAAAGAAAAACAGTTCTTCCCTCATAAGAAGTACAAAAATAACCACAATTTCCCAGTGTAACTTGATATCTAAAGTGAAGTATTTCAAAAGTCTATATTAATATGTGACTTCGCTTGATATATTCTTGTCCTCACTACAAAATTAGAAAAAGGTTAAATTAAAATGTCAAACGTACTTTTTTAAAGTTCTGTTTCTTAAGTGCAATGCATAAATTAAAGTTAGACTTGCGCATATTATTTACCCAGATAATATATTTACAAAAACTAACTAAATACACGAGCATTCAATAGCCATAACCTGCTTTTCTTCAATAAGCAGTCTACCAGAGAATTCTTATTATACTTTTAAAACATATATTGCAACCACAGCTGCTCCAACTGTCCTTCTCCAACTCTTTCTGAGATAAAGTACACTTCCTTTATTGTTTTGACACTGATCCTACTAAGGAAAAAGGCAACATCCTTTAAACCTTTGAGAGTCTGCAATTCTGTCACTAAGACTGTCACAGTCACTCTCATCATTTTGATTAGAGTGATTTAGTTTTTTATTCTAACCCCACCTGCAAAAAGAACAATTAAGAAATAGTATCAACATTCTAAACATGGATGTGAAGGCAATAATATTTTATGCCAGACAATGACACTAAGAATTTGTAAGAATGTTCAGACTACTAAAAAAAAATCATTAAATCTGTTAGTTGAGCTGACGTACAAGGTGCAAAAAGGGTTCCTATCTTGATAAACATCAAGTTCAATCTGCCTTAGAAAAAAAAGCATTTCCTGGCAGAACCGACATTCAAGAATGAAGGATGGACACCATGTGGGTAACAATATTGTCACTGGACAGAGTGAGAGTATGGGTGCACACAGGAGGGTAGGGGGTAGAGGTGTGAATAAGGAGTAGAAGGGGAAACTTCAATAGATATTAAATCTTTATCCGTTGTATTTTTAAAGCAAAACAGGAAAAAAAACAAGTATGTTCTAAAAACCATGTTAAGATTTTAAACAAAAGTCTGCAAATCATAAAACAATTATTTCTGCATTTTGTCATATCTTTGGAGGTAACAAGGGAAAAGGAGTAAAATGATTAACCAAAGAAATAAAACTTAAAATAATAAGAAAGGAAAAACATGGCTAGAGCCACGTTGCTTTTAAAATCCATACTTCAATGACCTGCCTCTATTAAGCCAAATGCCATAGAGGCAGGTGTATTTTTCAGGTTCTTCAGTAACAGCTATTTCCCATAAATCTTTACATGGTAACTAATCAAATTAAACAAACAAATGCTCTTTAAAAAAAAGTAAAGCAAAATGGACCCCCAAATTACATAATTTTGTGAGGAAGAGCCCCAATGTATGGCTGCAGCCCTTTAGTGTTTAGGCTGCCCTGAAGAGCGAGGCCTCCCTCTATGAAGAGTTTGTGCTGTAGGTGATTAGCACTGATCACTTTTGGTAATATACCTGACGAAGGCCAAAAGACCATTCATCAAGGGGAAGAGACAGGTAAAATTATTTGTTCATTTCCAGTTGCCATTTAAGGCTCCAAGATTATCACATATTTAGCAAAGTCAAAAATCTAAGGAACCGCTGAGATCCTCACACTCTATTTTATCCTTTCAAATCAGTATAGAGGCATCTTTGTTTTTCTTAAAAATCATATACTATATGGTATTACTTTATAATTAAAAAGCCTTTAAGTAAGCTCACTTTTAAGAAAATAGTCAATTGTAAATTCCATAACAAATCACCATTGGGTCTTTTTAATATAAATTTATTGCAAAGAAACAAGAAGGACACATTTTTTACTTATTTTATTTACATAAACATTTTTAGTAAAAGTCTAGGTATTAGAAAGTTGTCACCAAAAATATAAAATGTTGCAGAGATTTTACCATGATGCAGGAACAGTCCCACATTCTAAGAAAACTAAGAGCACACAGGAGTTTCACAATGTGTTTTAAAACACCCTCATTAATGTCTTCTTTGTTGTTTTGTAGTTTAAGTATTTCAGTTGATAAACCAGCTTGCCAAAATTTGCTTCAACAAAAGAGTAAACTGCTTGGGGGAAAAAAAATAAATAAATAAAAAAGGAGGCAAACAGACTTCAGTAAGCCAATATGTTGTGCTGCATACAGCCAGCATTTGCCCTGTAAAATATATGCTTCTCAGTATGCAGATTGTGTAATCCCTTTAAGTAACAATTACTAAGTTAAACAATGCAATCTGTCCACTGGCAAGAAGACGTGTGCTATGCTGTGGATTAGGAGATTCCATCAGGAGATGAACTCAGCTTCCAGCCCTGAGGCCAGTAAAGACTGAACACATTCCAGAACACATTCCAGACAGGACACAGCCAGACAGACAGTCTCAGGTGTGGTGAGAGAGGAGCATCTGCTCCACTCAAGATTATACCTTGCAAACCAATTGAAGGAGATTGCCCAGCATCATTTGCAAGGATAACAGGTGCACCTTGAACATAAAAGAAAATGCTTTGAAAATGTTCTGGCCAAAAAACCTGTTAATCAGGAAAAGAGGAAAACAGTGCTAGACCTATGGAAATTCTGCTTTCCAACTTTTTCATAAATACCCTTCCCACTGAATTCAATTCATGCAGAAAATACATATTTCATATATTAAAAAACATTGTCCAGTCTTTTCAACTTAATTTTAAATGTATGTTTATGGTATATTTCCAACATAGAAAAATAAAGAAAACATATTCATATATGAACTCTTTGCCATGATTTAACATATATAAACATTCTGCCATATTTTCATCAATCTCTCTTTCTTCATAATATGCTATAATGTATTAGACACATAGCTAAATTCCCATACTTCTTTTTTTCTCCAAGGATAACTTCTTTTTTGAAGTTGAGAAGTATCCTGCCAACACATTTTTAGATTTTACTATACATATGTACACAGATATTCATAAAAAATATATGTTGAATTGCTTTGCATATCAATTTCCAAAAAAACAACTGCAAAAAATCAAAAGAAAAATGAGCAACCCAATACAAAATGGCCATAAGATATGAAGAGATCTTTGATTAAAAGTGAAAAACAAATGGCCAGTATTATGAAAAAATATTCATTCTCATTAGTAATCAGGAAATCCACATTAAAATGGCAAGATACCATTTCATACCCAAAATACTGGAAACATTTTAAAGCATTACTTATTCAACATCATAGAGTATGTCACCAATAAAATTAATATAGTTGGGGCATTTATGCCAATAATCTATTTCTAAAATATGAATGGCACAGATATGTCAAATAGTGACTAAACTCTCCATTCATATCCACTGACATAAACATAATTTACCATTCACTGTGTTTTTTTATGTACAGTATTCTTTGGCATCATTTTGTATAAAAACATATGATAGCATTACGTTTAACTTAGCTAGTAAATGTTTGTAATGCAAGAAATATTTTACTATTCAACTCTGCATAGAAGTCAGTTTTAAAACCATTAAGAAAATAAAGTTATTCTTGTAATTTTTCCAAAGTAGACACTGCTAAAAACACAACTTGAGAAATATATGATGTTTAATTTTTCTTTCTGACATGCAAACCCTAATCAAAGCTTTGGGTCTCTGTGTCTATCATTCTCAGACACTAAATTTAAATAGTTTCTAGTAATCTGAAAGCTACCCGACCAACATTGGCTAAATGAAATTGTACTTTAATCCAATAATAAGTCCACAACTGGAGAAATATAATGTCTCCAATATGTTATTCCCACAACTCCCCATAAGGACTGACCTCTGGAAAATTATACACAAGACTTTCCTATAAAAGAAAAATGGGTATTTCCTTTTACCTTAGGAGAAGACGATGGAAGGGAAGAACCATAGTTCAGGCCATCACCACAAGAACTGCCATGAAGAGATAAAATAGAGGTTTGAGTAGAGTAGATGCTGTCATTATCAGGAGAGTATTGAGACTCGAATGTGGATTCATCTACTAAGTCAGCATCATTTGTGTCCACCTAGAAATAAAACAATAATATTAGTTGGGAATTCTGTTCTATTACATATATGACAAACTCCACTTGAGACTAAACGGCAAACTGGTCTCATTCTTTTACCTATTATATTTTCTATATGCCCTCTTCACCCTCATCAGAGACTGCTAATGCAGCAGAACAAGGATAAATAGCCCACCTACAGTAAAAAGTGCTGGCATACAAAGTTATTTTATTTCATCAATAAAAGGGCTAAAGGCAACAATTAACAAAGGGCCTGGATCAAGTCTAAGTTTAAACAGTTCCATAGTTAAGTAAAATATTTACTTTCTTCCAGTTCCCACGCCCAACTCTTATAATTTTATAATAAAATTATGTCATAATTTTTCCTAGTCAACTAAAATAAACTGTTATTCAACGAGGCAGCTAGGCAATTATATATTTGTAAGCCACACTAAAACTATATATTTTGTTTAAATTATCTTGAACTAGATTTTAAAACCATTCCAGTTGCAGAAACCAAAAAGAAAATCTGTGATTTCACGCTAAAATTATACTAACAAACAAGGGGCCTAATTATGATCTGGTTATGGTGAAGCTTTAAGTTATAAACTTGTTAGAAAACTCATAAAGAGTGAGATAGAGAATTTCACTACATATTCTCTAATAATCCTATTGCTGTCTTCTGTCACAGAGTCAAGATTAATATTTAAATCAAGATGAGCTTGAAGTTCTTTTTGCAATTCACTCAAAGTCATACCTCAGAATAGGCAGAACTGACATATATACTACCTTTCTCTGATATTACCAGCATTTTCTGTCTATCTTGGCAAAATTCCATATGCTTTTTTTTTTTTTTTTTTTTTTTTTTGTAATTTCAACGTATTGTTTAGCCAGGAGAAGTTAGAAGAATTGTAACATTGTATCAGGTCACATTCTTACAAAAAAACTATTAAAAATACCCGTGGGCCATTTTGAAATGATTTTCTCTTCAAATACATTTCGTAGGCCTAATAATATATTTTAAATACATGTTCAAATTCACTGAGTCACTATGTGGAGATTGACCCTTACAAATATACATAACATACAACAATCTAGATAGATAGTATTAACTAAGCCTTGTGTCATAGATTACAATACAAATTAAAGTAACATTAATGAGAGAATACCTCAATATAATTTGTATGTATACTGCTGATATCTTAGGATCTTAGGAGAGACATTAACAATCAATTCATTTATTTACTGTAGAGATAAAACACTAAGAGTCAAAGAAGTTGAGTGACCAGTTCAAGATTACTTAGCTGGCTAGGGAGAAGACCCAGGATACATATTACCATTATAAGACGCCAAGCTCACATAAAAGTAGAACTAAGCTGCCTTTTGATTGGTATCCATTTAAGGAGGTTCAAGGAAGCCATGTAAACTCCAGAGAATATTATTTCATCGGTACTTTAGAAACAATCATATATAGTATTTGTATCCTGTGACATTTCAAAAAGTATTTGCTATGGCTGGGTATTATTTAACACCCCAGTACCTTACGTAATTTGTTGTATATACTAAGCTCTCTCGTTTTGAAGTGCTAACATAATACACACGGAGAGCAGGGCCATACGTTACCTGGTATGTTAAGTATTCCAGTGTGAAATTGTTGCATTTATTATAACATATACAAAAACTCTTCAAATAGCTATTTCAAGAGCTTGCAATTTAAAAATATTAACAAAAGGAATTATCTTCCCCAAAATTAGAATCAGCAAAATGTATATATAGTCAAAGAAATAATTCACTCTGTTTTAAAGCAAGATGCGTGCAGTTATAAACACATAATGAAGAGTTTAACAGGTTTTAAACCTTTCTCCAGTCTAACGAAACTTAAACAAGTATTTAAAAAACAAGTATATTCCTTTTTAGCAACAGTGCACAATGTCTGCCCCACAAAAAAAACGTTGAGTAAGGAACCTAGCTCTAATAGTAGGGGTAATGTGAACAGGATGTACAATTTGTTGTATTTATATTGAGTAAATGTCATATGTATATTTTTGCCTGGTATTTAGCTTTATCCTTTAGTTATTGATATAGCATTTTACCCTCTACCAGAAAAAAAAGTTTCTTAAGGGCAGAGTGGCTCCAAATGCTTTTATTCCAATGGATACTATTTTAAACATCAAACAGAAATGAAATTTTAATTTATAATTTTTCTGGCAAATCAGTATATTTACATATATGTATTTATAGAAAACATGAGGTTTACCTTTCCTTAAAACTGTGGTGTTCTTAATAACTGAACCAATTCATATGATTTTCAGACTATAAATATCTAATGGAAAAAAGATACCTATCACCTCATTAAATAGAGCCAAAACAGTGCTTTGTGACTGAATATTGAACACAGTTAAAGAATGTCTAGAGATACCTAAGCGTGAAATTGGAGCAAACAAAAGCTCCACCAACTTTAGGTATGGCACAAAGACTGATTCTACATACTGCTACAATGCAATGTTAATTCAATTTTCCTCACAAATGTTTTTCATATTTACTGTGGTTTTTCTTCCCATTTTCAACTGTGAGAACTAAGTTGGAGAGAACATGTTTATCTTTCCAAAATATAATAACGAACAAAGAATATAGTAGATTTCTTCAGAATATTTTGAAAGGCAAAGTAAGATACATCAGGTTTCTGAAAGAAAGCTTGGTAAGTCATAGCCACTAACCAGAGCCAAGTCAGCCCTAAAGAGGGGTTTGTCAGCGAGCCCTTCTTCCTCACAGGAGTGTGGTGGGTAGAGAAACGAATCCTCCTTAGCAGAAACATAACCTTCTTCTGGTGAAAGCTGTGGGGAAAATGGTATTCAAGGAAAAGAGAGAGAACAGCAAAGAAGAAAGAAAATGGAAAAGAAGGGTAAAGGCAGGAAAAGTGAGGGGGGGAAGAGAAAGAAATTGGAAAGTTTTCAAATGATATGACTTCAACATAGAATGTAAGTATAAAATCTGATATTCATATTTAACATTCATTTGATAAGACACAATGAGGATTATTTACTCTAATATAAAAATCACCTGTTGGATGAGAATCCCTTTCTACTAATTTTTCATTCTTCTTGTAAGATTATTTTTTTAAATGAATGAATTTTAATATTCTAATAATCTTCTGGTTCTTTTTATCTGCAAAATATTCTGGCCAAACAATGACTTCCTAATATAGAAATGAAGCAACTTTTAGGTATTAAGAAATAAAAGAAGTTGCAGAAAAACAAATATTAAAAAGAAATATCAACTTCAGTCATCCCCCTACAAGAATATTATTTTAAAGAATTCAATTTACTTGAAAAGGAATGTTAGTGAACTCTACAGTGAACTCAATTTAGCATGGCTTATAAAACAAAACAAAACAAAAACCAAATCTCTACATGTCCACAGTCTGCTTAACTTGCAGTTTAGAGAGATTATATTCCAAACTTGGTCACACTGGCAGAAAAGCTACCACATTTATTGCACTCTCAGATGAAATGGGCTAAAATACTTAGATAATCAGCCTGCCTACATCACCTGGTATCAGTAAAACATACAGAAGAAGCATTATAGGGGAAAAAACTGTTTTTTCTTCTCTGCCCATATATGTGAGCTTAACATATATTAAGCCTCTATCATATTTTGCAATGCATACTGAATTTAAAATATCAAATACCGTCATAAAAGAAATTTATTTTGGAACTATACAGAAAAAAAAAGACTGCTTCTGAATAACTGGTATGGTTTCACCTTAAGGAGAGTAAAAATAAAAGGTATATTAAGTCATATTTGCCATTTCTCTCTGTCCAACAGAAAGACCAGAACCAAATTTATAATCCAATCTCAATAAATAGGTAGAGTCCCTGATAGCCTAACTTTATTCTTACATTCCCGTCCATAGTGCTCTTTTGTCATGATTTTTACAAGCCTGGTTCGATTTCAGATTGGATTAACATATTCTTCAATCATCTTGCCCTCCTTCTCTTTCTTTTTTCATAAATATATTTTAATAGGCTACTGAAATCATTTCTGAACTAAAAAGTGGTGCATAAAACTTTAACTGACACTTAAAATACATTAACAAAGCTTACTGTTTTAACAAATTCTGTCACAAAAATCAACAAACCCATATTGCTACTTATGAAACTATATTTATGTGTTTGCATTTTCTTAAGAAAACATGTATCTGCTTTTTCACTTCAAACTATATTCACGTACTGGAAAACAACCCACAAATATTGAGAACATCTCTAATATTTAACTGCAAAACAATAAGTGCATCTAATACAATATACTGCTTTATGTAGCACAGATTCATAAAGTCGTTTCTATTATTACAGTAATTTATGATTTGGAAGCTATTCCCTGCCAGGAGAGCCACAAACTGATGAACCCATTTTGGAAAGTTTAATTTCCTGCTCTGCAGTAATTAGACAGCAAATGTGTTGAAGTCAACTGAATTTAGCAACTTGAAGTCACTCTGACAGAGATTCTACTTTATTCCACTGTGATTAAAGATTTTGTTGTTAATGCTATTAATTTTTCTAATACCCCACTACATTGGTATAGATATTATAAGCCATATTCACTTTAACATATTTGATTTTGCATTCATCATGACCTTATTATCAAATATAAAGTGTCAAGGCTGGGCACGGTGGCTCACGCCTGTATTCCTAGCACTTCAGGAGGCTGAGTGGGGGTCGGGGGGGGATCACTGGAGGTCAGGAGTTTGAGACCAGCCCGGCCAACTTGGTGAAACTCTGTCTCCACTAAAAATACAAAAATTAGCCAGCCATGGTTGTTGTGTCCCAGCAACTCAGGAGGCTGCGGCAGGAGAGTCGCTTGAACCTAGGAGGTGAAGACTGCTGTGAACCAAGATTTCGCCACTGCACTCCAGCCTGGGCAACAGAGCAAGACTCCATCAATCAATCAGTCAATCAGCCAATGTCAAAAGTGAACCAAAGACCAATAAGTTAGAAGTTTATTTATAAACTTCCTGGCTATTTTCCTTCTTTCTTTTTTAAAATATTACTCAAAATTAAATCTTTATACCCATGGAGCTAGTAATCACGTTGATGAAAAGTACTAAAAGTCATGATTCAGTCATGAGAACACCTAAAGCTAAAAGTAGACCTATGAACCATTTTGCTTATAAAAGGAAGCAATAAAATCTGAATTCTTACGGGTAAAGGCTTAGCAACTCCTATTCTCACAGTTCCTGATGATGCTCCCTTCAGTGCTTCTACAGCTTCCTCAAGACTGCTATTTTCCAAGTTAACATCATTTACAAACATGAGTCGGTCACCAGGAAGAAGTCGTCCATCCTTTTCAGCAATGCCGCCAGGCACCAAAGAACGAATTATAATCACAGTGCTTGCTGGATCAATTGGATCCTGACAGAAGGCAATAAGGAAAGAGGAGTCAGCTCATTTTACAAAGAAAATTCTTCTACAGGTCGTCCACTCTAAATTGTAAGGAATGAGTAATTGTTTCAAGTGTGTTTAAAAATTTTCATGCCAAAAACATTTCATACAAAATTTCTAATTAATTATTTAGACAAAGATTATCTCCATTTTAGAGGGTTTAGGAAGAAGTCACCTTAATTAATGGCACCCTCACCTCCTAATGTTCCTGAGTAGACCTCTTAAATTGTACAGATAACTTTAAAATTATAATTTTAACTTTAAGTTATCAAATTTTGTAACTATTATTGGAGGCCAGATGTTGGGTATACTAATTATTAACAAAAGCACTTGTTAAACAGGGTGTTACTATATGGAACATCAACTCACTACTAGAATATAAGTGCACTGAAGGTAGGACACATCGTTTTGAAATGAAAGAACCGAGAGAGAGAGGCCATAAAGTATGTGGTACTGAAGTATTTTCAGACACACAGCAACCTTAATGTTTTAACAAGGCTCTAGAGTCAGGCCCTATGAACACAGCTTCCTGGAGTCATCTACGGTGGCTTTCTGATCCAGTGTAAGGAGCAACAGCTGCACTCCATCAGACAGGCTAACCATCTCCTTGCTTAGCCAAGAATGCAATGCAGACAGGGACACAAGGCCAACTTGACCAATTTAAGTATATTCATAAATTTAGTCAAATGATTGGAACAGCAGAAATATTAATTGGAATATCAGATTATACATTAGTATTCATGTTATAGACAAAAGAAATACCTACTACTTTATGACTTACCATTAAAATATGAGCCATTAAATAAGTGCATGGAAGTAAAAATAATATAAACACTCCCCAAATAACAAAAAAAAAAACCCACTATGATATTCCTAAAATGTATCTTCCAATTCTCAAGAGGTGAAATAAAAATAGCTCAATGAACTCAATATTAAAAGAAATCCTTTATGATAATCAATGAATCATATAAATCACTATTGTGAAAGATTGACTGGAAAAAAGAAATTGTCTTTGATGGCTGTAAACTATCATCATCTGCTTTTTCTTTGATAGCAACAATATGCCTTTAGTATATAGCATCTTTAAAAAAAAACTGTTAAAAGCAGTATATACTTACCTGATAATCTAAAATGCTAAAACCAAGTCCTTTGCTCCCTTTCTCCAGCTCTATGTGCTGAATGCCAGCCTCCCACATGGCCAAAGGTGCTTGAACCTCCTCTGTACTCTGACCCGCATCAGTCATCGCCAGCACTGGATCCTCTGTCTCTGATGACCCGATGAACTCACCTAGATCTATGTGAGGCTGGATAACATCAGACAGCTCTTATTTCAGAGGCATTACATTTGCTGACACACATACCAGCACTATAAGAAAAGGGGTATTCCCAGCGCCTGTCCAGAACAAAACACCCTCAACCAAGAGTAGCAACAGCTTTTCATGAAACCTTTAGGAATTAAGGTAGTAATTATTGAAAGCTGTTAGAAAGGAAGAAATACCTAAGTTTTAACAAACATTAAAAATATATGATTCAATGGTTTACGAAAATATGCAATGTTACATCTCGACAGCACGACTGTGGGTGACTGTCACTTCTTTCGTCAGTGTTTCAATCATCTCTACAGTCAGAAAAAAATGTAAACCCATTTTGATATTAAATAAAAGGAATTCTTAAGATAATTAAAAACAAGAGAAAATGGATATATACAAAAGTTCTATACTCTATGCAAATAAGAGTTCTAAAATGCTGTGACTTGTGCATATGGTTATTTCATTAACAAATTAACATACACAGTGGCAAAACATAAGATTTGAAACCAGATTTGCCCCAGCTTGAAGCAGCTTGAATATTTAAAATCTGAGTTACATTGAGCAATGTTCATAACCTGGGCCCCAGAGTTACCCATCTCATAGAATTTTCTGAGGACTAAATGAAGTAACATTTATAAAGCATCTGACAGAAATAGGGATTCAAAATGTTAGCTTCTTTCAGTAAAAATAAATTAAAGAATATAGGTTAATTCAACTTTGTTCATCTATATGAACATAACTTAAAGAAAGATGTGTTTATGAGGATGAAATTCTAGTTTGTACAGTATCTTTGCTTCTAATCAATTATTGCATAGCCTAGGACCACAAATGCAAATGACGCCTATCTGCTTTATTGTAATAACCCCATTATACACATAAAAACATGGATGGATATATATAGGGTGCTACACTTTGAGTGCTATAAAATTTGGAATTATGTTTCTTGTTCTACCCTATTCTAATTCTAATCACCCATATGAATATTAAACTATGCATTTTATTCTTCAAATTTTTCAAAATTATTCCATTGTACTGATTCATTCAATATAATATAAATCAAATCCTAACATCATCTCTCAATATACCTTAAAGGAGATTTGATTAGACCACAAATTATGCAAAGTCCAAATCCTAACTTTAGGTATGTATTGTGTATCCTCAGAAAAGCTGATTAGCTCCATTTCTTGACATCATGATATCAATGAATGAAAAATAATAAACAAACAGGAAAATGTGACTTCCTGAATGTCACAGAGAATTATCTGACATGTAGCATTATGGACTCAAATTTACGGTATTTTAAAAGGACAGTATGTGAACAAGTAAGACCTATCCACACAGAAATGCTGTGTCCATCCATATTTTAGCCATTCACTAAGTGGTAACTGTGTGCCAGGCAGAATTGGATAGGTTATGCAAAAATATTTTTTAAAACATACGTACTATGTACACACTATTTATATACTTCAGTTTTCTCTTCTGCAAATGGAGATGAATAGGAGCATCTACTTCATAGAAATACTGCAAGTAAATTAAACAAGTATGTAGTGTGCATTAATATCTAACATGATTACATAATCTTATTTAACCTTCAGGGCAACTTTTTGAGACAGGTATCATGACTGACATTTTACCAAGGACAAAACTGAGGTTCAGAAAGATGAAGTGATTTACCCAATTTCCCACAGCTAGTGTTAAGTCTGATTCAAACCCAGATTTGTCTGACTTTAAATTCTATACTCCAAGCCATGGGCTATGTGAGTAAACCAAATACCTAATTAAAAATTGCTTAAAATTTTTTAAGTCATTTAGCCTTTCCATTATATATGTAGGTTAACCTCATGTATGCAAATCTGATACCTTTTCTGTTAGCTCAATATCACATAAGTCCAGGCTATCCAATTCTGATTGGGTGGTGGGTGGCACAGTTCGACGACAGCACACCATTGTCACTTCTATAGGCAATTCTTTTAAGATATTCACCACGTCTTGGTGATTTTCCCCAAGTAAAGTTATGCCATTTACCTGTGAAAAAAGATATACTGTCCAAGAAACAACACTTCATAATATGAACATTCTTTTGAACACCTTTTTTATTAAATATAAATTTTACTATAGTCATTACCATAGTTTACTGTGCTCAGAACTATAGTGAGACCTGTGGAAATACCATCTAAATTTATGTGCAAGTTTAGAGTATTGTTGGAATTAGAGCTTCTAAAGCACTCAAAGAAAAACCACTAGCTTTCATTCATGTTTGATCTGCCAGTGTAGTGGTCTGGAAAAAAAAAGACAATAAAAATACTTCCAAAGAATGAAAGGGACAAGGAGAAGAATATTATAAAACTTTGACATTTTATGTAATTATAAAGTAAAAAAAAATTGGACAATGACATATATTGTATGCTAGTGTGTTTTGAAAAGTGAGGGAAAATAATATATTCAAACTTTCTTATTTATGCATTAAAAATACTGGCAGATTACAAAGAAGCAAATATGTTAGTAGTTACCTAATGAAGGGTGATGAGAACTGGATGAATGGGGACAGGAAGGAGACTCTTTTTCCATCCTTTATCTTTGTATTCTCTGTGATTTTAAACATGTGAATGTATTACTTATTCTAAAAATTAAATAAATGTTAAAAAATTTTTCAAAGACTGTTTTTATAGTTTTCTGAACCTAAAAAAAATGGCATGGAATTAGGTCTAAAGCTAAATGTACACACAGATACAAAATTTCTGCTTTGGGTTGTTTTCATCTGTAGATTTTTCTCAAGTCCTCTTTGGAGGGGAAATTTAAAATGAGAATTTATTCACCACATTAAGCCTCCTGCAACCTTTTCCATGTCTCGTTTAAGGAGGAGAAGGAACAGCATAGCTCCTTACTTCCAATAGCTCGTCTCCACTGAAAAGCTTCCCGCTGTGTCCAACAGGACCCTCTGGCAGAACAGATCGGATAAAATGATGTCCCACTGTTGCTTCCAGGCTTATCCCCAATCCACTGTTCTCACTAAACTTGCTCACGTGGGCCACCTGAAAAGAAAAAAAAGAAACCACCACAATTTTTATATTCTTTCTTTTTATTTCTACTCATGCACACACTTTATGTTTTATGTTTACCTAAAAGTGGTTATCTTTCTCACAAAGCTTCAAAAACCATATGGTAAAAAACTGCAAAGTTTTGGGGCTTTTCCTTTGAAAGAGTACTGGTGTCTTTTGATTTCATGAACTAACAAACTGAACAGAAGCAGTGAGCTGCAAGCACCCATTACATAGGTCTCATTTGCTTCTCATAAATAGGTACACTTTTTCTCCTTGTTTAGTAGAAAAACGAGGTTCAGAAAAGTTACCATGACCAGAGTTGCACAGCTAGAAAAGGGTTTGAATATAAACAAAGAACCTAGAACCACATTCCTGGTTTTATGCTGTATCCAGAGACAATGGTCTTTAAAAATGATCAAAGCTTAAAATAAAAGAATGAACTTCCAATTTCCTACTGTTAAATTAAATAATGAAGAATGTTAGAAAGCTGCTCGTTTTCACACAGAATCCAATAAATATAATACTAAAATCAGAAGGTATGCCAAAGACGATCTACTTTATCCTTTTCATTTTATAGTTAAGGAAACTAAGGGATAAAAGGACTAAAAAAAAATGTTTCATTAAAAAGAGCTTTTTCAAATTTTAATGATAATGTGCAGAAGTCAGTTTCAGAGGCGATATAATCTGACTTTGAAATCTAATACTGGATGAAACCCTTCTCACTCCTGAAAACCCAATTTGGACATCACTTCCTCTGAGAATGTCCCATCCAATAATGTCCATTAGTCAGTACTGTTATACTACTTCCCTTATGATTTCATTTATGCTGTATCACTACACAGCAAACAATTTGAAGTCAGATCTATGTCTTATTACCTTTATCTGACCACAGCCCATAAATAACTTAGTCCTTTTTCATTTATTGTATACTTTTGCCCTTGACAGATTACTAGGAATGCCACCAAGAAAGCATGAGCACAAAGGGTAGCTAAAAGTTCAGCCTTTGGATAAAGAAAATGTAGCACATATACACCATGGAATACTATATAGCCATAAAAAAGAATTAGTTCATGTCCTTTGCAGGGACATGGATGAAGCTAGAAGCCATCACTCTCAGCAAACTAACACAGGAACTTATGAGAGAGAATACCATATGTTCTCACTCATAAGTGGGAGTTGAACAATGAGAACAAACGGACACAGGGAGGGGGACATCACACACCAGGGCCTGTAGCGGGGTGGGGGCAAGGGGAGGGAGAGCATTAGGATAAATACCTAATGCATACGGGTCTCAAAACCTAGATGATGGGTTGATAGGTGCAGCAAACCACCATGGCATGTGTATACCTATGTAACAAACCTGCACATTCTGCATATGTATCTTAGAACTTAAAGTAAAATTAAAAAAAAAAGAAAAAGTTCAGTCTGAGCTCTGACGCCTATGACAAAAAGGCTAAAGGGTCTCCCTCATTATTCAATTACCACCCAAAGAAATGCAGTCTCAGTTATGCACACCTGCCACATTAACCCTATCCCTCCATGAAAATAATTTCTGAAGTTTCATGTTAAATTAACCACTGTTAAGACGGACCTTAATGTATTTTTCCTTAAGTCAATTCAAAATGGTAGTAACAGCTATACTTACTCAATCCATATTTGACTGTTAATCATTTTGAATGTTTAAAAAAAAGATTATAGCAAGGTGCAGTGATGCATGCCTGTAATCCCAGCAATTTGGGAGGCTGAGGCGGGCAGACTGCTGGAGTCCAAAAGTTCAAGACCAGCCTGGGCAACATGGCGAAACCCGGTCTCTACAAAAAATACAAAAATCAGTTGGGTGTGGTGCTGCATGCCTGTAGTCCAAGCTACTTGGAAGGCTGAGGCACGAGAAGTTTGAGCCCTGGTGGTCAAGGCTGCAGTGAGCCATGACTGCACCACTGCACTCCAGCCTGGGTGACAGAGCGAGACCTTGTCTCAAAAAATTAGAAAAAAAAACCAGATGATTATGGTCATGAGGATTAAATCAAACACTAAGAACACTGCTGCTTGGCACAAAGTACTCTATAAAAACCAGATGATTATGGTCATGAGGATTAAATCAAACACTAAGAACACTGCTGCTTGGCACAAAGTACTCTATAAATGCTAGTCATTAATATATGTCATCTGTTGTATCTTCTTCCTTCTAGTCCAGAGGCATACAAATTTACAAGAAATATGAAAAATTCTACCTAACATAGTATTTTATTCTTTCTTTTGAAATCCGTGAAATTTGCTGGTATATATCTTAAGATTGATAATTTATATGAATTTTGTTAGACCTCCTTTTGAAATGGTAGATCACAATGGCTATGCTGGATATACAGGCTATTAATAAACATAAAACATTCACCACAGCATAAGAGGTATGAAAAAAAGTATGCAGAATTAACCTCTTCAGGAAGGTAAATACATAGGAGGGGAAAAGAAAGAGTAGAAAATAGTCCTTTTACAATTTCGTTCATAAGTCATGACACATTTTGTTTTATTTTTAAATAAACTCATTCTATTTTCATTCTTTCTATAAATCATAGGTTTAAAAATCAGAAAAACCCTTCCTTGTGTCTATATTATTCATACTATTACTGGAAATATTAAAATACCGATAAAATACAAGTTTCAAAACTTCTATCCCATTTATTTCAGTTCCTTTGTTACTATATACCTTTCTCCAACCTAAATTTTTTTTATTACCTGAATCACCACATTAGGTTGTCTAAAAAAGTCCTGTACATTTGGTTCTTCTCTGGAACTCTAATGATTGCCTCTATTATTCCCTCAAACTGCCTGCTGAAATACAGTTACAAGTTGTAAATTACAGAAGGTAAGCTAACCCACCACTATTTCATAGTTAATCCCCATAATCCTTTGCCACTTTGTCAGCAGGACAGCTTCTTGTTTTCGTGCATCTTCTATTTCTTCTATCTCAGCTGACAGTAATGGATACCCTGAAATAGTCAAGGCAATTAAGTTAGTAGCAAACTACAAAAATCTCCATATCTTAACATCCTGTACCAAGGATTCTGTGATCAGATCCCATTGTATCAAATCAAATTCTTCGCCCAATATATGGGCTATTCTCATCTCCATAATTATTTTAATACTTCAATTAAGAACCCTATCATTTGTATGTTTGACACTACTCACTTCTAACAGATTTATTTTAAATCTTAACTATATTTCTATTAAAGTGTCCATGTATTATCTAATTTTTATTTAAAAGAATAAGGACTCTTGAGTAGTTCCAGAGTTCACTTTGTAGTCCTCTGCTAATGCTACAGTAAAAAGTGATGTCATCTTCAATGTTGTCTGTTTTATTTTCATTTAGTTCATCAGGGGGAAAAAGGACTAAGTTATTACTTCACAAATTCAAACAAATGAAATCAACAAACAATATATATAACTCCATGTACAATGAGAAAATATAAAGAAATAATAAAAAACTAAAGCTATACATTAAAAGCCTATAATTGATATCTCAATAATTTACAAAAAGAGAAATTTTTAAAAGGAAAGAAAAACACTAAACAAATTATATAAACAATACTGAATTTAAAATGTTTACTTAAAACAAGAAACTGGTTGAGAAATTTAGTCAATAGTCAAAGGTTTCCATATTTCATGACAGTTCCTACTCATAAGAGTTGTCTTTTTAAAATCTCTATCAGGCACTATTCTCTAAATTAAATTTCAATATCCTTTTTAGCTTTCAAATTTCAAAGTTAAAGAGTGTTAAAAAATTCAGATTTCTTATTAGTTGTCTCCTCTTTTAGTGGGAATATCCAGGAGCTTTCATTTCAGGCATATTTTGTAGATCTGTTATGCTTTAAGCTAATAAGATGATTCTGTTTTCTCCTTAAAAGACTAAACAATAAACTATAATTTCTTTTTTGGTTTGAAGACTAGCCTCTCCAAATAAGTGTTATTTTCTCAAAATTAAATTCAGTCCAGAGGTTAACAGATATAAAAGTACAGCTAGATATAAATATGTTCCAGTGTTTTTGTTTGTTTATTTGTTTGTTTTTAAATTAGATGAGGGATCTTGCTATGTTGCTCAGGCTGGTCTCAAACTCCTGGTCTCAGTAACACTCCTGAGTAGCTGGGATTACACCAATAAGCCACCATGCTGAGCAATTCTAACATTATCGGGTGACTACAATTAACAAGTTATTGTATATTCTCTTTTTAAAATATTTTAATGATACATAATCATATATATTTATAGGGCATATATGATATTTTGATACATGCATACAATGTGTAATGATCAAATAAGGATAATTAGGATATCCATTTCCTCAAACATTTACTATACATTTTTTTGTGTTGGGAGCATTCCAAATCTTCTTCCTATTTTGATATATACAATAAGTTATTAATTATTGCCACCCTACTGTACTGCTGAACACTAGAACTTATTCATTCTCTTTAACTGTATTTTTGTACCCAGTAACCAGTATCTCTTCATCCCACCCCTTCCCAAACTCTTCCAAGCCTCTGGTCATTCTACTCTCTATGTCCAGAAATCAAGTTTTTAAGACCCCACTTGTAAGTGAGACAATGCAGTATGTGTCTTTCTGTGCTTGGTTTATTTCACTTAACACAATGTCCTCCAGTTTCATCCCTGTTGTTACAAAAGACAAAATTTCATTCTTTTTGCGGCTGAATGATATCCCATTGTGTATATATACCACACTTTCTTCATCCATTGTCCTGTTGATGGGCACTTTGGTTGCTTCTGTGTCTTAGCCATAGTGAACAGAACGGCAATAAACATAGGGGTACAGATATTTCTTTGCTATACTGATTTCCTTTCTTTGGATATATACCCAGAGTAGGATTGCTGGATCATACGGTAAACTTCGTTTTTTGAGGAACCTCCATATTGCTCTCCCCAGTGGCTGCACTAATTTACATTACCACCAACAGCATATGAGGGTTTCCCTTTCTCCGCATCCTTGTCAGCATTCATTATTGCTTGTCTTTTGGATAAAAGCCATTTTAACTAGGGTGAGACGATATCTCATTGTAGTTTTGACTTGCATTTCTCTGATGATCAGTGATGAACATTTTTTCATATACCTATTGATCATTTGTATGTCTTCCTTTGAGGAATGTCTATTCAGATCTTTTGTGAATTTTTAATCAGATTATTTGTTTTTCTATTGAGTTTTTTGAGCTCTTTATATATTCTGGTTATTAATCAGATGGGTAGCTTGAAAATATTTCTCCCATTCTTTGGGTTGTCTGTTCACATTGTTGATTGTTACCTTTGCTGTGCAGAAAAGCTTTTTAGCTTGATGTGATCCCATTTGTCCATTTTGGCTTTGGTTGCCTGTGCTTTTAAGGTATTACATAAAAAATCTTTGCCCGACCAATCCAATGTCCTGAAGCATTTTCCTAACGTTTCCTTCAGGTCTTATATTTACATATTTAATCCGTGTGTGTGTGCGTGTGTGTGTGTGTGTGTGTGTGTGTTTTGGGACAGGCCTCTGTAATATACTTCGAAGTCTGTTGGTGTGATGCCTCCAGCTTTGTTCTTTTTGCTCAAGACTGCTTTGCCTATTTGGAGTCATTTGTGGGTACATGTGAATTTTAGGGTTGCTCTCTACTTCTGTAAAGAATGTCATTGGTATATTCATAGGTGTGGCATTGAACATATAGATTTCTTTTGGTAGTATGGATATTTTAACAATATTAATTCTTCTAGTCCATGATCATTGAATATCTTTAAATATTTTTGTGTCCTTTTCAATTTCTCTCATCAGTGTTTTGTCGGTTTCACTGCAGAAATCTTTTACTTCTTTGTTCACATTTATTCCTAGGTATTTTATTTTTCTTGCAGCTGTTGTAAATGGGATCACTTTCTAGATTTCTTTTTCAGATTATTTGCTACGGTGTATGCTACTTATTTTTTATGTTGAGTATGTATCCCGCAACTTTACTAAATTCATATATCAGTTCTAACCATTTTTGGTGAATTCTTTAGGTTTCTAAATATAGGATCATTTTATCTGCAAATAAGGACAATTTGGCTTATCTCTTTCCAATCTGGATGCCCGTTATTTCTTTGTCTTGCTTAATTGCTCTGGCAAGGACTTGCAGTACTTATTTTGAAGAAAAGGTGGTAAAAGTGAGCATCCTTGTCTTATTCCAGATCTTAGAGAAAAGGCTTTTGACTTTTCTGTTCAGTATATTAGCTGTGGATCTGCATATATGGCCTTGATTATTTTGGGCATGTTCTTTTAATTGCCAGTTTGTTGAAAGATTTTATCATGAAGGAATGTTGAATTTTATTGAATGCTTCTTCAGCATCTATTGAAATGATCATATGATTTTTGTTCTCTGTTCTGTCAACGTGATGTATCTCATTTACTGATTTGCATACGTTGAAACATCCTTGCATCCTTGGGATGAACGATACTTTATGATTAATGATCTTTTTAACGTGTTGTTGAATCTGGTTTGCTAGTATTTTGTTGAGGATTTTTGCAACTATGTTCATGAAGGATTTGTAGTTTTATTTTCGTTGTGTGTCCTTGTCTAGTTTTAGAATCAGGGCAAGGTTGGCCCCATATAATGAGTTTGTGAGTATTCCCTCCTCTTCAATTTTTTGGAATAGTTTAGTAGAACTGGATTAGTTCTTTAAATGTTTGGTAGAATTCATCAGTGAAGTGTCAAGTCCTGGGATTTTCTTTAATGAGAGACTTTTTATTACCAACTCAATCTTGTTACTGGTCTGTTCAGGTTTTCTATTTCTTCATGGTTTAATCTTACAATCTTGGTAGATTGTAAGTGTCCAGGAATTTATCCCTCTCTTCTAGGTTTTCTGATTTACTGGTGTGCAGTTGTCCATAATAGTCTCTAACAATCCTATGTATTTCAATAGTATCAATGATAATGCCTCCTATTTGTCTCTGATTTTATTTATTTTAGGTCATCTTTTTGGCTTAGTTACTATGGCAAAAGACTTGATGACTTCATTTACCTTTACAAAACCAACTTTCCGTTTTCTTAATCTTTTGTATTTTTGTCTCAATTTCATTTATTTCTGCTACAATTATTCTTCTTTCCTTCTGCTCCATCAGGTTTGGTTTGTTCTTGCTTCTCTCAGGTTCATAATTAGTTTGTTTATTTGAAGTCTTTCCTCTTTTCTGATGTAGGTATTTGTTGTTATAAACTTCCCCCTCAGAACTGCTTTTGCTGTAGGCCATAGGTTTGGTATGCCGTGTTCCCATTTTCACTTGTCTCAAGAAATTTTTAAGTTTCCTTTTGAATTTATTGATGTATTTACTGTTCAGAAGCATAGTATTAAATTTCAATGAATTTGTAGAGTTTTCAATGTTTTTTTCTGCTATTGATATCTAGTTTTATTCCATTATGGTCAGAAAAGATACTTAATATGATTTTGGCAATTTAAGATTTATAAAGACTTGTTTTGTGTCATAATATATGGTCTAGCCTGGAGTATGTTTCATATGTTGTTGAGAAAAATGTGTATTCTGCAACTGTTGGATGGAATATTCTGTAAATGTCTATTGGGTCAATGTGGTCTACAATGAAGTCTAACTGATGTTTTACTGTTGATTTTCTGTCTGGATAATCTGTCTACTGCTGAAGTAGGGTGCAGAAGTCCCCTGCAATTATTATATTGCAGTAAATCTCTCCCTTCAGGTTTATTAATTTTTAAATATATTTGGGTGCTCTGATGTTGGGTGTATATATATTTACAATTGTTATATCTGCTTGCTATATTGAACTACTGATGTTTTTCTCATTATATAATAACCTTGTCTTTTTATTTTCTTACTGTGCTTCACTTAGTCTATTTTATCTGACGTAAGTATAGCTACTTCTGCTCTTCATTTTTGTTTCCATTTGCATGAAATATCTTTTTCCATTACTTCACTAGAAAGCAATGTAGCAATATTGGGGCTCCTTTGAATGTGGTGTTTCTCTTCTCTTGATGCTTTCAGTTTTCTTTTGTATTTTGCTAGTCTGATTATGATGTGCCTTGGGGATTTCCTCTTTGTATTGAATATATTTAGTTACCCCTAAGCCTGTAGCTGGATGGTGTTGTCTTTCTCCAGATTTGAGAAATTTTCAGTTACTATTTCCTTAAATGTGCTTTGTAGGCCTTTTTCTCTCTGGTCTCCTTCAGGAATTCCTATTACACAGAGGTTAGTTCACTTGATGGTATCCCACAATTCTCATAGGTCTCCTTCACTCTTTTAAATTATTTTGTCTTTCTGTTCCTCTGATAGGGTTATTTCATATGGTCTCTCTCCAAGCTCACTAAGTTTCTCTGTTTGATCAAATTTGCTTCAATCAAAACTTTCTAATGAGATTTTGGCTTACTGTGTTATTTATTTCTAAGGTTTGTATCTTTTATTTATAAAAGATAAAAATAAAAGATACAAAGATAAAAATAAGATACAGTGAAATAAAAGATACAAAGATAAAAATAGAAGATACGAAGAAATAATTCTTTATCAAATTTCTCATTGTGATCCTGGATTTTTAAAATTTCATTTTGTTTTCTATCCATATTTTCCTGTGAGTCCCTGAACCTCTTTAGCAGGATTATTCTGAATTTTCTGTACAACATTTCACAGATCTTCAATTCTTCTGGGTCCACTGCTGGAGCTCTGTTAGTTTCTTTTGGTGGTATTCTACTTCTCCATGTTTTCACAATCCTTGTATTTTTACACTGATGATGGTTCATTTGAGGAGCTGGCTACCTCTTCCAGTTTTTGCAAGTGCTCTTTGGTGGTGTCAGAGCTTTACTACTTGGTATCAGAACTTAAATGCTGGGCTGTTGTTTTTTCCCATTCTGGGGAGGATTTATATGAGTACTGGAACTAAAACACTTCCCTGGAACTAACTCCTTGACTGCTATTATTTCCTGTCTAGGGAAGGCTTACAGCGAGCACCGAAAGTTAAACATTGCCCTAGAATTGTATTGTTTCCCTGCTATGGGTCCCCGGTCTGGGGAAGATTTAAGCTGGCACCAAAACTTAATCCCAACCTTCCAGTTGTTTCTAGGCCAGGAGACGGCTCCATGAGAGCACCAGGATTTTGTGGAAAATCCAACTAAAGACAGGATCTTCCCACAGATTGTACCCCAGCAGCAACACGGAACCAGCCAGTCTCTTCAACATGGCGTACTCACTTATCAGAGTGCAGAATACCTGCCAAAATGCATGCCAGTCACTGTGATCAGTGCCTCTGTCTTTGTTCCCAACTCACCCCAAGTGCTTTAGCCCTCCCAGAACTCCCAGTGGTTCACAGGCAAGGGACCTAGATGGATTTCCAGTGAAAGATTACCAGACTAGTGGAGAGACTGAATGTCTAACTCCAATTTCCTCCTCTCATCTTGGGAACTCTGGGTCTAAAGCAATTCTCTTTGAGCGGCATTATGCCAGTTTGAGGAAGGGGGCAGCTCAGCCTAAAATTACCATTTATCTTATCAGTCATGGTTTCTCTCAATTCCGTAGGCCTAGGAAGTTTCTCTGCTTCTCCCTCTAGTTCTGGTGAACTCAGGGTGGTATTTTTGTCTTTGATAGTTTCTAGTTGTATGTATGTAGGAAGAAGGATGTGGGAGGAATCTTCTAATCTGTCATCTTGTTGATATCACTCTTCAATTTACTGTATATTTTCAAATAGCCAGAGGAGCAGGATGTTGCGTTGAGTGTTCCCAACACAAAGAAAAAATAAATCTATGAGGTGATAGATATGCTAATTACTCTGATTTGATCATTATATACTGTATACATGTATGGAAATATCAGACTGTACCCCAAACATATGTACAATTATTATAGGTCAACTAAAAATAATAAAAGCAAATAAATTCAGTACAGAGGGAAAAAACTATGCAAGGATGAACGCAGATTACAGGGAAGCTTTGAACTGATTCTGCAAGAGAAATAGGAGAGTGTTCAGAGTCCTATCTCTTTCCATACTTTCTTTCTAAGTCTGCTGTGTTTACACAGCTAGGCAGTGATTTAAGCAGGTGAGATTATGAATGGAGAAAGTAGGGAATCATGCTGCTGATAAAAATAGTCTGCAATTCATATTCAACCAACCTTCAGCAGAACAACTCTACATTCTTACCCTCTCACAATTGCCCCAAGACTGGATTTCAGGCATATATTTAAAAATCATAAAATCATAAAGTCTAAACCTCTGATCTGGCTGGAAAGTCAAATGACTTGTCCAGCCTTGCATGATGTGTAAAATATCTGTGGAAGAGGCAATAATATCTTATCCCTTTTCTGAGGACTGGTACTAGGGCAAATGCATTAAAATCACTTAGAAGTCTGTGCTTTGTTTTGTTTAAAAAAGATTCTGGGATTCCTGATTCTAGGTCTATAGTCACCCCCATATATCCTGCCACAAACACACACACACACACACACACACACAAAGAGAGAGAGAGAGAGATTTCTCATTAGCTACCTTCACCAAAGCAAAATAGATGGTTCTGCACCTTGGTGACAACTCCCACATCCATGCCCACTTAATATCACAAGTATCATGCTCTAAACATTTTTATCCTTTCCTACAATTCTTGATATTCACTTTAGCCTAAATAATTTACTTACTTATTAGTGCAAAAATGGCAGAATGTTATTAGTACATGTGAATTCTACAGATCTAACTTCTGGAATATCTCTGCAAACATAAATATCCCTTTAAAATAGTAAAGCTCATTCAAAATTTTCAGCAGAAAATCCAATAACGAAGGAACAGATACGTTAAAGAACAACAAAGCTTTGGTGTAATTATATAGCAAAAAGAATTCACACGAAGGGAGGGAGATCAGTCTTGTATTCTGTTCAGTGGGTTTAAGTTATCAAGTACCTAAAGCAATCTGAAAGGTAAAAGCAGCACACAGCACACAGAATAAAAAGAGGAGAGCAACATTCTGGCAAAACTATGTATTAAAATAATGCTACTGGCCAGGTGTGGTGGCTCACGCCTGTAATCCCAGCACTTTGGGAGGCCAAGGTGGGTAGATCATTTGAGGTCAGGAGTTTGAGATCAGCCTGGCCAACATGGCAAAACCTGTCTCTAATACAAATAATAATAATAATAATGCTACTCTAAATTTTTAAAAATAGCTTGATGGGTCCTATGTTTATAGTGAGAGAATTCCCAGAAGGTGTGATAATTTCTCTGCAATTACCTTCCAAACCAACTTCCCAATATTAAATCTTGGAACCCCTGAAAAATTAAGAAGTGAGAAAAAAGCCTCCCAAAATTGAACAGTCTCATTCCCAAGAGCTTATGTGTTAATGATTCTCCTGTGTTTATTTTTAAATACTTTATAATTTTATAACTGTTAGTTTATGTTGGCTGTATAGAGACAAAGAGATTAAATTAGAACCACATATATAACCAGTTAATTCCTAAGGAGTTCTAGTCAAAAAAATATGGAAGTAAGAATAGACTGACTCAGCAAGGAAGTGTAAGTGAACAATAAATGAAAGAATAATTTAGCTATAAATGGAATGTTTTAATCTGTAAGACCACTTAGTCACATTTATAAATAGGGATTTACAAACATCACTGTTTGAAATTTTTTTTAGTAACTTACAATGTATCCATAGAGGCTTAATCACATTTGTAAAAATCATTTCTAAAAAAGAAAAATAATGAAGTACAAAAGCTGGCTCTAGGTGTTTACCTTCTTCTTCAATTGGTAATATGTTGGTGTTTCTCCTCGAAGATAAAGAATCCTCATCTTTTTCATAATTTTCTTAAAGATAAAAATATTTTAGTAATTTTATCTTTAGTATAATCAAGCACTTGAATTTTTCTAAACCCAGTATATTTCTTTGAACTCCTACATGAGAGTCTGTTTTTTAGAGATAAACTTCTTAATAACTATATGTACTTAAAGGCAAGTTCTGTTAGTGGAAAAGAAGTAATACATTTCTCCTGTGATTTGCTCCTCTGTTTCTTAATAGTGCAATATGTATAAATGGCATAAATATCAGAATGGTCCACAATTTTAGAAATGAAACAGCCAAAAGCCTTTTCAGCCAAAAGCCTGATTTCTACCAATAAATCACTGAGCTACACAGGGGTTTCAGTAATTTGCAGACATATTCATGTACAAACAGCTTATGAATGACATTTCTAAATGTGGAATTAAAGTCAATTCCTTCAAGGAAAGGCTGGGCATTTAGAATTATTATGAAGGTCACATAAATAATCCAGGCGGACAAGCACTCCCCTAAAGTGAGAACATTGCAGTGACATCCAGGAGTAAGGCAGAAACAGAAAGGTAAATGACTGCCTGTTTCCATCTGAGAAATGGTGACAATGAATAAGACAGACAGAAATCTGCTCTATTCAGCAGCCTACTCTATAGTTTATAGACACATTGCTGGTCCCGATTAATCCTGACTTTATTAAACTTCCTTTCTTGCCTTGGTTTATAATGAATAGTTGAGGGTAAAAAGCATTCTGAATAATTTAAAACCATTCTGAAATAGTAAGTTACTCTGGAATTTAAAAAAAATTGGAGACAATATAAACGTCTAACTAAAAACCAGATTAACCTAGGATTACCTTTGATTATGCTGGCATTAACAGGGGACAAATCTGCATCTTTTGTGACGTCTTCCCTTGACATGAGCTCGGCTTCCTGCTTCATTCCTCTCCTCATTAGTGTCAGGAGCACCGTTTGTCCTGTGTGTCGCAATACCTCTACTGCTTGTTGATTAGTAAAACCCTGAAGATTTGTGCCATCTACCTGCGATTAAAAAAAAGCATGTTATGTGTTAAATAAATGGATATTTGTATTACCAATTCACAAAATGTGTATGTATAGTTCATTAGTGTGAAAAGAATGGGGAATAAGTATTCCTCTCATTAGGGAATGGACAGTAAGACCCTAATATCTCTTTGGGAACCAGTATTAACAGGGATGCACTAGAATCACTTGAGAGGGTTCTGTTTATTTTAATATAGATTCTGAGCTACCATATCCAGAAACTGAGTCACTAGTTCTAGGGTAGGACACAGGCTTCTACACCATTTTTTTTTCCTTTTTGTTGAGACAGGGTCTCACTCTATTGCCCAGCCTGGAGTGCAGTGGCGCAATCATGGCTTCCTTCAATCTTAACCTCCTAGGCTCAAGCGATCCTCCCACTGCATCTTCCCAAGTAGCTGGGATCACATGTACACACACCACACCTGGCTTTTATTTTTTTTTTCTTTGAGACGGAGTCTCACTCTGTCACCAGGCTAGAATGCAGTGGTGCAATCTCAGCTCATGCAACCTCCACCTCCCAGGTTCAAGTGATTCTCCTGCCTCAGTCTCCCGAGTAGCTGAGACTACAGGTGCACGCCACCATGCCCAGATAATTTTTGTATTTTCAGTAGAGATGGGGTTTCACCATGTTGGCCAGGAAGGTCTCGATCTCTTGACCTCGTGATCTTCCCGCCTTGGCCTCCCAAAGTGCTAAGATTACAGGCATGAGCCATCGTGTCTGGCCTACTTTTTAAAAATTTTTGTAGAGATGGAGTCTCCCTATGTTGCCCAGGCTAGTCTTGAACTCCAGGGCTCAAGGGATCCTCCCACCTCAGCCTTCCAAAATGGTGGGTTTACAGATGTGGGCCACTGTGCCCTAATCTACTCCTTTTTAAATACGCTTTTATATTCCTCAGGTGATCTCAATGCACAGTTAAGTCTGGAAACCAAACTATGCAGGATTAAAAGGAATAGAAGACAGTGATGAACGTGCTTATCAAGTGCACTGACATATCACAAGGTCATATTTATATTGCCTTTCAAAAAAGAAAGAAAAAAAGTGTCTTTTTGTCTTTTCAAAAAAATAAATACATTTGATTTTCCCCTTTTCACAAATGACAAAACATTCAAAAATGTCCCTGTGATCTTTCCAAAATATAGATATTATCATATCCCCCCAGCCCTCCCTTCTACAGATAACTCCCTAGGACAATGCTCCAAATTCTCAACGTGGCTTAGAACGGCCTGTGTCAACTGCCTCCATCTCCCACCAGCCCCAACCTCATCTCTCATGATGCAGTCCATTACTCTCTGCCCCTCAGCCACAGAGGGCTCACTTCCATTCCTCTGACTCGCAGTGCTCCCTTCAGCCATGGAGTCTCTGCAATTTACCTCAGCCTGGACTCTCTGGATAGCCCACTCTAGACCATGCTCTTTCTCAAGAGCTTACTTAGAGAACACTTATAATTGCTTTAGATCTCAGTTCAATAGTTGTTTTCATAATAAACTATCTTGATGTCTTTGATTGCAGTCAAAGCCCCCTTTTACACATTCTTCCTCATAGCAGTTTTCAGAATTTTAATTTTACATTTTCTGCCATTATGTGGTTTATGACTATATGCTCCAAGGACAGGCTCTGTATTATTTCTGCTTACAGTAGTGTCACCAAAACATGGTGCTGTCCATACTATAGATATTAAAATATAGAGCCATTGGCTCATAGGTCAAAAACTTATTTGTAAAGTAAATAATATTTTGAGGAAGATAAATTTTGACATGTTCAATTTATAAAATCACAGTAAAAACAATTTGAAAAATCAGAGCAATAAATTTAATGCTGAAATTCAAAGTCGTTGATACTCCTTAGAATTGCAAAATGACTATAAAATGACTGTACATGTAATGCTTTTCCAAGCATAGTGGGGCCATATTAGGCATTCAAATGTTTACTAAAGTAGTAAAGATCTGGATTATAAGGATCTGGATTTTATAATCTAAATCTTATAATCCAGATCTTTACTAACTTAGTAAATATGTGAAAATTATAAGACCTAGATCAAGGCTGGGCACAGTGGCTAATGCCTAGTAATCCCAGCACTTTGGGAGGCTGAGGCAGAAGGATTTCTTGAGCCCAACAGTTTGAGGCCAGCCTGGGCAACATGCTGAAACCCTGTCTCTATAAAAAATAGAATAATTAGCCAGGCGTACTGGCACATGCTTGTAATCCCAAATACTTAGCAGGCTGAGTTGGGAGGATCACTTGAGTCCAGAAGGTTCAAAAGGCTGCAGTGAGTCACGATCATGCCAGTGCATTCCAGTCTGGGCATCCGAGTGATTTTTTTTTATATTTTATTTTATATTTATATTTTATATTTATAAAAAAAAAAGAACTAGATCAGTTGTCTCCAAGATGGAGTACCCTTACTGCAAAGGTTTCTGAAAGAATATAATAAAACTTCTAAATAAATATTTTAAAAACTCATTTGCTTTGTAAATATGTGTATATGTGGATGTGTATATATATAATTATGTATATGTACACATAGGTAAACACCATATAATGTCTGTTAAGTATATATATGATATATATAATATATATAACAACAATATATATGAATACATAGTGAGGAGGAAAGAGGGAAAATGAGTAGTTAGCTATTTTTACTAGAGGAAATATTCAATCAAAAATCCAGAAACCTCTGATCTAGTTGAAAATCTCATATTCTGTCAGTTCCTTAAACCTTCTACGATACTTCTGAGCTGGATGGTAACTTGAACATAAGTATCTGGCTCTGTTCTTTCTCCCTACCTCCACCCTGCTGATTACCTGTTACAAAAACTAACAAAACAGAACTGAGAAAATACTGCAACAAAACTGGAAACCAAAGAAGCACCAAAGTCCTTAGACCAGCATCTTGGAGGAATTTCTACTAGAAATAGTCTGCGCATGGCCAGATCAAAGGCAGGCCAACTGAATCTCTGTATGTGTGGGAATAGCCTGTCTGGCAAGAAGAAACTTCAGCAACAAACAAACAACACCCTCTCATTAAATGAGGCAGTCAGATGGTATATGTGGATACTAATCAGTAACTCCAAGAAACACACCAAGTACTAAAGGCCATACTAAGCTGGGTTCCAAGTAGTAGCACAGAATTACTTTATTTGCAATAAAAATTACCTTATCCACACATGTGTGCACACAAGCACACACACAACTCCAACTAACTCCTGGCTGTCACAGCAAACACAGAAAACAAAAACAGAGGCAAAGTCTCCCACTGTGATCCTCTACCACTGGTTTCCTCTTCATTTTGTTAATCTACAAATGAATCAAACGAAGCTACAGTAAATTTAAACTTTCCCCTTCCCTGTCACTTTGTCAATTCCTAAATCATCTGGGAAAAAAAACATACAATCTGCAGCAGAACTCATCTCAACTTCTATCTGTACAAGCCCAGTTATTTTTGAGAACGACCAAGGGTCATGGGATGTGAAATAAGATATCACAGTCCAAAAGCAGGTTGTACACTGAAGATCGGTGCATGTATCTTCCTATGAAGTTGTTATTGCAGTGAACAGGAAAAAAGATATTTCCTGTAACTTACTATCAAAATAATTCACATTTCCTTGTATTTATGGAAGCAGGAATTACAGTTACAAGAAGACACATGTATCTACGCAACAAAAAAAAAAGAAAAAGAAAAAGAAACTTACAATGAAGGCAATCAACAAGATTTTAAGTACTGCGAAAACAAAGTCAGCACATGGAAGTCAGCACATGGAAGATCAGGTCATGTAATTTTCCCATATCTCAGAGGAAAAGAATAAACAGATAGAAAATGATCAGAAACAAGGCTGGAGACACATAGGCTGATCTAGGAAATTCAACACACTAATAAAAGAAATTATAAGGAGAAGATGATAAATGAGGGGGAAAAAATCAAAGAAATGATCAGGGAGAAGGGAAAGTTACCCAAATCTACAGATCAAAGAGGCACATGAAAAATCAGAAAATGATGAGAAATAAATAAATAAATAAAACCTCACACCTGAATGTATCCTGATGAAATTCCTATATTTCAAAGATAAAAAGAAAAAAGATCTACCAGCCTCTAGGCAGCAAAGAGAGAGACTAGGTTATCTGTACAATTGTGGTAAAGAAATTACAAACCAAGAATCTTATACTTAGTGTGATGTATGAGAAAACAGAAATTGTGTGATGTATGAGAAAACAGAAATTGTGCTTGAGATGCTATGATTATTAATATCCTATACCAAAGCAAGTTGTAAAAAGGGCCACCATGCAGAAATTTAAACTAGGTGGTAAAGAACTACAATTCAGGGCATAAAAGAGCTGAGTGTTGTTAAATGTTAAGAAAAACTTAAGAGGAAGATTTTTTTTTTAAGAGGAAAGAATGCTATACCTACCCAGGTATTTCCCCCTTGACTTCAAGTCCAAAGTCACCTGCAGAAGGGGCAATGCAGTAGATTGTGTCTAATGCCACCAAGAGGACAAGGAAGAGGCTGTTTAGCTGCTTTGACAGTGAACCCAGAGGAAATTTATGTTATGTTGGGACCTGCTCACCTCCCTAGCTTTGTCTGGGCATAGACCAGAGGAGGACGACACACAGGAGGGAGCCAGGCTCAAGTCTCTAGGTAAGCCATCAGTTCGTAGTGGGCTTCTAATATTCCAGGGGGTTCATTTGAAATTAGACTATTATTTAGTATGGGAAAAATGTACTAATTTGTAACTGTGTCTGATTATTTTGATTGGCCACAGGATAACTTATTCTATAAGAATACCCTAAGACATGAAGACTTGCCTAGGATTTCTTCTAGGGGAAAGGGAAGAACCTTCTCCATTAAAAATTAAAAGGGGCAGTTGATGACAAAATTTTTCAAGTTAAGATTATACCTAATAAATCCTCTTTGCCCAACATATTTGTTATCCCCAGCCAGAGTCAAAATATAAGAAGTCAACAGAAGTTCTCAGAAACAAA